TCATGTTCATGTTCATGTTCATGTTCATGTTCATGTTCATGTTCATGTTCATGTTCATGTTCATGTTCATGGGAAAGGACTCATTGTGTTAATATTTCTTTCGTAGCTTATCATCAATGTTCATAAAAGGATATATAAAGCGGTCTGGGTAGGGATGGACAGTTTTCACTTTTTTGAAAAATGATGATCGTTTCGTTTAAGAAACGACAAAGAACAGACGAAAAATGAAATGTTTGATTTTAAAAACGATCGGTTTTGAAAAAGTTTGATTATTAAAAATAGCCGTTTAACGAACGGCAAATCCTCAAAGACAACTTTCGTAAACTTTTCTTTCTGAAATTATAATTAAAAATAATTGTCCTAAAAAGAGCTATGTACAATGCGCATTCATTCAAGGTTATAATGCAAGGAAAGTTAATTTCAGTTGCGTATACTCTGCGTAAATATTGAAACCAGTTCTCTCCTGGCGGATTTGTAAACAAGAATAGATGCATCAGTGTTCGTTTAGTATCCGAGGAGGTTAAAAGCATTAAATTTTTATAATTTTGATAATTCACATAATAGTTTCCTATGACCAGAATATTTCATTGATTATTTATGTGGAAGATGGATCCCATGTGAGGCTTCGACATCCGTCTTGTGTTTACATTACCGCCCCGAGACAGTATACTGCAGTACAAAAGATGCGCACATCTCTGAAATAACTTTCCTTCCATTTTAGCCTTGCATTCATTCATCTTCCTACAGATCTTTGAGAATATATATTTATTTATTTATCGAACACTGATACAATCCAATAATACTAGTTTTTGTGTTCTGGTATTTGATCTACTTATAGGTCTGTGCAATATGAGTTGTTTTAAAATATATTCATGACAAATAATTGAATACTTAAATATATATAAGCGAAGAGCTTTATTATGTAGAATAGATAATAAAACTTCTAAAGCTGGATGGTAACTGTTGGCTGTAGCAGAGATTTGTTGCGAAACTTTGTTTAAACTTCATGTTTAGTTTTGCAAGGGAATTTTTCGCAAAAGTTTGGGAATACGCAATCAAATTTGCGCATTTTTGCGCGAACGTTTGCTTGCGCTGGAAACCCTATTAGAACGAGATTTATTTATTATTATTGTTGACATATTTTTCGAGATTGTAGAAATAATTGCACCCCTTTCAAAGAATTAATAGTGTGTATCTTAAAAGTTTTTTTTACAAAGTTTAGTTGTTTTAATCTAAAATAAAATTAGCTATTTTTATCTTTGAAAATCAAACTATAGGATTCATAGTAAAAATGAATAGCAAGACATATGGTTCAAAAAAAGTAAGATATTTTGATGAAAGGATTGGATGCCTTCAAGAAATAAAGTATTTATATATAAACATAGAACTTATTTATATATGAACAAGAACTTAGTTCCTTTTCAAATTGTTCCAACCAATTAGTGTGAAAGGAAAGATTTAAATATTTAAAAGAATCAATTCCTTTACTGAAGTTATTCTGCTAATCATTTTAACTTATTACAAATTTACCTTTATATAACGTTATCATCGGTTCTCAGTTCTAACTTAACTTATAAAACGTAAAAACGGCTAACACTAGAATGTAAACGACAAACGTAAATGTCAAAAGTAAACGAGAGATTGAAGTTTGCAGCAGCATATTGGGTACCCTCCGCTTGAGCGGAGGTCACCGGAGGGAAATTATTTTCAGCGGAGGGAATGCACAATTTGATTCAATTCTAATTACTCCAGCGGAGGGTTGGTAATTAACACGAAAGACAATCCACCGGAGAGATGGTAATTATCACCTAGGACATTAATTACTCCACGGAGGGATGTTAATTAACATTCAAGACACTAATAACTACATCGGAGGGACGGAAATTAACACTCAGCACACAAATTACTCCACCAGAGAGATGGTAATGAACATGCAGGACACTAAAATTACTACACCAGAGGGATGGTAATTAACACTCAGGACACTAACTAATTCGTTGGAGGGATGTTGATTAACACTCAGGACATTAATTACCTTACCGGAGGGATGGTAATTAACACTCAGGACACTAATTACTCCACCAGAGGGATGGAACTAACACTCAGGACACTAATTACTCCAACAGAGGGATGGAATTAACACTCAGGACACTAATTACTCCAACAGAGGGATGGAATTAACACTCAGGACACTAATTACTCCAGAGGGATGGAATTAACACTCAGGACACTAATTACTCCACCAAAGGGATGGAATTAACACTCAGGACACTAATTACTCTATCAGATGGATGATAGTTATCACTCGGGACACTAATTACTCCACCAGGGGGAATGGAATTAACACTCAGGACACTAATTACTCCACCAGAGGGATGAAACTAACACTCAGGACACGAATTACTCCACCAGAGGGATGGAATTAACACTCAGGACACTAATTACTCCACCAGAGGGATGAAATTAACACTCAGGACACTAATTACTCTATCAGAGGGATGATAGTTATCACTCGGGACACTAATTACACCATTGGAGGGATTATTTTAACCACTCAGAACACTTATAACTCCATCGAAGGGATGGTAATTAACATTCAGGACACTAATTACGCCTTTGGAGGGATGGTAATTAACACTTGGGACACTAAGTACTTCAACTGAGGGATGGTAATTAACTTCAGGACACTAATTACTCCACAGAAGGGATGGTTAGAATTACTGAAAACAGTGTCCTGAGTGTTAAATACCAACCATCCGGTGGAGTTAATAGTGTTTTGAGTGTTAATTACCATTCCTCCGATGGTGTAATTAGTGTCCCAAGTGTTATTTACCATCCCTCCAATGGAGTAATTAGAGTCCTGAGTGTTTATAATAATCCCTCCAATGGAGTCATTAGTGTCGTTAGTGTTAATTATCATCCCGTCGATGGAGTTATAAGTGTCCTGAGTGGTTAAAATAATCACTCCAATGGAGTAATTAGTGTCCTAAGAGTTAATTATCATCCCTCTGGTGGAGTACTTAGTGTCCTAAGTGTTAATTATCATCCCTCCGGTGGAGTAATTAGTGTCCTGTGTGTTAGTTACCATCCCCCTGGTGAAGTAATTAAATATGCTGCTGCAAATTTTAATCTCTCAAAGCAAGCAAAAGTATTTTTCAAAAATTTTCTGACGCAATATTTGAACTTTTAAAGCCTCCCTTGCACCCTCCCCAGAAAAGTTAGAGGTATAATATTTCTTTAATGAGCAGGCCTTGACAAGTTGAACTAGGTAAATGTATCACAATCCCTGTCACAACAGCTTAAAAGCAAAATCATAGAGGGGGGGGGGACAGGCCCCATTTATATTAGACAAAAATAGACCAATCCGGATATGATCAACAAATCTTAAGTTTGATCTCTCGGATAATTTTTTCTTCTCTTTAATTAAATAAATATATTTTTTTAAATGTTTAATTTATATTTTATTTTAAATAGATAGATACATTTAATTCCGATCACAATTTGACAAGATTGACTTTAGACTTTAGAGTTTCCAGTCATTTCTTTTAATTCCAGTAAAAATTGTTTTTACAATATTTTTTTAGCTGCAATGATATCTTTAAACATAAATTATTAAGAACCTTTTAGAAGAAGAAAGACATAATTTTTATGAAGTTTACAAATGTAAATATTTAATCAAGGGTTGTACAGCTTCAAGATTGGCAGCTTTTAAAAATTCTTTAATAAACAATTTTACGGAAAAACTGGAAACTCCGGTGGACAGTGATGATTGATGATTGATGAGCAAATATTGTATTTTTGATCTTATAATTATTAAGTAAAATTGAACCAGCTGGACCGTAGTTATTGGCCGCAAACTTATTCAAAAACCTACAACACAATCGTAACAGATCAAAAATTATATAAAAATATTTTAACAGTTCTAATTTCCCGTTGTTGATCCTAGTTCTTATTGTTGTCCTTAGCGTAATTTCTTAAGATGTTTGATGACCGCTTCTCTGGAGGGCCAGGTAGAAACTGATGCAACAGAACTGGTTCTCTGAAATAAAATGGTTGAACAAAGGAATTGAGTCTTTGCCACAAAATCTGCTTTTCTAAACCCTATATCTTTGGATTCTAATGTCGTAGACCTGAGATATTTCAAACTATGAATTCTGTTAGATCAAATAATGTAAGTTTGAAAGATAAAGATTTGCGACATATTGGGTTCCAAAGACATAGGGATTATAAATTCAGAGTTTGTGGCAAAGACTCAATTCCTTTATCAAATAAATATCTTATATGTTCATATAATAATAATAAGTGAAATCTTTGTTTTTCAGCTGTTTTCCTTCAGGCTACATTTGTATACACCCAGTTAGAGATGGACATTGTTTTTGTGAAAGAACAAAATTTGTAAGAACAAAAAACAAACAAAAAACGAACGATTTAAAATCGTTCAAACGGTCTGAACAAACGAATTTTCCAATAGATTTAGAGAAAATGGTTGTTTTTTATTGAATTTTACTGAATGATCAATTTTAATGAATTAACAATATTACTGAGCAAACAATTTAACTGAATTAATTCAAAGTGATAGCATTGCTATGGAGGGATAAGACAAACGAATTTGTGTCTAAACCGGGTTTTACCTGTACACACAGCTGCAGCCAATGTTGATTGTAATGTTCCTCACAGCTCTTAGTCTCCAGTCCACCTGGTCTTCGTATTGTACAGCTTCAGCATGGGCTACCAACATCTTAGCCTTAACAATTTAACATTCACTACTTTGGGAAAGATGTTTTCTTTCTGTAACTTTTTTTAAAGTTTGTTATTCTGTATTTAACCAAAGAAATCTTTTTACTGAAGGAGTTAATTTATTTGGTGTACTGTCTCGGTTTGCCTTATAATGAATGCCACAAACTATCTCAAAGAGAGTGTTTGCGAAAAATGAGAGTTGCGCGCACCGAAACTACGATTTGGAACCCTAATTATTATTATTACCTTCATTTGTTTACAGGAGTAGTACTGGGATCCGCCACAGGTTTCTCCAGCTTCATGGCACAGAACTTCAGTTATCGTTTCTAAAGAAAAGGAGAACATTAATTAAAAAAGGCCAAATTTAAAGAATTTGAGCCGAGTCTCAAATTTAGAACGCGGATAAATATTGTTTTCTATAAATATGGTTGGTTCCAGTGTTATGAGATTTGAGGCGGTGCTTAATTGGAACTGGTTTTTGGTTGCTCAGAGACAAGGTTTAAATCAGGGGCCTGGATCTGAGCTACCTCTCCGTGTGTATTAGCCTGAGTGTACACTTAGTCAAGTCACTGATAAAGTATATTAAGAGATTGTGGCCTAATGATACAGTGCAAAAATCAAATATGCAGTACGCTCTCGGAGTACAAGCGTATGGGGAGGTTTTGTATCTTAAATTTTACTCAGCTTTCTCAGAACTGTTTAATTCAAATATTTTTAGAAATCACCCCCGGGTATTGTAATATACAGATTTCCTTTGGAAGTACATCATCACTCTATATACTATAACCTCGTTGGTTTAAATTCTTTAAACCATCAAAATGTTTAAAAACTGGATTTTGTATAAGTTTGCGTAATTATTTGACTATTTCTTGGAAAAAATATAAATTGAAAAAAGAACCAAATCTTTGATTTGCTATTACTAAACTTTGAAAGATTGAAGTCCAAGAATATAAATTTTTTTTTGAACAACATAGATGAGTTTACAGCAGAAAATTAAATACACATTATTTTTCTTATTTCCTGTAAAGGAATTTTTGGGTCAATACTTTTTCGTCTGAGCATAATATCTCAGATTCAAATTGTTGGATTAAAAGAAAATTTATAGAATAAAATCTAAAGATGGTTTTTATGGAATTTTTTTATCGATATGGTTTGGCCTTCACAATGTGGTAAGACAGAAACAACATGTCAACTGTTAACTCCAGTTCATTTCAAGTACCGGGCTGATCCCTGGTTAAGAGAGTTTTTATGTGTGCCGTTTGTGTGATGTTAATAGTTTCTTACCTGGTATTCTTTTGGGAACTGTGTTCAATCTGAGTTGCCAAGTGCAGTGTGCTCCAACCACGGTGTGGGGTAGAGGCATAAAATGTTTTGCGGCACCAAACCCGTTCACAACACTCTCAAGATCCTCTTCACTTTCAACCGGAACCTAATCAATCAATCAATCAATTAATAAATCAATCAACCGATCAAAAAATCACTTAAATAGTTTAATACCATGTTCAGAATTTAAGAGAAACAACTAAGTTTCTTTTTAGAAATTGTTACAAACGGAAAATGGGTTTAGAGAGGGTTTAAAACGATCGCTTGAAAATTGACTTGTCATTTTTAAAACAACAGTTTGGTTTTTAAAGGATTAACTCAACAAACGTTTCAAAACGAAATAGCCAGAAAAACGTTAAAAGAAAGAATTAATTGATTTGTTTTTAATGCAGTCTATTCTTTAAAGCAAAAAATAATTTCAAGTACAATTCTGCAATAACAACAGAAACAAGAAACTTTTTTATGTATTATGTGACTCAATTCTTAGTTAGTAAACTTGATATCTACACTCAAATTCAAAATTATTAAGAATTATTTTTCCTGCTTTCATCTAAGTTGTAATATGATATGCTTGTAATATACTATAGTGTAATTAGATATAAAATTGGAATTTTTTAAAAAGAGACAATGTAGACATAAAGAAATATTTTTTCAGTCAGCAATTATTTAAGGGGGTAAGAAAGAAAATCAAGAGCACTTTTGTATACACATGCACAAGAACAAGTACACAGTTAAATATTCTGATTTAACGAGATGTTACCCGATATCATTAAAAATTAGATCAAATGTCACTAAAAGCACTAAAACTGTTACCAAGTGTCACTAAAATGAAAAATTGTTCCTAACTGTTACTTTAAACAATAAGCAGTTTTTAACTGTTACTAAAAGACAAATACTAAAACTGTTCCTAACTGTTACTTTAAACAATAAACAGTTACCAACTGTTACTAAAAGACAAGTACTAAACCTGTTACCAACTTTTATTAAAAGTAAGAAAATGTTACCAATTTTTACTAAAAATACTAAAACTGCTACCAACTGTTACTAAAAATACAAAAACTGTTACCAACTGCTATTAAAAATACTAAAACTGTTACCAACTGTTATTTTAAATGGTAAAACTGTTCCCAACTGTTACTTTAAACAAAAAGCAGTTATTAAATGTTACTAAAAGACAAATATTAAAACTGTTCCTAACTGTTACTTTAAACAATAAACAGTTACCAACTGTTACTAAAAGACAAGTACTAAACCTGTTCCCAACTTTTACTTAAAATAATAAAATGCTACCAATTTTTACTAAAAATACTGAAACTGCTACCAACTGTTATTAAAAATACAAAAAACTGTTACCAACTGCTATTAAAAATACTAAAACTGTTACCAACTGTTATTTTAAATGGTAAAACTGTTACCAACTGTCACTAAAAGTTCTAAAACTGTGACCAACTGTTACTAAAATGAAAAAAAAAATCCCAACTGATACTAAGAGTACTAAAGCTATTACCAACTATTACTGTAAATACTAAAACTGTTACCTGTTGAGTGTTACCAGCTGTTTGTTTAATTACTAAAACTAAGAGAAGGATAAGAGATGAATAAAGGGCTCGGTTCATCCTACTAAACTTAGTCCCAATTATCAACAAATAATTTCAAAAATTAAATTTTTTTTGTTTTTAAATTACTTTATATTTTTACATTATTAGAGATAGATCTTGGTTAAACCAAACGAAGCTTAGTTTTTAAAAATGACATTTTTTTATCGTCTTTTTTAAAGTCCTGCTAAAATAAATAATATACAATTTTGTTTATGACTATGCAGTATGTATTATTTCTTCCAAAGAAATTGAGTCTTTGCCACAAACTCTGATTAAATAATTAAAGTTTGAAATTTCGAAAGTTTACTCCAACAGGTTACAATGCAAAGATATAATAATTAGAACATTTAAGTTCGTGGCAAAGACTCAATTCCTTTCTCGAATCTTAATATTGTTATTGTTTGATGGATGTGGTGTGTGTGGGGGGGGGGGCTTTATATTTAATTTTCAACACTTCAGTTTGCACAATTATAATAATTCTTTTCTTTGTTGAGATATAAAAAAACAAGGATTGGAGAGAAAAAGATTTAACTTATTTTTTTTCTTAAAAATTTAGGTCTTTGTCTACTTTCCCCATCTAAATGCTTTCTCAATTTTGCATTTTTTATGACAAAAATTCAAAAAATTAGTTTTATGTAAACTGTTTAAATGTCGCTTGGGATAATTAATTATCTTTATGTTCAGCCCTTGTGTATTTTTTAAGAAATTTGTTCCTGAGAGATATGTAAAGAATTTGAATTTTTGCCACAAACTCGAATTTTATAATCCCTATTTCTGTGCAACCTGATGGTGGACTGCTTAGATATTCTAGCGGAAATTATTTGATCTAACAGGATTCAAATGTCTACAACATTGAGTTGCAATGCTACAGGGATTAGAAAATCAGAGTTTGTGGCAAAAATTCAATTCCTTGAGCAAATTTTCCAACACAAAAGGGTGTCATTTCAAGCTTTGTTTTGATAACTTTTCAAAATTGTTAAAGGGGGAGTTTTATCTAATTGTTGACTTTTTAAATTTTGTGTTAAAACTTTTATCTTGGAAATATATTGTATGTTTGACTATTGGGACTCACGCTCTGTATTTGTGAATAAGAGCTCTGCACCCTGGTTTACTCGGGAGTGAGAGATATAGAAAGAATCCAGCCTCTTTAAACATTTCATCCCCCCTCCCACAATAACCGCCTTCGCATCGCCTTCTCTCATTCTCATCAAAAAAAAATTTTGTGATTAGACAACAACAAAAATTATCCGAATAAAAAGTGATTTTATGTTTTCTGAAAGGTCTGTATTCACCATGTTTAATCGTTTTCGTATCTTACTCAACAACAAAATTTCACTTAATTTGAAATTTTTTTTATTTTTCAAAATTAAAAGCGCCAATTTTCCTTTATTTCATGAATTATATGCATCAAATATTAGTTCAATTGAACCAATATCTGTACCTTTTGAACGTTTGTCCAAATGGGCATTAGTACATACTAAAGTTAGCTAAATATAGATCATTAGTCCTATTGATATAACACCAACTAAAGTTAGTTTATTATAGATCATTAGTCCATTGATATTAAAACAAACTTTTAACTAAACAAAAAATCACGTGTGCTCACTAACTTGATGTAACACCAACTTGTGGGCTAAATAGATTCAAATCTTAACAAATTTGAGGTCTCTAGAAATATAATTTTCTATAAAATTTTACTTGAGTTTTTTAAATTTATACAGTGAGAACCAAAAACAATGGAATAGAAAGACGACATTGTAGCAATACTTAAACGTTTTGATGTTGTTACAAAACAAATATTTTTACAATAACTTAGCAAAGCACAATTTAAGTGAAAAGGGTCTTTTTATACTGTACAATTGCTATTTCTAATGTTCATTGATCTAGTTTAAGTCCTAACTTGAGTTTCAAAGTCGTCTTCCTATTTCAGAGTTTTATGGTTATCACTGTAAGTTTTCCCAATGAAATAAATATCTCAATCTCTATCCTGTATGTCACGTCCACAGACTACAGAGACTGCTCATAGACTCTACCTGGATAGGCTGAACAGATAGCCTATAGTGTCCCGGCACGCCATGCTACGGTTCCATGTTCCATGTTTTTTGACTGACATCTGACGGCCACTTGTTTCATTCAGGGGTTAAGTTTTACAACTTTGAAAGAAATACTCCAATTTTAAACATAAAACATTACGTTCATGAATATTGTCTATTTTCAAAGATTTTGCATTTCCTATTCAAAGGATCCTTAAATATCCCAAAATACAGATGTCTCCTAATTGGTCGTATACAGTACTTTTACTGCACAATAGAACATGCTGTGGAAAATATTGCATATTATAGGTGTTAATCGACCTCTGTAACTCTCTTATCTCTGGTCACGTCAGAAAAACAAAAAATTAGCAAAATTTCATCTTAGAAGAAATTTTAACTGTTTACATAAAGTAGTTAATACATCTTAATTTCATGAAATTTGGAACATGTATTTAATTTTTTAAAATTAAGATATTTTTCATCAAACCTCTTCATAGTATAAACATTACGCATAAAATAATTGTAATTTGTAATTTTTATAATTCATTTATTTTACATTTAAAAATCCAACTTTCAAATAATTAAAAAAAAATATATTAAATATTTCTAACTTTATTTAAGCGATAACATCGAAATTCATTTAATGTTATTCATAAAACTTTTATTACGGAAGATATCCTTGTTCTTTAGATTGAACAATTCTGAGGATTTCCTTTTTGCAAATGTTTTCTGAGAAACAAACTTGAGAAAAAAATAAGATTTCAACAAAAAAAGTGTAATTTATCCTTGAGGAGACGAAGCTCTAAATGGTACCGTTGTGAATTGGGCATTGCTTTTATAAGTAAGACGAGAACATCTTATGGCACTTACAACAGATCATTTGCCGTTGAAAAAATATTTGTTTTGTTATGCATGTAATTACAAACATAAAATAGTTTACAAATATTTATTGGTAAATTGGTAATTCTCAAAGTTAACAAATAATAAAGGGACTGTCCGCGTAATTTAAAATGACCCTCCATGTAGCGAAGGCGATGAGCAATTAACAATGTTACCCTGAGAAGGCTTTCTCTGATCAAGTAGGAGTTAGCTTTCCAAGTTTTTGGGTATTTGACTTTTCATTATTGGTTCTCATGGTGACTTGGACAAAATTCGAACAAATTGCCGTTTTTGCATGGAGGATATCATCTGAAATTACACTTACTGTCCCTTTAATCACTAGCTTTTTCTCATTTGATTATACATGAAGAGTTGATGATCCAATTCATAGATTTGGTTCAGCTGTTGTAATGATTCTGCTGAAATCTGATTGATCAATTCCTCCACATATTCAGAGGACTGGCCTCCTGAAATAAAAATAATTATTGAATACGACGGTTATCAACTTTCAACCAATTTTGATCGTTATCAACAGTTGTCGAGCATTTGCACGGTTTCAATCGCTGTACATCTTTTAAGCCAACCCTTTCATCAGCTATTATCAAACGTCCTTACAGCCAATCGTTTTCTATCGTTGTTAACTGTTATTAATTTTTGTTTGACCGTTATCAACCGTTTTAAACCTCTATGAACCAATATGAACCAATATATGATCCCGTTATCAATTAATAATTCGTTATCAATTAATAATTAATCGTTATTGATTGCAAAAAAGTATATTTTTTTCATTTTGTTTAAATTTAGTAATTGATGATAAAAGAAATGTAAAAATCTTTAAGACCAGCAAATCAAGTTGAACGAAAATTATCAAAAATCAATGTATTTGAGTAATCTTTTACCTTCTTTATAAAACATTGATCTACAGGTCGTAGAATAGAAATTGATATTTAATAATTCACGGAATATCTAATCTCTCAATTATTGATTAGCAAAAATAATGAAATTAATCTTTACAGATTAAATACAATATTTGATAGCATTCCTTGTTGATTTAACTCTTTTCCTTATCAGGAGGGATCAAATTGACCCCCCCCCCCACCCTCCCTCCCTCCCCCTTAGACCTTAAACCAGGGGGTTACACCGGCTTAGTAATATATCTTAGTTTGGATTTTGATAATTTTTTTTATTCCTATGAAAACATTAATTTGGCACAAATTTTTCATCTTTTTTGCACATAATACTTCAAGGAGAAAGAATATGCATATTTCTAGATTTTCTTGAAAATTTCGCACACTTTTTGCATATGTGAATTATAGAATATGCTTATATGGTTAAGGTTATCACATTTTGCACGTCTCTTTTATGCAAATATAGCAATATTGGATTTTTCAGAAATTTTTGATTTGGTGAAATTTAGTTAATTTGTACAGGATCTAAAAATATAAAGAGATATTAAGATATTTGTTCCGATTCCTATTTATTGTTTAATTCTTCAATATCTCCATTAATCTTAAAGATGCAAAAAAAGATCATAATATTTTTTATAGATTTTTTTTCATTGTTGCCCGACATATGGTCAAACGACAATGAGTCAAAATGGAAAAAATTTTGTTATGTATTTTTTCAAGGTTAGGCTTGGTCAGGACAATTTCTGGGCCGAGCGTTGCGGCTAGGACAGGCTAGGGCGCTGCGGCTACTGATTCTAATGAAAATAAAAATAGTTCAAATCAAAATGGTCTCAATGAAATTTTGCCTGCCTGTTGTACTTTTTAACCCTATTTCGCTTTACCCTTTGTCGCATTTTTAACTTTTGTCGTTTTACCCTAGGTCGCTTTATCCTATGGCATTTGACCCTAGGTCGTTTGACCCTATGGTCGTTTTACCATAGCATTTGACCCTAGGTCGTTTGACCCTATATCGGTGAATCTTTTTATTTTTCAATTATGGGAAAAAATATGACGAAGCCGTCTTTTATAGCTACTGCATGAATTTCGTGTTAATGTAGATTTTAAAAAAATGGTGGAAATGTATCAATGTCTCAATGTGTACACCTGTACCTTTTTGTTTATGAGTATGTGGGAAAAGATTGCGGTATTCTCCTAGTCCAACATCAGACAACAGCTGATTTATGTCGTCATCTAGAGTTTCCATGTGCAAGATATAGTCGGGTTGTACCTAATAATAAATCATACAATTTGTTGTTGGCTAATTACAGTTCTCTGGGATCATCTGAAACACTACAAACAATATTTGGCCGGATCGGTTTAGCCGTTCTTGAATTTAGGTTCTTCAGATTTTTTCGATGAAATTTATTAATTTAGAAATTCAACATTTTTAAACTCTGACCCGCCATAACCCTGAAGTCATGTCAAGTTCCACAAATAATGTGTACCCGATTTTATGTATGATAAAATATAAATAAAATGGGATACTAAATGACAATGCTATATATGCATATTTTTGCATTGGTTGCAAAACTTATTAAATTGCTTAGTTTTAAAATGTACCAATTTAATACAGACAAAAAGTACGCTCATTCTTGTATTTAGAATATCAATGACTATTTGTTTTGTTTTTTAAAACTTTTGCCTGGTGTCGAAAAATATTTCCTATATTAAATTTTTGATGTGAGATTTTTATTTTATTATTTTTTTGTTAAAAATTCGTTTTGAAAGCTGTCGGTGAAATATCAAGAAGGGTTTCCAGCAAAAGGGGGAAATAGTGTCGCAAACATTTCGCATTTTTCACGGGAAAAAAATTCGCCGAAAATTTCACATTTTTCGCATTTCGTTCACTCGCTAAAACTGTGAAAGTTCTCGAGAAATCATACTTTAATCTGTTTCGCAATAAAATGCGAAATTTTAGTAAAATTGGAGATGCGAAAATTGAGCAAAAAATGCGAAAATTTAACGTAAAAAATGCGAATAAATTATGATAAAATAAAACTTCCAATGCTGAACTCAAAGCAGAGAATTTTAAAAGTTTTTTTTGCAATTAATTGTTGCAGCTGGAACACGCTTAATCATGGGTCAGGTGAGTTGCCACAAAATAAAAAGTCAAGTTGTTTTAGCGTTTAGAGGATACCGACAAATAATTTTAATTGCTTTGTAGATGATCATCCCCAAACCTAATAAACTCATGAAGCCTCTGAAACGCAAAAATTTGATTAAAGAAACAAGAATTTAAAGCGAAACAATCGTTTAAAAATGGTGGGGTTTTCTTTATAAAAAAGGAAAAAGGAACATATCGTCATTTTGTTTTCGTTATTCTAACAAAAACGTAACGAAAACAATAGTTTTCCTTAATTTTTAATTAGACTATGGCTGCACCCTTACTAGGAACTAATAATTGAGTAACGCACATGGACTTATGAGCTGCTGAAACCTTAATACTAGGTAAGTTAAGACTGAGAATCCATCAATGTGTAAAATTCAATTTTATCCTTGATAAGAGACAGGGTTTCTGTAACAGGAGATCATCCATGTTTAAGTAAACAAGGAAATTTGTGGAATTTAAAAATCCTGAGTAGTTGAAAATTTACAAACTGTTTAAGTACGTAAAATTTACCATATTTCGCTCCTTCAATTTCAAGTGATCCTTCTTTTACAGAGTGTCATGTTGGAGTCACATTGATAACATTCAACCAATGTCTGATAAGAAATGTCGTCTTATCCTTCAATTTTTGATAATGAAAGCATGTTTCCATATCAAAAATTGAAGTAAATTGAGAGACAGAAAAACAAAAATATCTTACTCATTGTTAATCCGATACAAGACTAACCATTGTGAAGCTCAAGTAAATTTCACATAAGATTAAATCTTACTCGCTTATTGCATTCAGTAATTCATGGAAACAAAAGGAAAAGTTTTTCAGCAGACATTAATTACAGATCATTCCTTTAAAATCTTAACCGGCTTCAGTTTGCAAAAACATCACAATTTTTGCGTTTAGAAATATAAAAATACAATTTTACATAACGAGTAACTGTAATTAAAAAATACTAATTTCTTTGAACTCAAATTGTTCTCCTAGAGTGAGAACCTTTAAATTGTAGAATAGGAAGACGAGAGATAAATGTTGTTACAGAGAAAATGGTTTTTCTTCAGTGAAATGGGTTTGTGTAATGTGCATTCAGTGCAAAGCTTACCCACAGTTTTATGGGTTTCACTGTATTCATGAATAAGTTCAAATGGAAAAAAAACTCACCTTTGGATGACAAACAGGACATTCCTCCCAGAAAGGGGACCAATGATAGGAAAGCGAACTAAATAAATAAATAAATATGAAAAATTAAATGCTTCCAAAAATGACTGGAAACCTTATTTTGTGAAACCTTCAAGATAGATGAATACATGTCTCTGAGTAGATGAAATTTCGTAAATATTCATTCACCTCTCAGTTACTAATTCGATCAATTTCGTTTGTTTTAAATACTAGAAACAACAGGCCTATGATGATATGCATGTTACTGTAAAAAGTCTGGCCGCGCCATTAAAGATAAAACCGGGCCTTCCTAGAAAAGGGCGACAAGTCACTTAGACCGGTACAAGTGGTCGGAGCGGTACAGGCCACGAGTCACTAAGGCTGGTACAAGGGGTCGGAGCCGTACTGGCCACAAGTCACTAAGGCTGGTTCAAGGGGTCGGAGCGGTACAGGGCATGAGTCACTAAGGCCAGTACAAGGGGTCGGAGCGGTACAGGCCATGAGTCACTAAGGCCAGTACAAGGGGTCGGAGCGGTACAGGCCATGAGTCACAAAGGCCAGTACAAGTGGTCGGAGCGGTACAGGCCACGAGTCACTAAGGCCGGTACAAGGGGTAGGGCCAGCTTGAATTCAAATTAACCCTTAGTTCATTATGAATAAAATTTAAATATGGATTTCGTAAAATTTTGTTTGATAAATAAATCACCCCTCTTCTTCAGAAGGAATTATGTTTCATTTGGTGCATTGTACCGGTTCAAGTGTACAGCTTACTCTAACTGCTTAAAAAGTAGGTCCGTACTTCAAATAATCCAGTGTTTAAAGGGGGCTGTCTCAGAATATATATACTATAGAATAACAGGTGGCACCTGTATTGGTATGACATTGTGAACATGTATTGGTATGTTATTGTGTACATGTGGTACACTGTTCTTGGGGGGATTTGTTTTGATCAGTTGCATGATTTCTCAGTTTAAACAAGTATGAGGTATTGTTCAGTGTTTATTTGTAACACGGATCAAACATATAACATAAGATTTCGTTATTTCCCTAAAGATAAAAAGTTAAAAAAAAAACGTGGAGTAACTTCACAGGAAGGCCAGGTTTCTGGACTCTCAGGTGTCTGTGCAAAACATATTGAAAACAAATACGTTTCCGGACGAAAGTTAAGTTATAACGCTGTTCCCAGTCTCCATCCTCCCCACTATCCACATCAACAGGAACAGCTAGATAATGGAGAGGGTGAGTCAAAAATATTCAGATTTAGGAACAAAATTTTTTTTAAGATAGATATTTTTCCTGTTTTGCAATAGGTTTTCCTTCCTTTAAGTGCTATTGAGGAGCTATAATGAAATCTCAGGAGGGTGGGGGGGATAGCCCCCCCCCCTGAATCTGTCAGGGGGGTGCGAAGGTCCTGCCGCCCCCCGTATCCTCCCCTGCTTATTTAGTTAATATTGTTCTAATGAATAACTTAATATAAATGAAATTTCATTCAACCCTATGAAGGCTGGGTGCTTTAGATTTATGAAGGATCTAGCTGGGGGCGACTCGCCCCCCCCCCTTAAAAGGCTTGAAATATGTTAAAAATAACATTTTTGTTGTTGTTGACAAATAAAAACATGTGACAACTGATTTTATATTTATTTATCAATAACTTTTCCGAAATGTAACTTTTATATACAGTGATAACCAGAAAACAGTGAAATAGGAAGACGACATTATATCAATGTTTTACCAGACACTTTAAAAATTACTTTTTTTGTGAAATGGGCCTGTTTACACTGCACAATTGCTGTGCTTCAGGGGTTCTGAACTAATGTTCTCTACAAAGAATGTTGCAGAAGAAAAGTTTCTTTTTCAAAAGATGTTGATTTCTACTATGGAAACCGTGAAACCAGAAGTTTTCTCTGAACCTAATGACTATGAATCTGAATTCGCGAAAAATCACCGAACAAAAAAAGTGAAAAAACTTGCAGCTATATATTTCACAATGAGACTTCACCATTTTTGCAGACTCAAAAAGTTTGAAACCAATTCTGGAATCAGGCACTAAAAGCTCATACTGTTTAAAACTGAATAACTTTCAAATTATCCATTTTAAATAGCTAGTGAAATAAATAATTGAACAAATTTTGCAAATTTTTTTGCTATTAAAAGTTTGGTAATTTCTTGTAGAAAGGGCTGTGCCCCCCCCTCCCCCCCCTCCCTGATATTGCATTTTTAGAAGAAAGGACCATGGAGGTTTAAAGGAACTACGACTTACGAGAGAAAAGAGTTAAAAGTTTTATAAACAAGGTTTAAAATTTAAATGGACAGACTTGTTGGCCAAGCGCTGTGGCCACTTTAATGTGCACATTTTTTTACATGGTATGGTCGGTAATTACTTATATTTTGAGGATACACAGATAGCAAGCATTTACTTCTGTTTGGCCAAGTACTGTGGTTATCTAAATGTGAAAAAATACATTTCTGTATTCTATTGTAGATAATTATTTGAGGTTACACAGTTTGGCCTTGCTGGGGCCCGAAGGGAGGGGGGGGGGGCGGAAAAGTTACCCCAATTATTTCCATTTTGTTTTGGTTTTCTGTTTCACATTTTGTAAGGAAGAAAACTATTTGAAACAGTTTTGAAAATTCATGTTTGATTAATTGAAGTAAAGATAAAAAGATAACAAGAGAAAGTTTGGAAAGTGAATCTTCAAAATCCCCCCCAAGATTACTGAACATCTGGACATTTATGTATTGTACTGCATAACCTCCACAGTCCAAAACTTCCCAAACCAAATGCTGCCACCTGTCATTCTTTAGTATATATATTCTGAGGGGGCTGTACACCATTAGCGCCTAATCCAATCAGGGTTCAGTCATGTGTGTGTTACCTATTCTGAACCAATAGATATTGTATGGCGGTAGCATCTATCTTTTTATCCTTCTCATTATCTAATTAGAGATATGAATCCTTTAATCAGCGCTATAACATAAAATGGAAATATTTACTTCCACTGGAACTATGTGACACGGGGATTTAAACAAAATTTGGACACTTCAAATCTTATCTAGTCATTTATCAAATATCCAGAAAACTAGAAAAATTACTTACTTCTGTCTAGTCATGTATGGGTCATTCTTAAACTCTTTAGTTCCGTTCACCAGGAACCTGAACATGACTAGATTTGGATGGAACTGTTAACTATAAACCTGAACATGACTAGATTAGGATGGAACTGTTAACTATAAACCTGAACATGACTAGATTAGGATGGAACTGTTAACTATAAATCTGAACATGACTAGATTAGGATGGAACTTCTTACTATAAACCTGAACATGACTAGATTAGGATGGAACTGTTATTTGTAAACCTGAACATGACTATATCATGATGGAACTACTTACTATCAACCTTAACATGACTAGATTAGGATGGAACTGTTAACTTTAAACCTGAACATGACTAGATAGGGATGGAACTGTTTACCATAAACCTGAACATGACTAGATTAGGATGGAACTGTTAACTATAAACCTGAGCATGACTAGATTAGGATGGAACTGTTAACTATAAACCTGAGCATGACTAGATTAGGATGGAACTGTTAACTATAAACCTGAACATGACTAGATTAGGATGGAACTGTTAACTATAAACCTGAGCATGACTGGATTAGGGTGGAACTGTTATATATAAACCTGAACATGACTAGATTAGGATGGAACTGTTTACCACAAATAAACATGACTAGATTAGAGTCGTTATCGAGTAAATCCTTGAGTTATGGTATTATTTGTCATTTTAAAACAGAAAATTTGAATAAATTGTCATTATTAAAAATATTAACAATATAATTTACAAAGTAATACAAATATCAAAAAAGGAATTAGTAAAACTTTTACATGAAGTTATTAAATACAAAATGTGTTCAAAGAAAATTAAAATAAATTATATAAGTTGATGTATTGTTGACGTTTATTGAAAATAACCAAACAAACAATTACCAAACAGACAAACCAGCAAACAAGTCACACANTCAATATTTATATTGATTAGTTCAATATTTATATTGATTAGTTCAATATTTATATTGATTAGTTCAATATTTATATTGATTAGTTCAATATTTATATTGATTAGTTCAATATTTATATTGATTAGTTCAATATTTATATTGATTAGTTCAATATTTATATTGATTAGTTCAATATTTATATTGATTACTTCAATATTTATATTGATTAGTTCAATATTTTTTTTACGCTGAACCTTTAAAAGTTATTTTGGGTAACTATAATATCGTAATTGCTAAAATTTGGTTAATATCTCTTAAGAAATATAGCTTATTATTTCTAAGAATTAGTAGAGTACTTGCAATGTAAAGTTATCTTTTTCCAATAATAAAATCATAATTTCTTAAGATTGGTGAAATAGTTTTTAATAGATATTTCATAGTTTCTAATCACACGTTAATTAACTTCTAAAAATTGGTTCCATATCTCTAACAATTATTTATGACAAATCGTTTAATACTTCTAAATATGGTTGGTGGGTCTCCGTGAGTGGTTAAAGAATTTGCAGCTTTGCTAGATTATATCTGCTCTTGGGGGAAAACATCGTAGGTTGTCTGTAAATTTCTCCGCTCTGAGCGAAGAAAAAAAGTGAGTGGGTAAGACTCCGTAAATATATCTCCGCTCTAAGTAAAAAAAAAACACGGATGGGACTCCGTAAATATATATCCACTATGAGTAAAAAAACGTGGATGGGACTCCGTAAATATATTCCAGTATGAGTAAAAAAACGTGGATGGAACTCCGTAAATATATATTCACTATAAGTAAAAAAAGCCGGATAGGACTCCGTAAAAATATCTTCACTATGATTAAAAATAAACGTGGTTGGGACTCCGTAGATATATTTCCGCTCAAAGTAAAAAAAGCGTGGGTGGAACCTGTATATATCTTCGCTTTGTAAAAAAACCTGGGGGGGGGGGACTCCGTAAATATATCTCCGCTTTGTGAAAAAAAACGTGGGTGGGAATCCGAATATATATCTCTATTTAAATTGTGTGGGAGGGAAGGTAGTTTTGCAGCTACAACAATAGCATAAATATTTTATTCTGGTTCTTTTAAATATTTATGAGAGCTAAGGAGCTTGTATGAAGGAGTAAGCCGTTAAGAAACTTGAATGAATATTAGGTTAAATCACAAGAATATTGCGCCTAATTAGAGAAATACAAGAGGTGTGTATACCAGNTGGGTGGGTTGTCAAAGAAAGTCCCTAAATAGCGATTCACGGCGGTACCCTTAATTCCTTTGCCAAAACAAAGGATGAAGGAGAAATCTTTGTTTTTCCGTCTGAAAATTAACTATTTTCTATTGGGGGTTTCTTAAAAAATAACTTGCAGATTTGCAACTGAGACAATGAAGGTAAAATTTAATACAGGGTATCAACATGATTTGATTTGATATAACTTTCAAATAAGAATAAGTAATGTATTCATTTGAATGTTACAATCTCTGCATCTCAACAGCCTGATGGTGTAAACCGTTGATTTGCCCAGTGGATATATCAAGGAAAATGAGTAAAAATGAAATATCAAAGGTCTTCGACGTCAGATTAGTAACATAGATGCAAGTGTTAAAGGGACTGTAAGCATAATTTTAAATGACCCTCCATGCAAAGATGACAACGCCCGATTCACACCGGTACCCTTTAAAGCTTTGTCTAAATTAGATTTAAATTAATGTTTATAATCTTAAAACTGATTATTTTAAATTTTCTATTACAGGAAAACATGTTATCAGAATTAACACTTTAAGATCTAAAAAAAACATTATAAAATCATATGAAAGGTTTAAGAGAAGTAATTCGGGCATTTGAATCTTAACAAGGAGGGTTACTGAAAATTAGAATTACAGTCCCTTTCAGCCCCTTTGTTTACCATTGATGTACTCATCCTGAACAGCCTCTAGAAACTGTTGAAATGATCCCGTCATAACTTCAGGTCGAACCAGGGGATTTTCAAAACTGAAACATATCTTTATTTATATAACTTTCGGTGGGGGGGGGTGGATTTGGTTTCATGGATATTTTCTTTAATAAAATATTGATCTTTAAAAAGACGATCTTTGGTGTACAATATACTCTTAAAAAGATTATCTGATTAGTTATGTAGAAGATATCGTAGTTCTTCTAGCTTCACAATAAAATATAGAGAGCTTATTTGTTACTTAGATATAGGTATAAAGTGTGCCGTCGTGAATTTGACATTCCAATCTGAAAATGGAAGAACGCTTGAAATTAAGCTACTGTCATTTTGAATAAATATTTTAACCTGTCAGGGTTTGAAGAATTTTCACAAAGGTTTCTGTGCTTTAGAAACTTAGACTCAGGGTCACAATAATCAGCAAATATCATTCTATAAAAGACAATCATGATGATGGTAATGATATAATATAGATGATAATGATTATAATGATGATAATGATGATAATGATGATAGTGATGATAATGATGATAATGATGGTAATGATGATAATGATGATAATGATGATAATGATAATAATGATGATAATGATGATAATGATGATAATGATAATATTGATGATAATGATGACAATGATGATAATGATGATAATGATGATAATGATGACATGATGATAATGATGATAATGATGATAATGATGATAATGATAATAATGATAATGATGATAATGATGATAGTGGTGATAATGATGATAATGATGATTATGATGATGATGATAATAAACCTGTAGGCTGAAACAAGTCTTTCTAAAGGATGCCGAACAACAACAGCTCGAAGATTTTTTCTTTCATCCCATGCCCTGCAGGACAAAATATTTATTCTAAAAATGTGTTTTTTTTTTAATTAAAAACTTTTATTTCAAACACATAAAGAATTATTTAAATCAAAAGTTTCAATTAATAAGTTTAGTTTGTTCGTGGCGACTCCTGACTAAACCATTGAACTATTTTCGTTTATTCAATGTATTTAGTAAAATTTAAATCCTTTTTTGTACAAACAAAAGTTCGAATTTTCAATTTTTGCAAAACATACTAATAATACTGATAGTTTTTTGTTTGAATACGGATATTTTGTTATTTTGATTTATTTTCACAACAATTTTTTGTGAAAATAAATTTATAAAAATGTTTCAAAAAAAACTTAGGAAATTGTGCTTAAGGTGGATTTTATCAAAAAATGCACCATTACCACTCTTAACAGTATCAGGTCGACTTTTAGGGCATGCATGGTAAGTGGCATGCAGTAAGCATACATAGTGCATACCATCGAGGTATCGAGATTGCAAAGATCGAGGATTTTCAAAAATGTATGTCATCCTATTTCTGTGACACTCGCCCCCCCCCCTCTATCCTCCCCCATCATCATTAATATAAAATAGGAAAAATTATTGTGAAAATCCCACTCCTTGGTATACTTACTTCAAATTTAAGACAAAAAATGTTCCAAATAAACGCCCACAGTCCTGCTTTAATCATTAATGAGAATATGAAATTAGAAATATCTCTCTTTACATTCATAATTCCAAGATCATCAGAAGAAAACTATATAATTTTAGCACAGTGGGATTTGTTTAAGACCGATTATAAGTTGAAATTATTAACATTATACAAAAACCTTTAAATTATTTTACATTGCCCCCCATTCCACTTCCACACTTAGTTAAATTAAAATATATGATTTTTTAAAATCTTAATTTTGTTTAAAAATAGAATAATTTCACAGTATTTACTTTTTTGTGTACAATATAGAAAATTTCAAAATATTATGATTTTTTTATTCACATTTAAAAACTCCAGTTTTTAAGGTTATAGTGGTCATGCAGTATGCAGTGTTGTGGACAAATTCTTTAGGATTCATTTGAGACATATAAAACTTCTTAAAGATCTGTAAATCCTCAAAAGTCGACGTTCAAAATCGTACCTTTGGGTGGATACGTTTTCAGGATTGTTTTTTTAACTATTAAATAATGACGACAAAAAATGTAAACAAAATTCTGCAGTAAACTAATTAGTTGTTTTGGAACGGGTTTAGAAAATAAAAATTAACTCTTATCATCGAAAATAAGTAATCTTATTCAATTATTAGTTTCTATATTCTCTCTTTAACAAAAAGATTTTCTGGAATTTTTATTAAAAAGACGACATTTGAAGAATGAGAAGAAATCTACGAACAAATTCATAGAAAATAAAAATTTCAATATAATGATAAAAAAGTAAATAATTAATTCTAACTTCGATTTATTGTCACATTTCTTTTGAGAAATATGTTCCTAATTGCATCTAATTAATTTACTTTACAATTTTTACTTTATTTTTCGTCGACGTCGTCGTCGTTATCTAATAATTTTAAAAACCCGATTCTGAAAACGTACCCTCCCAAAGAAATTGAGTTTTTGCCACAAATTAAAATTTCTAATCCTTATATTTTTGCAACCAGATGGTGTAAACCAATGATATTTCAAACTTCAGACTATTTAATCTAACAGAATTCATAGTTTGAAATATCAAAGGTTTACAACATCGGGTTACTAAGATATAGGGGGGGGGGGGGAGTTAGAATTTGTGGTAAAAACATATTTCCTTTATGATTTTAAACGTCGACTTTGCGCTCAAACTCAGTAATTATACATCGGGAAACGTTTTATATGTCTCAAATGAATCCTAAAGAATTTGTCCACAACACTGCATACTCAGTTTAACTATCTTACATAGCCGGTCTGTCCATCTAAAACGATTTTATAAGCCTTCATTTGGTTCGAATATGGAATATAAAAACCTCACCCTTTTCTCCATGCTGATTCTGCCCCTGGATATTTCTTGTTAATTTCTCTAGAAAAAACACCCCAAGCGTGAGACCCAACCTGTAAATATATTTTAAATAAACTATAATTCTCAGATTAATGCACTTAACTCCATCACAGCCATAGAGAATAGAATATATATTAGAGAGGAATTTAAAGAATCTCTCGGTATGATGTTTTTCAGTCCATTTCAGCCTGAAAGGGAGTTCAAAGTGTACAAATCACGTAAATGTTCACAAATTATATGTAGTAGAGTACATTAATACAGTATGTTCCCTAGACTATTCATTTCAATTTCGAATTTTTTAAAGCTGTTAAATAAACTTTATAATGAATTAGGTGAATTAAAAACATCATTTGATTTATAGTTATAACGGAAATCATCGTTTGTAAAGTGAAAGGCATAGAGTCTATGTGAAATGATCATTGGTAAATTATGAAACCAGCCTATTTCATAATTTGGTTTTCTTTTAACACTAATTTGAGATTTTCTATAAAATGATATTCCAGGGCCCAAAAGGTTATTTAGCATAAATATGTGAAGTACACCTGCAGTATGGAAACAGCACAACAAAATGGCCGTTTTACACTTTTTTCCATTAAATTCCCCTCTAATATATATTCTATTCTCTTTGATCACAGCTAACTAAATCAATAATCACTGCATCATTAAGAATTATATTTTTACCAATAAACAAAATTTCTTCTGAAATTTTTAGAGAGAATTTACTCAATTTACATATTCACCAACTCTTTTAAGCTAAAATTTTCTGGGATTTGCTTGCACAAACATTTCAATGATTTTTTCAGTAGAGAGCTCAGACAGGTGTTACTTTTTAAACGTAGTTTCCTTTTAATTTTGTATTTTCCAGGGAGGGCAGTGCCCCGCCTGGAACTCCCAGAGGGGGCAAGAGGACTACTGCCCCCCCCCCTAGGTACGCCACTGTGCCTGGCCTGAGGAAGGGAAATGCAAGCAAATGTAAAAAAAGAGCCTCCCCCATGGGTGCCCCCCTTCAGCCTCTCAGGGGGGGGCACACATAGAGGGGGGCGGGGGGCGCTTCCCCCCCCCTCGTACGCCACTGATAAATATTGGATGCTTTCAGATGTTAAAAGTGAATTAAAGTGGTGCGCAATTAGAATATTAATGCCCCGTAATCTGATTTTAAGTGCCGTGCGTTAGAAATATGGCTTAAGACAATGTGCCTTAACAAACAGCAGTTTTTTTTAAGGAACAGAAGATTCCGTTAACGAAAGGCAAATACCGTTTATTTGTATCCTCAACGAACGGAAATAACCATTCATGCAGAAGATACAAACGGAAAATAAAAAAGAACAAACAGACGTTTTTTTTCAAATATCAGCAAATTTTGTTAACGTTACAGGATAAAAAGAATGTCTTTAAAAAAATGTTTTTATATGTAAAATGTCATCTTCTAATTTCCCCAGATAACTTTTGAACGACTTTCGCTGACAATTTTTTTTTCTAACGATTTGTACAGTCGTCTTCGCTTATATCAATATATTGAAGACAACTTTTAATTTCAATCAACATGGATATGGAAACAAAGAAAAGCTGTCAGTTAACATCGTCTCTTTGTTTGCTTGCAAAAAAAAATCTTATATTGGTGAAACAAATAAAAAATCTCTTAATTATCTTTAAATGATTTTATCTTTGATGCCTAGTTCACCTTATGTGGAATGCAGACTGTGATCGGTGGTGTCCCTGGTAGAAATACAACTTCCCTCCCTGGGCTCTGAAAGTTAAATGGTGTACGTTTTTGTCACCCCTCTTTCCTATCAAATTGAGACCCCCTTTTATTGGAGACCCCCACAGCCATCTCATCGGGAACCCCATGATTTTTATTTGAGACCTAGATTTTCGTCAGATTTACATTTGAGACCCATGCGGTTATCTTCTGAGACTAATTTTTTGATCCGGAGACCCCCAGGTTTTAATTAAAGACCCAAAGATTTTTATCAGAGCCCCAGGTTTTCATTGAAGACCCACAGGTTTTTATCTGAGACCTCCCAGGTCTTAATTGAAGACCCACAGATTTTTATCAGAGACTCTTGGAGAGTCTGAGGTCTTTCATTAAATTTTAGGTCTCTTCGATAAAATATGGTTGTCTCTCTTTAATAAAAATATGGATGTCTCTCTTCAATAAAATATGGTTGTCTCTCTTCAATAAAATATGGATGTCTCTCTTCAATAAAATATGGTTGTCTCTCTTCAATAAAATATGGTTGTCTCTCTTCGATAAAATATGGATGTCTCTCTTCGATAAAATATGGATGTCTCTCTTCGATAAAATATGGATGTCTCTCTTCGATAAAATATGGATGTCTCTCTTCAATAAAATATGGATGCCTCTCTTCGATAAAATTGGATGTCTCTCTTCAATAAAATATGGATGTCTCTCTTTGATAAAATATGGATGTCTCTCTTCGATAAAATATGAATGTCTCTCTTTGATAAAATATGGATGTCTCTCTTTGATAAAATATGGATGTCTCTCTTCGATAAATTATGGATGTCTCTCACATAAATAACTAGAGGCCTCCAAGGAAAATTTGAGGGCCTCCGAGGCTCCGATAAAAACCAACCAAAACCCCGAACTGAAAACAATCATATTAAACCAATAGCTTTTGGTTATTGTTTTACCTGTGTTCTAGCTTGTAGAACATTATAATAAGGACTAGAAGAATTCATCATCACACCACAAACTGATGGATTTATGCCAATAAATAAACAATTCCGAATAATATGCAATCTTTCAGAAAATGTTATACTTAGACTTTTGCTCTAATAAGTTTATGAAATAAACAAACGAAAACAATCATTTGAATATAAACAGTCCAAAAAAATTGTCAAGTTAAAAAAATTTTATTTTAAAGATGTTTTAAAAGTCAAAACTTTGATTACTAGTTTGAAACATAAAATAATTTGTACAGCACAGAAACATTTCTCCAAAGAGTTTCTGCCCAAACAATCCTGATTTTTAACCTCTCATGCAGGATACTCCACAGTAATTTGAGAAGTTTAGTAAATTTTAAAGTTAAATTCTCTAAAAGTTTACTTTAATTACACAAAATATTTACTATGCCAGAAGATATAATCCTGAATTCTTTCATGAACGATTGATTTGCCTCTTTTAGGGTTATATCTTCTGTCAGAATTAAATATTTGCATAATTGCATTAAAGGAAACTAACAGAAAATAAAATTTTTAATTGAAGAAGGTTTCATAGATTTTGTAAAGCCTCATAAAAGCAAAAAAATGAAAAATTGCGATGCCCGACTCAAGAGGGACTAATCAGAGCTGGGAACTTTTGAATGTTGGATATCGGGATTAATGCTTGATACACTCTTTTTCTCCTCAAGTTATTAATCTCTAGATTAATTAACCGATCAGGATTAAGGATATCCCATTCTAAAGTTTTCAGCTCAGAGCTGAAAACTTTAGAATGGTGGATATCGAGATTAATGCTTGATTCTTTCTTTTTCATAATATCGAGACTAATCTATTCTTGTACTTGTATCCTGAAAAATGTATAAAATTCAACCAATCAGAGTCGCGTATTTGAAGCCGATAAATTTGAAATTTTGCGCGCCATTTAAGATAATATACAGAAACGGGAGGGACTCTCTAATTTAGAAAAACCGGTTTTGGATTTTTCTCTACTATATCCAAGAAAGAACGGTTTAAGAAGAAAATCAAAAGTGTGTCAATTGGATAATCAGATTAAGTTATCGGGATTAAGGATCTGATGATATCTCATTCTAAAGTTTTCAGCTGAGAATACATTTCTATAAGTGTATTTATTTACTATTTCCCTGATTCAAGATGTTTACGCCGCCTTTTAAAGTTGTTGAGAACCGTTTCCGTCATTTCTTTCACAATTTTTAAACTTCCAGCATCTTTCTGTTTACTGGTTAATATTAGAAGACAAGAGCAGGAAAGGAAAAAAATCACTGTTAAAAATACCACAGACTGGGATTTTAACCATCTTTTCATTTTCATAAGTTCGTCTGAAAGTGTTAGTTTTGAAAGATTATCTAATGTGTTTTTTTATCATAAAAATTGAAGAAAAAGAATTGATATATATTATTTATATCACGCCAGTCTAATAGTTGCATGATCCGAGCTGGTACAACATGTTTAGTCATACCGTCCAGTTGCAGGCTATCAAGTGTAGAGTGGACCCAGCACGTTTTCTGCAACAAATGTAGCCTGGCAAGATTACAGTAATATGTATCTACGTGCAGTTAAACCGTAAATGAGCCATACATCGAAAGAATTTATCAAACGTGGTTTTGACAATTTTTTAATTGGTTTTATACTATTTTACGTATATCTCGGTATCTGCGAAAATAAATAAATAGCCATGAATATGCGGGAACAGTTTTAAAGAGCACAATATAATCATTTATAAAAAAAGAAAAATATATCTGCAACATTCCATTATCAGAAAGTGAAAACTACGACATTTGATGAATTCTTTCGATGTCTGGCTTATTTAGGGTTTAACTGTACAATATATTGAACTTAAAATTTTGACAATGACAAATAGTCCTTTTTCTCTGCTCAGATGCCACATTTTTGGAAAATTCTTAGACTGTATTTTAAAATGTATATTTTTTATCAAACCCCAATTTATCAAACCCCAATTCTAAAATAAAAACATGTGCAAAATGTCCAAAACTATGCATTTTAGAAAAACCCATTTCAAATATGAATATAACCTGGTATGTAATCAAGATATGAATATAGCCTGGTATGTAATCAAGATATTAATATAACCTGGTATGTAATCAAGATATGAATATAACCTGGTATGTAATCAAGATATTAATATAGCCTGGTATGTAATCAAGATATGAATATAGCCTGGTATGTAATCAAGATATGAATATAGCCTGGTATGTAATCAAGATATTAATATAGCCTGGTATGTAATCAAGATATTAATATAACCTGGTATGTAATCAAGATATGAATATAACCTGGTATGTAATCAAGATATTAATATAGCCTGGTATTTAACCAAGATATGAATATAACCTGGTATGTAATTAAGATATTAATATAGCCTGGTATGTAATCAAGATATGAATATAACCTGGTATGTAATCAAGATATGAACATAACCTGATTTGTAATCAAGATATTAATATAACCTGATTTGTAATCAAGATATGAATATAACCTGATTTGTAATCAAGATATGAATATAACCTGGTATGTAATCAAGATATTAATATAGCCTGGTATGTAATCAACAAATACTAAAAGTTAGTAAATTTATTTTGAATAAGGTGTCGCTTTCTTTTAGGTTTAAAAATGTAAAATAAAACTATTGAAGCGAAACCACAATTGAAAACAATCGCTTTTAATTGTATACAACATTGATATATATTTCATACTTGATCAAGCAAAGATTTTTATGGTTTCGTCGTGCACTCTTTTATAATCCTCATGTTTATTGAAACTTCATGACTTAAATAGGTTAGGGTTGTTTTTCCATTTTCTGAAGGAAAAATCCTTGTTTTCCTCATTGTGCATCAATATTTTTGAACTATGTGTATTTGTTGAGTGTGTCCAAAATTATTTGCAGAAACATATTTTTGATTTTTAATCTTGCATTTGTTCAGGGGTTATTTTTCATTGGACTACATCGACACGCAGTCCATAGACACTAGGTCAGATTAATTAGCAATACCAGATAAAACACTAGATGTCGTCTTTTCAAGATGTAGGGGTTTTTCGATCAAAATAACCCTTAGGCAGAAGCCAAAGGAGTTATGCGCATGCTACATAGAAAAAGCCTCTGCTAAGCCGCAAACAGGTATAACTCCTTTGTGCTTCTGTCTTAGGATTATTATGAACGAAAACCCTCTAAATCTTGAAAAGACGACATCTAGTGTTCTATCCGCTATTGTTAATCTATGCATGGTGGCAAAGATAATGACAACGACATTTTAAACTTAAATACTACTCTAAATTTGAACTCCTATCACCTGAACTACAGATCTAATGACCTATTGAATATTTAAACAACTTGTTATCTTTAATACAGGCATGATACCATATCCAGTAATTAAATAAAAAATTATGTTTCTTTAAACCATTCATTTTCTGAATAAATGTTAAATGTGAATGACACACAACAGGCACTTGTATTTATAGGTTCACTTGTAATTCCGTTTACAGTCCCTTTAAATATGGAGACTGGGGAGCAATAGTTATTTAAAATATCTTTTCTGTTAAACTCGAGTTTACTTTGGTAAGCTCTAAATAATTATGCTTGATCTTTTTTAACTAAGCTTCTTTTGTTTGTACTTTCACAAAAATGTCGGAAATATTATTTAGACACCTTGCAACTTGTTTACCAAAAATTGCAGGCTTGCAAGTAAACTGCTAGACTTTTGCACTCTGCAATAAGGAAAATTATCTATCACTGTAATAATATCGATTGAAGGGAAGTACAGGGTGTCCCACATCAAGTCAATGGGTCTAAATTACGATTTGGGAGACAAATGGTAAAATTTAAGAAGAATGAGAACTGATTATTCAGTGTATTAGTATAAACGTTATTACAGTGTATGGGAAATAAGTGACGACTTTTATATCGTCTTCGATCCATTTGTGGCATTTTTCATGAACATAATTATTGCAGTATTCCAGTTTAAACATCTTACATCGAAAACGCATGGTATTGAGAAATTCAAAATGTGGTCTAATATTTTTGTATCTTCAAAATTAACAGAGATATTGCAAAAATAATCAAAATTGGCTTAAATTCTAATATCTTTGTCAACTTTTAAGACACAAGAAAGGTATTGAGATTGACCACTTTATGAAAAGCTTATAAGACGTACAGCCTCGGTTTTATACTTTTTGCCATGCCTTAAATATCAGAAAACAAAGACGACGTATCTCAAGTCCCATTTTTATTGGGACACCCTGTACAATATTCATAACATATCATATATTTCAAAGGGTGTATCATTAAAAATTACATCTTCACTTTGTAAATATGAAAAGTATAAAACAAAAAGATCATGCATCGTCATTTTGTTGATTAAAAAAACCTAAAAAATGGACGAAAATAAGATATGCTCAAAAGTTTTGGTGTAAAAAAGCAAAAATGTGTGAATATCTTTAATCCCTGTCAAATCATAATTCTAATAATGCAAAAAAAAATAATTTATAATCTTGGAAAACCAGGAAGATGGGGAATCATTTTCTATAGCAGGCCTAACTTCATTTTAATTGAGCTATTGTAAATCTTTAAAAAAAGGAAAATAACACAATTCCCACTTTTTAACTGATCATGACTGCCTAGCGATGTCTCCCATCTCACTGAATCCTGGATCTAAAATTTTGCTTGTCATTATAATCTGTACCTTTCTAACTTTTCACATGATTTTAGGGACATGGTAGGATTAATACACTGATACAGAAGTACCCACAATGGATGAGACTGTAAAGACGACCTAAAACTACTAAAAGTACTACATAAGATATTAATCTAACTTTACTTAACTTTGAAGTACTACATAAGATATTAATCTAACTTTACTTTAGTTTGAAGTACTACATAAGATATTAATCTAACTTTACTTTAGTTTGAAGTACTACATAAGATATTAATCTAACTTTACTTTAGTTTGAAGTACAACATATGAGATATTAATCTAACTTTACTCTAGTTTGAAGTACTACATAAGATATTAATCCAATTTTACTTTAGTTTGAAGTACTAGATAAGATATTAATCTAACTTTATTTTAGTTTGAAGTACTTCATAAGATATTAATCTACCTTTATTTTAGTTTGAAGTACTACGTGTATTAGTTAGTAAGGAAAATCATTTTCAAATTCTGACGTAAGCGTGACACGACTATTTGGATTTTATGCAAATTATCCTGTATATTTTTAGATATAAAAATATCCTATTGTGAAGGTGATTAAGCTGGAAATTCTTAAATAATATTTTCTGCGGAGTTAACAATATTCAAAGATTTTCAAAAATACATTATAAAACCTTTGTTTGTTTATTGAGAACAGAGATCTTTGTGCGAAAACCTATTAAAAACGGCTTAAATTCCCGTACAACACGGCGTACAGTGTAAACTAAAGACAGCTGATCCGTTACTTGTGTCCCTTGAGATTATTGAATATTTAATTTAAAGTTTATGGCCGCTATAATGCTTCAGCATTGTTCTACACATGATAAAAGCTGCTCAGAGTTCACAGCTCTGGCTATGTATCCATATATTAATTTATAAGATACATATAAAAATGCAGTGCCAGGTCGGTACGAAATTAGTAGAGCAGTCCCCATCTATGTCTTTCCTAGATTGGAGTGTTGCACCCCCCCCCCTCCCGCACACAAGCAGTCAGACACGAATATTCTGCCTCTCTGCGTAGTTAAAAGGACATTGGATCAAACAATAAAATAAATAATAAACATATTCAACCATATTTAAAAATGACTATAATAATAAGGTCTGATATCCACGAAAATATTATTGAAAAAATAACAAATACCTGTATAAATTTTTTTTTAACATTTATTGTTCATCTTAAAAATGGGCACTCAAGGAAATAAGTTTTTGCCACAAATTCTAATTTTTTAATCCAAATATCTTTGCAAACCGATGTAGTAGACATTTGATATTTCAAGCTATGAATTCTGTTTGATCAAATAGTATTAGTTTGAAATGTCAAAGGTTTTCATCATCAGATTGCAAAGAGTAATAAGAAAATTTTAGTGTGACAAAACTTATAAAAAATGGAATACTATAGAGTAATGTCCATGCATAGTACTTCTAAACTTTTAAACATTTTTAAAAATATTTCTTGCAGAGGATATACATAGAAGTCCACATTACATAGCACATTTTTTCAACAATATTTTGAACTATTTACAAGGAAATCTTATCAAGTATTAGAGTGATGCATGAAATACTGATAGGTTTTGATAAGAAAGTTAGCTCAATTTGGAATACTGTCATCAATCTACTTAAAAAATGATGATATATGTTTTAGTAGGCATTTAGTAGGCATTTCCCAACATGTTGGCTATGCGCCTATTGTAATTATTAAAGGTTTCTATCCACTACAGTTCCAGATGTAAATTCTAGGGATTTCGAGATCACTCATTTGTTCCTATGTCTAGTACAAATATTTTACTCTACATCATTTATAAAATATGGCTCTATATTTTGACTTAAATATCATACAGATGATAAAGTCAGTTTTTTAAGTGATAGTTTGTATGGATAATCAATTAACTTAGCAATATGACTCTACAATTAGGAAAAGTTAATGAAGTAAAATTTGATTTATCATACTCGAAGACATTTGAAATATGTCGTGCCAGTAGAAAATAATATAATGTAATGACGAGCCAGTATATAGATATCTTTTCACCTGGGCAGCTCGCACAGTAAGCCCAGTTACAATCATAACCTTCGGTGGCTATAATAGACAGAAAACGGGGAAACAATATCTTTACTCTATTTCTTTTAATTTATGCTTTTAATTAAGCAATACATCGTTTACACTGCATCTTGTGTTTCTGTATTTAGTTTTTGATAGTTTCAAAGAGAATTCAATTCATAGAGAATTCAATTTGTAATTTGTAAACATTTGAATATTTTCAAATGATTGGGCAAAATGTTTACCAAGTACATTAATATTTACATTTCTATGACTTTGATTTTTAGTCAAATGAATATTATTAGATTATTCCTAATAATATCAATTTGTGTCTACAAAGAATAAATAATTGACTGTCATGCATGGTTCTCTCAAACAAAATTGTAACAATGTGCAAAAATTCTGTAAATAAATCTATTTATATACATAAGATATTAGCAAATAATGATTCTGTCCAGGTTAACAAAAAAATAAAAATTGTCCATTTTATCTTAAACCATGAAACACCTAATAAATGACCTAGAATAAAATGTTTGAAGCTGAACTATGAAAGGTTTTCTCCAGTTACAAAGAATTTATAGTAATTGAGGAGAGTTTTCAGTTTCTTTAAAAACAATAAAATCCACTATTTTTTCACGATTTCTGATTGATTATAATTCTTTAACTTCCTACATTTGTAATCTGCAATGAATTTAAATGACGAAACATGTCGTCTTTCATCTTAGAATTAACTTGCGGCATTTAATGTACAGGGTTGCCCACGAAGATGAGACTTCAGAGACGATTGCACGAAATCTTAACTGTCTGTACTCTCTTTCCTTATATTCACAATTCCCTGCAACTGTAAACTTATTTGTTTCTTTGTCAAATCATTGAAGAAGCCTTTAGGTTACGATTTACAAGGTAGAATAAATAAATAAACCCGGGGAGTGTCATATTTCAAGAGTTTCCGATCTTCTTTACAGTCTTATCGATACTTTGTGGCTAATCCTGTTAGTAACCTTGTTTTAGCCTTTATTTTTAATGAAAAAATAATCACAAAACAGCCTTAATAATGTCCTTTTTTTGCTTTAAAAAACCAGGGATATTAAAGATATTAAGAATTCTGCATAAATTTTAAGCTATAAAATAACACAAATGAAAATGTCTCATTCTGAATGAAATGTTTCATATCTCCGTTAATTATGTTACTAAAATGCCAGACCACATTTTGTTAATGGCAGGACTAGGGCTGTTCTGTGAATATAGTTTCATGAAAAAATAATAATATAAGGTATACCAATGTTGAATGCCGCAAACTATTTCTAAGTTCAAAGACGACTTTGAAGTCATCAATCAATTTTCATTATTCCGGGTTATTTAGAGTAGAGTCATGTAATATAACAGTTATTATCAACGACTTAAAGATTTTTTCATTTTTTTCTGCACATTGATGCATCCTCTGTATTTCTGAAACCTGATATTATTTTACCCAGTTCTAGCCCAGTAGCTTCTCATGGCTAGTCTTCTTTCAGGACTACCGATCACAGAAAACCCTGGAACATGTTCAAGGTGAGATGTTTGAGTCTGAGGACCAGACTTGTCAAACTCAAAGCTTTCTGTGTTCGAATTTAATGAATTTAAGCCGCGTCTCAAATCCCCCAAAAACCTGTTTCAATTAAGTGCCGGCTTAAATCTTAAAAAATTTAATACAATTTTAAGTGGAACTAACCAGATTTAAGCAGCGGCTCAAATTCTTTAAATTCGACCTCAGGAGAAATAATTTAAGTTGTGTTTTTAAATTACTGAACAATCTCTTTAACAGCTAAATTTTTTTTTATATACATAAAAAGATAAAATATTAGCACATACTTTTATATATATATTTATATATTCAATTTATTATTCAATCAAAAAAACAGATAAACATATATATATATATATATATATATATATATATATACAGGGTGTGTCGGTAAATATGCAAATTAAGTGACGACTTCTATGTCGCCTTTGTTCCGTGGGCTATTATCTCGTGAAATATTTTATTATAGTTTCAGAGTATACAGACAGTTATTAATTCAAACTACTAGTTGTGGGAATTACAAAATGTGATTTACCATATGTCCACATTCAAAATTGATGGAGAAGTTAAGAAATTTGTCTAGATTCCAATAAATAAAACAACAACAAAATTGTTTAAATGTTTAATATCTCTGTCAATTTTAAGGATACAAAGAAAGAAAAACAACATTTTGGAAAGCTTAAAAGACTTGCACTCGTTATTATCGGAAATCGAAGACGGTTTTCTCATGATTTCCATGTTTATTGAGACACCCTGTACATATGGTATACCATATGTATTGTATACATTATTGTTCAATCTTTATCAATACCTGTAGACCTATTACTCGCAGAATTACTGCTTCCAGAGTTACTGTTTGAAGCATTGCTGCTTCTAAAGTTATTGCTTGAAGCATTGCTGCTTCTAGAGCTGCTTCTTGAATCATTACTACTTCCAGAGTTATTGCTTGAAGGAGCATTACTACTTCTAGAATTACTGCCTCTAGAGCTGCTGCTTTGATTACCACTGATTCTTGCATTGCTGCTTACAGTACTATTGTCTACAATATCCCTGCTTCGAAAAGATTCCGTCACTAAAGCTGAAAGATTTTTAAGGAAAAGCTTTTTTAAGTTTTCAAATTTTCTCTTGCAGAGCTGTTCGGACAATTTATGAGTAAAATAAACATGACAAAAGTGCCAAATTCTGTGGTTTATTGAGGGAGGTGTGATCACATTAAGTACTTGGTGACACTGAACCCAATAAAATGACCTCCCAGACCTGCAATCTTTTATTTATTTCTTATTTCGACATTCGATATGGAAAGACAGTTTTAAACTCCATTGTACGATTATAAAATTCTATTAAACTCTGTTGAGATTTTTTTGATAAAATGCTGTTTCTTTTGAGAGACTTGAACAAACAATATGAGCTAGGTTTGGAGCTCATTCTGTATATATGTATTTGGCTTTAGGTCATGCCGACATGAGCACCACCTTCCTCAATGATAATAAAAAAGATGAGTTTATATAAAATTATTTTACCTCTAACCTTGATGTCTTCTGTCACAAAGATAAAATTCTTCCTGGAAAACAAAAATAATTATCCAAGATTATTTTCCAAAATAACATTTTCATATATGACGATTTCCTAAAAGTGTATTTTTCTAAATTGTCTGAAAGAGGAATGAGGGACATTTTGGAAATTGCAGCTGTAGAAACGGTTCATGATATGGGAAATTAACTCATGAAAAAATGCCTAATTTGGATATGGTCACTTGTAGTTCAAATGAGAAATACTGGAAAGACTAATAAAAAGCATAAATAATGTTGTCTTCGCCAAATATTTTATCAAGAAAGGATTTTGTAATTTGTAACTGTTTTAACTTTACAAATGTATGCACTGAACAAGTTAAGATAAACCAAAAAAATCTTTAATTTTAATTATAATCAAAAGCTTAATCAAAGACAACTTTCATACTGGTTTTGACTTTATGAATTCTATTGTTCCCGGGTTTTTTAGGCCCCAACGGGATTTGAGTCCCCCTGAAGAAAAAAAATTTAAGAACCCCGGAAAAATTCCTGTATTTGCTCCTGCAATAAGTATTCTTTGATGATTGCTTCAAAGGAATTCAAATTCGAATGGATCCTTTCAAAAAAAAACGTCTAAGGCGTTAATTCGTAAGTTTAACGCCAAAAAAATTAAAATATTTCTTTGAAAAGGAACAAAAAATTACCTGGTCGCAATGTTTTCCTGTACTGGTAAATCAGCAGACTTCTGTTTATATTTTGTTGTCACGTGATCTGGTAAAAACCGGGAACATATTGCATTCATCTCTACACTGGAAAATGAATGATAAAAAAATTTTGAACTTAAATAGTAAGTCGTCTTCATTGTATTGATTTATACAACGACGACCGATGACATTATAATTGAACTACGACTGAAAAATTGTTCTTCAAAAATCTTGTAAATTATCCAGTCATGTAATGTAAGTTGTGTGGTCTTAGTAGCAAAACTAGATCTTTTAAACGCTACAAAGGTATAAAATTAATCCTATGATTTAAAACCATACCTATGCAGTCACTCTTTTATAGATTTGGTGATTTCTTTCAGATTTAAGAAAGTATAAAAAAGAAAATAATAAAAGAAAACACACTAAAACTAAAAAAGCAGGGTTTTGCCACTATAAATACAGCTTTTATTTAAAAAGGGACTGTTGTCGGTTTTTCCAATTTTTTGACTGACATGTCTGATTCACAATGGTACAAGTAAGCTTTGTCCGAAAATAATAATGATCGAAAAATCCTCGATATCTCTCAAATAACTGTATATCCACAAAGCTTATTTGCACATTTCTGGTGTAAACAAACAGAGGAGATTAAACAACACTTAATGGGAGTGTTCGCGAAAAATGAAAGGGGTAAAGGCTTCCGTCGAAAAATATTCAATGGTGATTGCTATTAATCTTATACGCTGTACTTTAAACGGGGATTTTTTTGTCCCAGTGAAACCCCAGAAACATCAAGAACAGAGACACCTAGCGGCCAAATAATCGTTCTTTGAAGTATATTGTATATGAAACAAGAAAAAAAAATATTATGAAAAATTAACTATATAAGAATGCGTCGAAAAAAATCGATGATTATAGGTTGTCATATTTGAATGATTTGTTTGGAAATAAATTGATTTTTTTAAGATACGAGTCGAATATTCAACTTTCTAAATTTGTATGGACGCTATGTTCGTGGGTATGAGTCGTATGAGTAAGATCAGTAGCAATCACCATCGATAATGTTTCGACGTAACCCACTCTCATTTTTCGCAAACACTCCCTTTAAGCTGGAAAAAAAGATGATATCTTTAATATTATTGATTAGACAAAGTTTTTAAGGCCTGGTACCATTGTGAATCGCTTTTTCAAAAGAAGGGTCGTTTAAAATATAAAAAAGTCCCCTTTAAGTTATCACCTGCTTGGATTTGTATTGCACAAGTTGCAGGAATTTTTACATTGCCATTGCAAATACTTCTCAGGAGTCTCCCTAGAAACCACAATAATTCAAATATATGCAACAACAAAACCATGGTTTTTTAGTATTTTATTTTTTAGAAAACGTTTTCAATGGATTTCGAAAATTGTGAGTGGTGTGCGGCATTCTTAGATAGTTGCGCAAGCGACAAGAGAAGCAAACAAATTAATTAAATAATATTATAAAATATAAACTATATACAAATGTGGCGAAAGATAATCGATGACTATAGGTTGTAATATCTGAATGATTTGTTTGAAATTAAATTGATTTTTTACGGTCTAAGTCGTATGTTGCAATTTTCTCAGTTTGTATCGCCGCTAAGTTATTCGGTATGAGACGTCTTTAACAATTTTCTCCTTATAAACGCAACAGATAGAAGTAAGATTAGTAGCGATCAAAAGCGCTTTTTTATCGCATTAAGCCTATACCCCCTTTCATTTATCGCGAACACTCCCTTTAAGCTTAATTCACTTCTTAAAGGAGAATAAATGAACAGCTTCCAGAGCCGTCAATCTTCAAAATGAATTGCTCCAGACTTTTTCAGTGCACAAGTATTTCGCACCTGCAGTATTGATCTGAACATTTGTTTGGTCCGTACCAATAGTGGTCTTTACAGAAGGGACTGGTCTCTGGGGCTGTACTGCAAACCCCTTAAAAACACAGGGGTTTAAAGGGAAATATTTTAGGGGTGGGAAGTAATATGAAAGAAAGAAATAGTTGCCTCATTACTATTTTTATTATAAACTATTATTATTTTTCAATATAAGCTCCGATTCTTTTTTTTTGCCCCCTTTCTTCTTAAAACATGCCCCCAAAACAGATCTTTTAAATTATACTCACACATTCTTTTTCAAATTGCCCCGCCAGGCTTAAATTTGCCCCTTTTTTATTAGAATACCACCAAATATTAATAATTATGCACCCAGATTTAATTTATCTTTATCCCCAAATGTTTTATAAATACACCCAACTCTAAGGTAATTACTCCAAAATTAAGAAGTTTTGCGCCCAATAAAAAACCCTTTGATTAATATAAACCCCTTAATATACTTTAAAAATGCCCTTAAATAGAAAAATTTGCCCTCAAAATAAATATTCCAGATTTCCCATACACAAATTCGCCCCAAATAAAAAAGCCCCCAAAAACTAAATTTGTCCATAAAACAAAGATTTAAGATTAAGATTTCCATTAACTAAATATCTAATTATCAGACAACTTTCATACTGGTTTTGACTTTATGAATTCTATTGTTCCCGGGTTTTTTAGGCCCCAACGGGATTTGAGTCCCCCTGAAGAAAAAAAATTTAAGAACCCCGGAAAAATTCCTGTATTTGCTCCTGCAATAAGTATTCTTTGATGATTGCTTCAAAGGAATTCAANTTGCTATTATTATTATTATTATCATGATTATTATTAGTATTATAATTAATATTACTATTTGTGCCATTAAAGAATTTCCATCGAACTCCACAGGGATCAATGCACTCCGAGTTTGGAGCCTGTAAAATAAATAGTATTTTAAGTATTTCGATATTTCAATATTTCAATTTAAAATATAGGAAGAGAAGTCTCAAACACATAAACCTAATTTTCATTTTATCAAAATTATATTTTATGCTACGCAATTTTTAAGATGCAATTAAACATAATCTAGATTTTAATAAAATTAGATTTTAATTTCAAAATTAAAAATAAATTAGATTAAAGGGAGTGACCGACAATGTAAGGTAGTTGAGCTAAGAATGTAGTATTGTGGAGAATTTTTTTTTTGAAACATATAAAACATTTTAATAATGTTTAATTATGCAAAGTCGATGTTCAAAATCATCCCTTAGGGTTGTTACGTTTTGAGAGCAAATTTTTTTGAATTATTGAAGCGACGACAAAAATAACATGTTTAGGAACATATTTTTTAATTGAAATTTTTTCTTAATAAATCAATGTTAGAATCAATTTAATCATTTTATTAAATTTCTTATTTGTTGTAAATTTGTTCGCAGATTTCTTTAAATAAACGTCGTCTTTTCAATAAAAATTCCAGGACAATCTACAGAAAATGTTTGTGAACAATGAGACAGAAACCAATAAATGAAAAAGGATTACAAATTTTCGATGATAATAGTCACTCCCTTTAAGAAGCTTAATTGATTTTGGAGAGTATAGGATTAGTATAAGAATTAGCATTAATTCTATTTCTGAAATACTTCAGTGCACCTATTTTTAGATATTTAGTATCTGTTTGTTTGATCAAAACTCGGTAACCAAATATCTATCTATCTATCTATCTATCTATCTATCTATCTATCTATCTATCTATCTATCTATCTATCTATCTATCTATCTATCTACCTATTTATCTATATGTCTTTCTACCTACCTACCTACCTACCTACCTACCTACCTACCTACCTACCTACCTACCTACCTAGCTATCTATCTATCTACCTGAGGTAAACAGCAGTCTCCTCCGTCATAGTCACATCCTTGAACATGATATAAATGCACATATACATTAATGTACATTTATCTAAATTCATGTACATGTGTACAATCATGTACATGTGTACATTCATGTCCATATGTACATTTATGTACATGTGTACATTCATGTACATGTGTACATTCATGTACAAGTGTACATTCTTGTACATTTGTACATTCATGTACATGTTAACATTTATGAAATGTATACATTTATGTACATGTGTACATTAATGCACATCTGCACATTCATGAACATGTGTATATTCATGTACATGTGTACATTCATGAACATGTGTACATTCATGTACATGCATATATTCCTGTGTACGCTCAAGTAATTCTGTACTTTCTTTTGCATGTATCATTCATGTACATGTGTAAATTTATGTAAATGTGTACATTCAAGTACTTGTGAACATTCATGTAAACGTGTATATAAATGTAACATGTTAACATTCATGAATATGTGAACATTTATAAATGTGTGTAAATTCCTGAACATATGTACATCATGTACATGTGTACATGAATGTTCATGTGTACATTCATGTACATGACTGTACAATGTTTATAAATCTATAAAACCTTGAAGGGATTGGATACCAATTTTAACTAATTTTCAAGTTTTTAAAAGAGCAGAAAACTAATTTGACTTTTACTCAATTTTCTGAAAACTTTTAAGGGACTGAATGCTCATAGAAGAGATTTTGGTTTTCAGGAATTATACAAATTTATAGAATTTCATTTATTGACCTATATGATTATTCCCTGGGTCACATATACCGTTTCCCTTCCTCTTCGAAACCTGGAAAATAAATAAATTAGATTTTATGGATAAATGAATAAAGTAGATTAATAAATTAATAAATTAATAAATTAATAAATAAATAAATGAATAAATGAATAAATGAATTAATAAATTAATAAAAGAATAAATGAATAATTAAATAAATAAAGGAATAAGGGAATGCATAAAAAACGAATTAGTGAATAAATGAATAAATGTATCACTGAATAAAATAATCGAATGAATTAATAGATAAATGAATAAATGAATAAATGAATAAATGAATAAATGAATAAATGAATAAATGAATAAATGAATAAATGAATTTTAATAATAGTAATAATAATAATAATAATGATAATAATAGTAATAATAATAATAATAATAATAATAATAATAATAATAATAATAATAATAATAATAATGATAATAATAATAATGATAAATATAATGAATAACAGTAAAATGTTGAACCTCTGAAAGTTGAAAAGATAATCTCTCAGATTTATTAATTCCGTTCTTTTTACATCTTCCATTAGGATCGACCGGCTGGAAGGTCGGATATCTGAAGAAATAAATCAACTTATAAAAAAATAACTAATTTTTACTATATTGCAAGGGGTGCTGAAGAATATGAAGTATTTTAGATAAAATTTACCCAAAAATAACTTTATACTAGCTTGGGAATCCAGCTTTGCCTGAGTTTTCAAATAAAAGTCGATCGTTTCCACTTAGAGTCTTTAAACCATGCTAATAATATTTCCACGGTTCTACTAAGTTCTCCGATACAAATTTGAGGCAAATTGGTCCTGGGGCTCATGAGTTATGCTCGTTTATTAAAACAAACAAATAGACAAACAGAGTCGATTCTTTAATCATAATATCCCTCCCTCTCCTCCCCCCTCCCTCCCTCACTTCCACCTGTTTGATATATAGTCCACACACTTTTTGTGTTTAGCATTCCACGCCTCCAAACATCTGAAATTAAAAAATCAGATTCTATATATATATATATCCCATGATAGTATACAGTGAGAACCAGAAAACTCTCAAATAGGAAGACGACTTTATAGCAATACTTAGGTGTATTTGATGTTGTTATAAAGCAAATAGTTTTACTAGACACTTATTTAATCACTATTTAAGTGAAATGAGTCTTTTTCACTACTAAATGACTATTTAAAGTAAAAAATTAAGTTTAATAGTCGTCTTCTTTCTAATCCAGAGTTTTCTGGTTATCACTGTATGTATATAAATATATACTTTAACCTTTAAACTTGTTCTAAAACAGAATCATACTATATCCCATGCTAGTATATATATAAATATAAATATTTCAGTTTTTAAACTTCACTTTTTATTAAAAAAGAAATATACTAAACATAATTTTTCACGCTTTATGACGATCCTCATTATTCAAAATTCTTTAATATAAATATATATATACTAGCTTGGAAACCCAACCTTCCTTGCCCAAGGTATTTATAATTACTCCCGCCATTTACCCGCTCTTGGTCGATTTTACTGGGAAACTAAATGTTCGACCCACTTAACTAAGCTAAGAATAAAAATTTGAGACAAATCGGGCAAGGGGTTTCCGAGTTATGATCGGACAAACTAACAGACAGACAAAGAGTGATTTCAACTTTATATATATAATACAAATAAAAATTTAAAATAGGAATTTCTGTTTGGGTGTCTCTCTGTATTTTTGTATGTCAGGGTGTTTGTAAGGGTATGTCTGTCTCTCTGTTTGTGTGGATGTCTGATCATAACTCAGGAACCCCTTTGAGTGATTTGATTGGTAAATTTGGTAAAACAACTGAAATGTTCCTCTAAATTTAAGGGTATTGACATATTTAGGGAAATATATAAGCATTAGTGGATTCGATAATCTCTGGTACAACCAACCAGAAGTTAACAGTATATGAATGCTTTACTTGTTTAATTTTCGATAGGTTGAACCCCAGGTATAAGGCTAGGAAAATTATTTACTGTTGGGTAATCTCTGCGTCCATATTGAAACCTGTTCTCTCCAAGGAGAATTTAAGAGAAGGAGGGGGCGATAGGATTTTCGTACACTTTGCTGTGATGTTTTTGCCTGCTGAAGAACTAGATTTTGCGTAACAACAATAACAAAGGCAGCCGATCTAATGTAAACAAACATGAGTTAGTATACGTTGAATCTTCATCTAACGCGCCAGAGATGCCAGATGTCTGTTTATCATTTGTGTTATGGTTTACAATCTTTATTATTGTTGTTACGCAAAAACTAGTTCTTCAGCAGTCCAAAAACGTCACAGCAAAGTGTACGGAAACCCTATCGCCCCCTCCTTCTATTCAATTCTCCTTGGTTCTTTCTGGGCGGTATTTGTAAACAAGAATAGATACATCAGTGTTACTCTAGTATCAGAGGAGGATACAAGCATTTAATTTTGATAATTTTGATAATTCACATGAAAGTTTTCTAAGACCAGAATATATCATTGATTTTTCGCTTCGTTTTTGAGATTGTGAGGTACTTCGCGAAAAATGAAGAATTCGATGTACAAGCATGTCTTTCTGCGACCTTGGACTCGAGCATGTCCGAGTTTACCAAGAACGGTTTTAACTATAAACAGACTGACAACTCTTTTCGTACATCCAGAGAGAGAGGTGCTCCTGCAACCGATGAGACTGTGTGCTGGACAGGTTGCACACCAAACAAATAAACGCATAGTCCAGTCTGGAGTTAGAAGCACCCCTCTCTGCGAAGTACTTACCCTTGTCCGCTTGTGAAAAATATATATTCACTCAGCTTGCTAACTTAAACTTATCTTGAAATTTAATGTTTTACTTTTGTCGGACTGAGAGAAAAACTTAACTCATAAAATGACGCGGAAAAAAACCAAAAACCAGTCTTCCATCGTCTTTTCTTGAATTTAAACTCGGACCCGCTTTTCATCCCTTGTCGCATTTCACCATGCCTTTCCACCGAAATCATCACATTTTTATGTGAAAATGAATCCCATGTAGGCAGACTGTGACATCTGTCTTGTGTTTACTTTACCGCCCAGAGACAGACAGTACATTGCAGTACGAAAGATGCATACACCTCTTAAACAACTATCTCGGAGATAAGAGAGTTACAGAGATCAATTAACACCTATAATATGCGATATTTTCCACAGCATGTTCTATTATGTACAAGTACTGTACACGACCAATCAGGAGACATCTGTATTCAGGGATATTTAAGGATCCTTTGAATAGGAAATGCAATATCTTTAAAAATAGACAATATTCATAAACGTTATGTTTTATGTTTAAAATTGGAGTATTTCTTTAAAAGTTGTAAAATAAAACCCCTGAATGCAACAATTGGCCGTGAGATGTCAGTCAAAAACAATACATGGAACCACGGAGCATGGCGTGCCGGGACACTATAGGCCTGCTCAGCCTATCCAAGTAGAGTGTATGAGCAGTCTGTGTAGTCTGTGATCTTTACATTATAATTCTTTGGTTCTATCAAGGTTATAATGCAAGGAAAGTTAATTGCAGTTGCGTATACTCTGCGTACATATTGAAACCAGCTCTCTGTGGGCGAAATTTGTAAACAAGAATAGATGCATCATCAGTGTTAGTTTAGTATCCGAGGAGGTTAAAAGTATTACATTTTGATAACTTTTATAATTCACATATTTCCTATGACTTGAATATTTCATTGATTATTTATGTGAAAGATGGATCCCATGTCAGGCTTCGACATCATTCTTGTGTTTACATTACCGCCCAGAGACAGCACACTGCAGTACAAAAGATGCGTACACCAATGAAATAACTTTTCTTGCGTTATAACCCTGGGTTCTATGAAGAGTTAATATAAGATTTTAAAAATAGTGTTTAGGCAAGACTAATCCAAAATTTCTGAATTAAGATTCTATGTTTATCATAACGAATAATTTAAGGAATTAGGATATTACGATTTTTGATTTTAGTACAATTAGTTAAATAAAAACTAATTAGAGAGAAAAATTCGAAATAAGAAATTTGTAATCAATAAGTAAAGGAAATATTTGTAATTGTAAAATAAGAAATTAACCTCAATTATTAGATACTCCCAATTATTTCCAAATATCTACATAGTACAGATATACATGATACAAATCAAATATCAGGACAAATTTGTGTTTCTCTGATCTATAGAAATTATATCTTATGTTTATATTTAATGTCAAACCCATCAAATCCTTTGTTATATGTTTTTTTTGCAAAAGTCCCATTTACTAGTGATATTTAGGCATTTTTGACAGCTTGAATTTTCCTCGATGTTCGAGATCCGTCAGAGGCGGGAATTTTTGTGTTCGTTATCCGATTAAAAAGCCTAGAAATTCAGTGGCTGAACTGAGCTTCCAGCGACAAACTTTAAATGCGTCAGAATCCAGGAAACATTAAGTCTTAAATCCTCGATAACGGCATTTCACCTAAAATTAATTCTGCCGCTAGGGTTTAGCCATCATCGCTAAGATCTCACACTAAGCTAAGAATTCTACATAAATTGCCAGAGATTAAACTCAAACGTTTAAACCCCCAGGTTGCAAAGATGTAGGAATTAAGAAACTACAGAGTTTGAGCAATCATTCCTTTGTGGATACTTATCATTGTGCCGAGCGCCACCTTGATATTGGTCTACGTGCAACGCATCATCAGTCCACGTGCCGCAGCATTTGTACCACCATGGTGGCCAAAAGTGAAAATAATTTTTTTAATTGACCCTTATAAACTTCTTCTTCAAACTATTATTAAAAAACACATAAACAGAATTACAATGTTAGAATGAAAAAAAATCAATCTAAAAATCACATTAATGGTTTAAATTGGTTTTCGAATATACTCTCTATCTTTTAAGAACTGGCTTGTGAAGCGTTGCCCAGGGTTCTCATAGCTACTCCTGCCGTTTACCCAAAATGGTCGATTTTTACCGGGAAACTAAATTCTCGTTTTAAAAGTTGACCCACTCAATCTCAAACCAAGCTAAGAACATTCCCGTGGCTCTCCAACATAATTTAAAGAAACTAATTCTGAAAACGTATCCACCCCCAAAATAGGAGTTTTGAACGTCGAATTTGCGCTCAAACTCAGGATTTACAGATCTTTAAAAATTTTAATATGTCGCAATTAAATGAATCCGAAAGAAGTTTTCCACAACACTGCATACTCAGTTCAACTACTTTACATAGCCGGTCACTCCCTATAAACAATTTGTGAGCGAATTTTCGTCTATTGATCTCTGACAACATTTGTCAAGAGCGAACTAAAGTGTGAAGGAAACCCAGTGTTGCAGATATGATGGGACATCCAAAAAAAAAACAAAAAAAAACTATATTTATATATAAATATAAATATATACATCAATATTATTTCCAAATAACGATATAGAGTAAATTGGAAAAACTTTTAAATAACTTTTTTATTGATTTTCTACGTTTTTAAGATTACCAAAAACTTTTAAATGGTACAATTTGAAAAATAAAATAATTCTTTATATAAGTTGGTTCAGATGCTAGGAAACAGGATAAAACTTTAAAGGTTTCAAGGGTACCGTTGTGAATCAGACATAGTCATCTTTGCATATGGAGGGTCACTTAAAATTATGTTTTAAAGCTCTAATGTTTGGTTACCTTTCATATCCATCCTTGATAACTCTGCCGTTTTCCGTAAACCCTCCTGACATATTTTTCCCATGAGAAATTTATCATTTGTGAGATATTTATAATATATTGTTCATAGTCTTTCCAAATAGTCATTTGTTTGATTGGTTCAAATAGGCAAAAATAAGATTTGTGAGATGTTTCTAATGTTTCTAACATTAGAAATCAGTATGTTTCAGGCTTTCAGCTGTGTTGCTAGTGTCAATATGTTTCATGCTTTCAGCTGTGTTGCTGGTGTCAGTATGTTTCATACTTTCAGCAGTGTTGCTTATAGTGTTAGTATGTTTCAGACTTGAAGCTTTGTTGCTAGCGTCAGTATGTTTCAGGCTTGAAGCTTTGTTGCTAGCGTCAGTATGTTTCAGGCTTGAAGCTGTGTTGCTAGTGTTAGTATATTTCATGCTTTCAGCAGTGTTGCTAGTGTCGGTATATTTCATGCTTTCAGCAGTGTTGCTAGTGTCAGTATATTTCATGCTTTCAGCAGTGTTGCTAGTGTCAGTATGTTTCAGCTATTCAGCAGTGTTGCTAGTGTCAGTATGTTTCAGCTATTCAGCAGTGTTGCTAGTGTCAGTATGTTTCAGCTATTCAGCAGTGTTGCTAGTGTCAGTATATTTCATGCTTTCAGCAGTGTTGCTAGTGTCAGTATGTTTCAGCTATTCAGCAGTGTTGCTAGTGTCAGTATGTTTCAGCTATTCAGCAGTGTTGCTAGTGTCAGTATGTTTCAGCTATTCAGCAGTGTTAGTGTTATTTATACTTTGACAAATTTTGTTGATATAAAAAGTTACCTTCAACCAAGCATCTATTCATAAATTTTCCTCTTTGGAATGATTCGCAACCCTGGATAGAATTTGCTATTAAAGGGACTATTATGGACGTAATAGTTCATTCGCAAGTGACTCTCATTTTACAGAATGCACCCCGAACTAACCAGGGCGAGGTTCATTCGGTTTCTTCTACTTGAAATCAATCACGTCTTGGTCTATCCAATCTTTAAACTTACGATTTTGTCATTTTATACTTTTTCGTTAAAAACGCGTATGCCGACAAAAAATAGGAAAGGAAACTATTAAAAATGTTTACGTTTAATAAGCTGCCAAGTTGTAATCAAACGTCTCTGGGATCAGGACCAGGCCCTTAAATCCGTTTGAATGGCATATCCGATTTGCAACGCTACCTTTTTAAATTGAATACACTGCAAAATAAAGTCTCAGACACTAATATTTTAGTCATAAGAATAAGGATATCCGGATATCCTTTTCGGACAAAGGCTTGAAGGGTACTATTGTAAATTAGACATGACACTCTGGAAAGAGGGGTCACTTGTAGTTACGTCTACATTATTGTTCAAATATTATAACTTACTGAAAACATAAAATGAGTTCTGAGATACTTCAAGAATGAGAGAAAAAAAAAAACATTCTATATCTGAGCTATATCTATATACATACTTTGCTTGTCTGTTTGTATCCAATTCACGTCAAAACGACGAACTCATCGGGCCCAAATTTTGTGTGGGACCTCACGGGACCCCACAAGGAAGGTTTATGAATGATCAAAATTACAAGAATTTGCCTCCAACAAAATTGGATTTTCATTAAATTTGAAAATCCATGAATTTTTGTATAAATTCCGCCAACTTTTTTGGTTCTGTTTTACAGTGTATACAAGGAGAAAATGTTTTAAACTGAAATAAAAGATGGACGCAGAGCCCCCTAAAAGCCTAGTATAGTATATGCAGTATGCAGTATGCATTAGCTTGTCTGTCTGTCTGACCGGTTGAATTCAATAAACGTTAAAACGGCTGTACCGATCGGGTCCTAATTTTATGTGGGACCCGACATGACTCCAAGGAAAGTTTATGGATGCTCAGAATTACAAAAAGTAGTCTTCAAAAAAGTTTGAATTTTGTGAAATTTTGAAAATCCACGAAAAAAGATGTAAATCCGCTAAATTTTTGTTTTTGTATCATCGAAGAGAAAATGCTGAAAGATTGAGAGCAACAATTAAAAGTTGAAATAGAATATTGACGGAGCGCCCTGATTAACAGTTTTTAATATTTTATTATTACTAGCACTCGTTTATTTCAACATATTTCGGAAACTACTTCGACATTAAAAACAAAAAATTAACAGTTCTAGAGTAATTTTGGTTTTTATAAGCTTTTCCGTGTAAGATAAACCATCAATTTCTATTTAAGTTAAAAATACATATAAATAATTAGTTAATAATTAATATTATTTGTAAATTATGTATTTATCAATTCCTAGAAAAAAGTTCTGAGAATATTTTCGCCTAAACGTATAGTATAAACACTTAAAGCCCGAGCCGTACCACAACGTAAAACTGAGCTGAATTAATTCCTGTCAAACGATATAACTGAATTGATACAAATTCATACATTTTGCAAAATTATAACTTTTGATTGCAAATATTATTAAACATATTAAACATTTATTTTTTCAATTATTGATTAATCAGATATCAGATAATAGATGTTTTAAAAACTCTATAATCCTTTTCCAAAAATACCCTGGGAACCCCCCCCCCAGCAGTAATAGGGTTAATAAACGAAATTAAAACAACTAATCACCTGATTTTCCATGAAGCTATCAACCTTGGCCATAATATCTTTATTCCAGACTGCGCCCTGAAAATATTGAAATATCAAAATGCATGGGTAATACAAATGGTTTTGACCAGCCCAAAGTTATGAGCAGTTCTAACAACAGTTCAGATTTGTTTAATCATTTAGTCAGATTTGTTTAATCATTTAGTCAGATTTGTATTTGTTTAATCGTTTAGTCAGATTTGTTTAATCATTTAGTCAGATTTGTTTAATCATTTAGTCAGATTTGTTTAATCATTTAGTCAGATTTGTTTAATCATTTTGTCAGATTTGTTTAATCATTTAGTCAGATTTGTTCAATCATTTTGTCAGATTTCTTTAATCATTTGTTCAGATTTGTTTAATCATTTGTTCAGATTTGTTTAATCACGTAAATCTCAAGCAGGATTTGTTTAATCACGTAAATCTCAAGCATGATTTGTTTCACGACAAGTTAAAATAAATTTCACGTAACAATATAATCTTAAATATTTTCAAACATAACTCCGAATATGAAAGAGTTTCTAGAAAATTAAAAATGTTTTGAATTTATGTAATCAAATTAACCCTTCTCAAACTTGTTTGTAAAATTGAAACTAAAGGAGCTACGAGGTCACAAAGTTGTACCAGAAATAGGGAGTAAATTTTACCCTCAACCTCTGGCTATAGTCAAGGAGCTACGAGGTCACAAAGTTGTACCAGAAATATGGAGTAAATTTTACCCTCAACCTCTGGCTATAGTCAAGTGTGAAAGAAAAGAATAAAAATTGAATTAAGAAATGCGCTACATCTAACGTTTCATTTGAACTCCAAAGAAAACCTAGACAGTTTTGTATTTCTAAACAATACTTCTGGTATTCTTAGATAGTTTAAATGTATAATAAGAACTCATTAAAACATCTAATCCATATGAATTTCAATTCACAAGATAAAAAATATATCTCGTATGACATATAATTAACCATTGAGTTTATTTCTCACAGATTATCTCGTTTATTTTTCCCAAAACATTTGGAATATCGCGAACATTTTAAAAGTTGATGATTTTAAAAAAAATTTAACCTGTAATTGATAATAATGAACATATGAGGAACAGTCATACGGGATATTATTATTATTATTATTATCATTATTATCATAATTATTATTATTATTAACATCATTTTTTTATTATTATTGTTATGAATATTCTTATACTGTGTATTATAATTGCCAGCAACAATGAATTTAAGGCAATGAAATATACATTGCCTTACAAATTATTCATACCATACAAAACACCTTGAGCAAGACCAAGATCCGAGTTCGGACAACACTTTACAGTGAGCCCACAAACTCATAAGATGTTATAGAACACCCTATAACTAATTAAAAGAAACACCAGTATAGCTTGAATGGGTCTGTTTACACTGCACTACTGCTGTTATTTTTGTTTATTAAACTTTTCAAGGTCACATTTTTCAAAAGTCGTCTTTCTCTTCCTCAGTTTTATGGGTCCCTCTAAGACTGTGAGTCATTTAAATACCTGAGAGAAAACCAATCAGCTGATTCAGTAATCTGCCCGACACTCCATTCTCCCCACCCGCTCAAGTGCCGCGTATCAACATCTGGGTTAAAGAAACTGTAGGCGAAATTTTACACAACTTTACCCCTTTACACAATGCACATTTTTCAGAGCAAATGTGCTTTTCTAAATAGAAAATCGATAAAGGAAATGAGTCTATGCCACAAGCTCTGATTTTCCATTATCTATCTATGCAACCCAATGAGGTAGACCTTAGAAATTATAAACTATTGCATTCTGTTAGATTAGATAATATAAGTTTATACTACAGGGTGTCCCACGAAACATGACACTAGCAAGACGACTTGAAAGTCGTCTTTGATATATGAATTTATTTGTGACATTTAGTCTTCTATCTACTTTAACATGTATGATTCTTGAAACAATTATTACATTATTCTCCTAGTCTTTGCATTTCCAAAAAGTGGTCTGCGTTTTTTGTGCTTTCAATATTACCGGAGATATAAAGAGTTTGGTTCAGATTTCAATTTTGTTAAATAAAAGCAAAATTGTCGTAATCTGAACGAAATTCTTTATATGTCGGGCAATATTGAAAGCACAAAAAAGGCAGACCACATTTTGGAAATGGCAGGACTAGGGGAATTTTGTTATTATTATCTCTAGAAATTTACTTCTAAAATTAGGTTGACAAATAAACGCAGCAAATTATATCAAAAATCAAGACGACATTCAAGTCCTCTTGCATACTGTCATGTTTCGTGGGACACCCTGTATCAAAGGTTTAACTCGTCACGTTATCTTGCAAAACTAAAGGAATGAGTTGGAGGAAAAACTGAAGGAAAGTTTTTCTTTTATGTAGACCCGCGTACTATTTAGGGATAAAAACAACGAACGAAATGAAAAAGACAAGTTCTTTATTTTCGTGAAGTCGTCCAAATTTCCGCATTTTTCGGTGAAAATCATTCCCGGAACGATTTACCCTTTTCACTGGAAACCCTCCGTGTAAGTCTCCAAAAAAAGGTAGAGATATTGTCCTATTAAATTAATCATTGATTAAGCTATTTCTTTCACAATAAAAAATAAAACTTTTAACTGTGAAAATTAAAAATACAGATTCAAAATTTGAAATTATTAAGCTAGATGTGCAACCCTAATTTTCACAAATGCTGTTATTCTTATTGATTTGATTAAAGAATATATATACCTATATAATTACATCGGTCCGGTCTGTTTTGAACATGACTAAACCCCAGAATGTGCAGTATTTCATGTGTACCTACACAAATATACTATTTAACAGAATATTTTGTGTGACCCTAGAAAAAAATAAACTTATTTTTAGTTGTTTAATTGTTGTTTATATAATTTACCAACATTAAAGAAGTTTCTTTATGAAAAATTGCATTATATATGTGTTTATATCTTTGTGTGTGAATAAATCTTTATAAATAACTTTCTTGAAAATAATGTTCCAGTTAAGAAATTCATCTCCATTTTCATATGTACCTCAAATTTAAGAAATTTATCTTCACAATAAAAGTTTACCTCCAATATGATTAACTCCACAACCTCCTTCTGAAACTGGAGCCAGAACTAGTACATGAGCTCCAGACCCCTCTGAATATCCTAAAATAAAGCTCCTTAGAGGGACTGTAAGCGTAATTTCAAGAGACCCTCTATGGATAGGGGGATATGTCTGATCTACAACGGTACCCTTGAAACCTTTGTGCGTTTTCGTCGAGAAGTGAGATGTGTGTGTAAACGCATCTAAGTATTCAGTTTAGACGATTGTCTTCGTTGTTGACAAAGTCTACAAATCACTTTATAGAGAATCCACAATTTTAAATAATCAATGTTCAGCTAGAAAAATTAGAAATGGCAAAAGTTTAAAGATTACCGTTGTGAATCGGACATGCCAGTCTCTTTATGAAAGGTCAAGGGGCACTTGAAATACAACGGCCTTTTACATCACGACAAAGTTTCATTCCTCCGCAAAATTTTACATTGTTTTCTATTTATAAAATACTTGGCTTTTAGGGCGCTTCCAGCCCATCTTCTATTTCAACTTTACAAAAATAAATTATTTTTTTAGATTCTGAGCATCCTTAAGCCTTCCCTGGGGTCTCGTGAGGTCCCTCACAAAATGAACTGTGGATATTGAGATCAATGCTTGATTTTCTTTTCAATTAATCTTCAGATCAATTTAATATCCAGAACAGTTTCTAAAATGCGACCAATCAGAGTGTCAATTGTAGAAACCGAACAGCCAAGATCAGAAACCGATAAGTTTTCAAATTTTGTGCACGATCATTGAGAGTTTTCTCATTGGCCTGAATTCAGCAGGGATATCCAAAAGAGAGGATTAAGAAGAACATCAAAAGTGTTCACAGTGGATACAGAGATTTAGCAATCGGGTTTAAAGGTATCCAATACATTATACAAGAGTTTTCAGCTCAGTTAAAGATAACGGAATTGAGTTTTTGTCACAAACTTAAATTTTCTAATCCCTATAATTTTGGAATTCAATCGTAGACCCATAGATGTTTTAAACTATGAATTCTATCAGATCAAATAATCTAAGTTTTAAATATAAAAGGTTGCAAAGATATAGAGATTATAAAATTTGAGTTTGTGGTAAAGACTCAAATCAAATCCTTTAAAACCTTGAATCATTACAAGAAAGAGTTGTAAATGGTTACCTACTCCAATAGAACAGCATCCGCATCCATATTTACCAATATCCTCAGAGATAAGAAGATAATCAGAATCCTGGCTTGTCCTATAATAGGATCCATAAAACTATTAGCAGGGGCGGATATAGAAATTTACATATAGGGTGAGTTAATTCAGAATTGTCTCGCCATGTTTCCGTAGCTCCCTACAATACTTTAGGTGGAGAGTAACTTTCCGTAGCTCCCTACAATACTTTAGGTGGAGAGTAACTTTCCGTAGCTCCCTACAATACTTTAGGTGGAGAGTAACTTTCCGTAGCTCCCTACAATACTTTAGGTGGAGAGTAACTTTCCATGGGTGAGCCGTTGTTCCACACGGCTCACCCTGTATCCGCCCCTGACTTTTCCTATCCCACAGTTTTATGAGTTTCCGTAGCTCCCTACAATAATTTAGGTGGAGAGTAACTTTCCATGGGTGAGCCGCTGCTCCACACGGCTCACCCTGTATCCGCCCTGACTGTTAGACTTTTCCTATCCCACAGTTTTATGAGTTTCACTAGAAATTAAAATACTTTTTGTTTTGTTTTCATCCATCTTATCAAACTGGTCTTGCCCATTAAAGGGACTGTAGAGTATAGAAGTAATCTCAAGTGCTCAAGTGACGGTATCAATGATTTCTCCGTGAAAATTGGTTATTTTTAATTTGATATTCATCTGTAAAACTGATGAGCGGATATCTTGCGCCAGAAACAATGAAGAAAATTGTCAGAACTAAACCTTTTTCTTCATGCTGTAATAAAGATGAAATCTACCACAGTTTTTAAAGGGTACCGTTCGGGAATCGGACATATAGAAATACATCGGACATCGGAAATTGACGATCGCTTAAAATTATGTTTGCAGCATCCTTTTAACCGCACAAACATTTGCTATTTTCTTTTCAAGTTAGAGAGAAATTTAATTTTAGTCGAGTATGTCTTCTTCAGATAGGAATGGGTCCAATTTCTTTTTCTCGAAAATTGTAAATTTTGTTTAAATCAAAAAAATTTTAAGATAAAAATAATATTTCATGAGAGAATGATCAGCATTAATTTTTAAATAATAGATTTAAAAAAAAAATAGAATCGAAACGAAAACATAATTACGACTTTTAAACTTTATTTAGGAAAATTGTTTACAGAAAAGGCCCAGCACTAACGATGCAATGATATTTATATGCCCTCTAAACTTGGCAAATTTTTCCAAAATTAAAAATATAAATAGATTTTCCGGAATCCTTAAATCTAATATTTTGTGTGTGATGTACAATGTGTAAAATAGAAAAAGATTGTCAATTATTTGATATCTATTTGTTTTTTTCCCACTTACCTAGGAACAAATCTTATATTTGTCACACTGCTAATATTTGAGAAAATCCTTTTCAAGATCAGCTCCTCACTAATAAAATCAGTATTATTAATTAAAATCAGCTGCTAAAGCAAAATCGGGTTTTTGCTTTTCAAAATCAACTGCTTACGAAATAAAATGAGCTGTTTAAGAATCAAAATCAGCTGTTTAAGAATCAAAATCAGCTGTTTAAGAACCAAAATTAGATGTTTCCTAATTAAAATTAACTGTTTACTAATCAAAATCTGCTGTTTACGAGTCAAAATCAACGGCCTAAAAAAATCTTCTTACATTAAATTTATTCGACTTTTATTGTTTAAATAACCAAAATTATTTCTATAAGTATTTTCATAAAAACATTGATTAAAAAGTTTGCATATCTTTTAAAGACAGTGGTTTTCGTGAAGACCCTGGGTCACGTGTTGGCTGTACAGTGTACAGTAGGATTATTTTCAATTTAAGGATGATTTTAAAATGTACTTTTCTCGTAATATGTTTTGCAAATTTGAACTTTTTGGTCTTCAACGATCTAATTTCTAATTATTGGGATATTATTTGTTGTTTTTTACTAAAAAAAATCTTAAAGATTAAAAACGGATTAAAAAAATAGGGATGGAGGGATGGAGGAATCTAGAAATATTAAACTTTACAATATTAAACTCTGCCTAGAAATATTAAACTCTACAATATTAAACTCTACCTAGAAATATTAAACTCTACAATATTGAACTCTGCCTAGAAATATTAAGCTCTACAATATTAAACTCTGCCTAGAAATATTAAACTCTGCAATATTAAACTCTACAATATTAAACTCTGCCTAGAAATATTAAAATCTAGAATATTAAACTCTGCCTAGAAATATTAAACTCTAGAATATTAAACTCTGCCTAGAAATATTAAACTCTGCCTAGAAATATTAAACTCTACAATATTAAACTCTATCTAGAAATATTAAACTCTACAATATTAAACTCTTCCTAGAAATATGAAACTCTGCCTGGTAATATTAAACTCTACAATATTAAACTCTGCCTAGAAATATTAAACTCTACAATATTAAACTCTACAATATTAAACTCTACAATATTAAACTCTGCCTAGAAATATTAATTTCTACAATATTAAACTCTGCCTAGAAATATTAAACTCTGACTAGAAATATTAAACTCTAGCATTAAATATTAAACTCTGCCTAGATATATTCAACTCTACCTAGAAATATTAAACTCTACCTAGAAATCTAAATTCTGCCTAGAAATATTAAACTTTGCCAAAAAAAATTCAATTCTGCCTAGAAATATTAAACTCCCCCTAGAAATATGAAACTCTGCATATAAATATTAAACTCTACCTAGAAATATTAAACTCTGCCTAGAAATATTAAACTATACCTAGAATTTTTAAACCACTGCTTAGAAATATTAAACTATGCTTATGAATATTGAACTAAGCCTAGACTCTGCCTAGAAATATTAAACTTTACCTAGAAATATTAAACTATGCCCAGAAATATGAAACTCTATCTAGAAATATTACTTTGCCTAGAAATAATAAACTCTGCCTAGAAAAATTAAACTATGCCTAGAAATATGAAACTCTATCTATAAATATTAAACTATGCCTTTAAATATTGAACAAAGCCTAGAAATATTAAGGTCTGCCTAGAAATATTAAACTCTACTTAAAAGTATAAAACTCTACCAGAAATACTAAACTCTGCCTAGAAGTATTAAACTCTACCTAGAAATATTAAACTCTGCCTAGAAATATTAAACTCTTTCTAAAAATATTAAACTCTGCCTAGAAATATTAAACTCTACCTAGAAATATGAAACTCTGCCTAAAAATATGAAACTCTGCCTAGAAATATGAAACTCTATCTAGAAATATTAAACTCTGCCTAGAAATATTAAAGAAATATTAAACTCTGCCTAGAAATATTAAACTCTACCTAGAAATATGAAACTCTGCCTAAAAATATGAAACTCTGCCTAGAAATATGAAACTCTATCTAGAAATATTAAACTCTGCCTAGAAATATTAAACTATGCCTAGAGATATGAAACTCTATCTAGAAATATTAAACTTTGCCTGTAAATATTGAACTAAGCCTAGAAATATTAAGCTCTGCCTAGAAATATGAAACTCTACCTAGAAGTATTGAAGTCTACCTAGAAATATTAAACTCTGCCTAGAAATATTAAACTCTACCTAGAAATATGAAACTCTGCCTAGAAATATGAAACCCTGTCTAGAAAAATTAAACTCTGTCAGAAATATGAAATACTTTCTAGAAATACTAAACTCTGCCTAGAAATATTAAATTCTCTCAGAAATATGAAACTCTGCCTTGAAAAATTAAATTCTACCTAGAAATATTAAACTTTGCCTAGAAATTCTTTAATTCTGTCTAGATTAAACTCTACAGAAAAATAGGTAAAAAAGAATTAATCAAGACAATTCTTTAGATATGTTTGTTTATTTAAATCCATCTAATAAATCTTTTATAACATTGATCCTTTGAATCCATGTAGTTTCCTACATTGTCTAATAAATCCCTTATAACATTGATACCTTGAATCCATGTAGTTTCCTACATTGCCTAATAAATCCCTTATAACATTGATCCCTTGAATCCATGTAGTTTCCTACATTGCCTAATAAATCCTTTATAACATTGATCCCTTGAATCCAGAGAGTTTCCTACATTGCCTATTTAATCCTATATTACGTTGATCCCTTGAATCCATTGAATTTGCTACCTTGTCTAATGAATCCTAAATAACTTCGATCCCTTGAATCCATGGAGTTTATTATACCTTGTCTATTGAATCCTTGGATTCCAGGATGTGTCCCGAACCTGCCTCGAATTCGTCCGTAAACATATTCTGAATAAATTGATGTCAACATTAGCTATCTACAATCCCCCCACACACACTTCCCTAGGGGGGAGGACCCCGTGGCCACTTCAGATGTGTGCACCCTCCAAAACTGAAAATTCTAAAAGGAATTTAATCATTGCCACACACAACCTCAAATTTCTAATACCTTTATCTTTACAACCTGCATGGTGCAAATCTTTGGTATTTTAAACTTAGATTATTTGACCTACAAAAAATCATTGTTTGAAATATTAAAGGTCTGCAAGGTTGGGTTGTAAAGATAAAGGGATTAGAAAATCTGAGTTTGGGGCAAATGCTCAATTCCGCTGAAACAAACAAATTTGAAAAATACTATAACTAAAAGTATATAGTCAACAGGACTCAGTCCCGATAATGGATAGGATCGGCTCGAACAGTGAATTCTGATCAACACTGCTCCCAGCTCCCAGCTTATCATGGCTTACAACTGGCTCATCAAAACTCAAAACAAAAAGAAGTTCTTATTTTTTCAATTTTAAGATATCTGAGCATGGAATTAAAAAAATTTGAGCCGCGGTTTAAATCCGCCAAAATCCGCCAAAACCCGGTTTAAATTTAGCGCCGGCTTAAATCTTGAAACATTTGATACAATTTTAAGTGGAACCAACCATATTTAAGCCGCGGCTTAAATTTAAACCGCCGCTCAAATCTTTTAAATTCGGCCACTGTTCAAATAAAGTTGTCATTTACGAATTATATATAAGCTAAATCTCACAAAGCCTTAGAAATTTAGTATGAATTGCAAATTTGTATCGTTAATTGATTTAACATGAAATTGATAATATTTAATAAACATATTTGGTTTTGATGAATAATTGAAATCACAGGGTTACCAACAAAAGACTGTCTTATTTTAAACAAAACTAAGAAAATTCTTTGGGTTTTATCAACTTTTCAAAATCAAAATTAGTGAAAAATCAGAGGTTCGTGAGTTATCATCTAACATACAAACAAACAGACACACAAAGAGATATTACGCATCTAGATACAGGGATGTTACTTCAGAGACGACTTTTAGAATTTTTTTCTGTCTATTTCCTTACTATCATGATTCTCTACAACAGTAAAATTTTTTTTCTTTGCCAAGTTATTAAATAAGAAAGTATAACTCTATTTCATGCAGAAAACGTAGTTAAACTTTGAAATTGTCATATTCTCAGAGTTTCAGGTCGTCTTTGCAGTCTCTTGTTAGTAAACCTGCACGAACAAACTTATGTATCGTTAAATTAAAAAAATTCTAAGTGTGTCAATATATATTCGAACAGTCTTGATGAATGATGACCCTTTAATTGAACCTGACTCTGTGAGTATATTTTTGAGGGTTTCTTCAATGTTGCTCAACAAGATTTCTGATGGATAAAAATAGATATGGATATATAGATAGATAGCTAGATAGAATGATAAATAGATATATAGACAGATAGATAGATCAATAGATCGCTAGATAGATGAATATATAATAAGCATTTAGAGGTTATCTTACAATGAAATCTATAAAACTACGGAATGGGAAGATTAAGTTATGAATGATTTGGAATATATAAAAGTACTGAATGGGAAGATCAAGTTATGATTTGAAATCCATAAAACTATGGAATGGGAAGATCAAGTTATGATTTGAAATCTATAAAACTGTGGAATGGGAAGATCAAGTTATGATTTGAAATAGTCCAGTCTTAACATGATACACAGCGATTGTAAAGTGTACACGGCACAGGCCCATTTTACTTTAAAAGTTGAATTTTAACAACGTAAATCAAATTTTCATATAAATTGCGAAAATATCGTCTTCCTTTAAATAATTTTGATATCTATTAAGAATTTCTGTCTTTTAATTTATATCGTTTATAATGAGCTTTCCAATTAAAACAACCTACTCTTGTTAGGTGGATCCAAACTACTTAATAAATAGTGATTTTTTATATTTATTATCTCGTGCTTTGTATTTGAATAAAAATATGAAAATGAAAAGGATTTCACGTTTTTTAAAACATTTGTTGATTCTTTAAATATTCTGTTAATCAATTTTCTTTGTGAACGGTTTATTTCGTTTATTAACTATTTGAAAATTAACGTGCTTTCCTGTCGTTAAAGGAACTTTCTGTTTGATTCAAAATGCCGCTAATTATCGGAACGGTTGGCCCCTGCCCTAGTCATGTTACATAGAGGGCCAAATTATGTGATTTTTAGAAGTGTACATAATTTTCTATCAAACCGTAACCTTCATTATGCTTGGAAATCAAAGATCGACGACGATTTTAATATCGTCGAAATCAATTTCATGCTTGCTATATGACAGCGTTTCCAATAATAATTCCAATAAAGTCTAATGTTTAAAATTGTATTGGGACAGTTTTTAATCCGTCTTTTCTAACACAGGGTGTCCCACGAAACATGACATTTGGTGAATAGTTTACAATGTCTTCTACCATAATTTGTTAAGTTGTTTAATACCAAACACAATAATAAAAATATTATTTATGGAGTCATATTTTAGTAAAGTTAATTTCATAGTAAAATATACTTGAGCAAAAGATTTGTTAACCAAAATGAACTGCAAACAGCCTTTCATTTCTAATATATTGTATGGAAGACAACATTCAAAATTATTTACCAACTGTCATTCTATTGAATTTTGCCAACATACAGTTTCCACTGCTTAAATCCAGAGCCACTGATTAAAAGAAACGCAATGAAAAATTAATTATCAACTTTCAGATCTAAAAAAATATATTTTTCTACGTTTTTTGCCCAATGAAAGATTTAAATGGTATGGAACACTGTAAATGAAGGATTGTTGAAAATATCGTCTGCAGTTCCTGTGAAGCAAAATACAGTAATAACCAGAAAACTCTGGAATAGGAAGACGACTTTGAAAATAAAGATATAACTTTGAAATATCCAATGAGCTTTTATATCTTTTCAATCTTTTCTATCTTTTCTATATCTTCTATCTTTTCTATCTTTTTGATCTTTTTGATCTTTTCGATCTTTTCGATCTTTTCGATCTTTTCGATCTTTTCGATCTTTCCTTTCTTTTCTATATTTTCTATCTCTTCTAATCTTTTCTATATTTTCTATCTTTTCTATCTTTTCTATCTTTTCTTTCTTTTCTATCTTTTCTATCTTTTCTATCTTTTCTATCTTTTCTATCTTTTCTATCTTTTCTATCTTTTCTATCTTTTCTATCTTTTCTATCTTTTCTATCTTTTCTATCTTTTCTATATTTTCTATATTTTCTATCTTTTCTATCCTCCCTGAATTGCTGAGAGAGAATATTACAGAGATAAGGAAGGAAGAAGTCAACATCCTGTAAATAAAATATTTAAAGGTAGTAATCCCGGATTCACAACAGTTCCCTTGAAACCTTTATCTGAGCTGAAAACTTTAGAATGGTGGATATCAAGATCATTGCTTGATCTCCTCTTGTTATTAATCTCCAGATTAATTAACAGATCGGGATTAAGGTTATCCCTTTCTAAAGTTTTCAGCTCTGATCAATATACTGTAGTTTTTAGGTTTAAAAATGTTTAGTCCTTTTATCTTTCCATGGCATTCTCCTGCTAGAAACCACAGTTAAAAATAATCAGTTTTCAAAATTAAAAACATTAAAAACTAATTCATGCTTGATCAAAGCTTTGAATGGTACCGTTATGAATCGGCAGTGTTTGGATTGGAATTAGGCTTACAGACCCTAAACAACAAGGTTAGGAAATCCATTAAAATTAGGCTTACAGACCCTAAACAACAAGGTTAGGAAATCCATTCAAATTTTTTCATTTCAAATTCTCCACTTTTTCTCATAAATATTTTTATGGGACCTTTTTTACTTTAAAGGGATTGTGAGTGTAATTTCAAGTGACCCTTTATTCGAAAAAAACATTTCCTGTTCACAATCACTACATCACCCTTTAAACTTAATCTGATAAATAATCTTAAAGAAAATGTCGTTTTTCTAACTTCAAAATGGTTTAATTTTGTTGTCGTCATTGTTTCTCTGAAGCGATAAATGCGCAAATCACTAGTGAAGAAAACCCCCAAATGAAATGATCAGAGCTGAAAACTTTAGAATGGGATATCCTTAATCCTGATCGGATAATTAATCTAGAGATTAAATTCATGAGGAGAACAAGCAATATTTAATCTGGAGATTAAGAAAAAGAGTGGATCAAGCATTAATCCCGATATCCACCATTCAAAAGTTCCCAGCTCTGGAGAATAATTACAAGAGGAGAACAAGCCATATTTCATCTGGAGATTAAGAAAAAGAGTGGATCAAGCATTAATCCCGATATCCACCATTCTAAAGTTCCCAGCTCAGAGCGGAAAACTTTCGAATGGGAAATCCTTAATCCCGATCGGTTCATTAATCTGGAGATAAATATGAAGTGGAGAACAAGAATTATTTAATCTGGAGATTAAGAAAAAGCGTGGATCAAGCATTAATCCCAATATCCACCATTCAAGAGTTCTCAGCTCAGTTCTCAAAAATAAAAGACATGATTATCTAATATTTATTTGATCAGACAACGAATTTTTAAGTGTACCGTAGTGAATCGTACTCCAATAAAAAGTCACTTGAAAAAACGAGATAGCAGTCTCTTTAAATTGTTCGAAATCTTTCACGCAGAATGAGAAATAGATAATAAAGTTTAGTAAGGTTATATTTACCATTCTGGTAATCAATGTTTCAAACTTTATTACTCATAAATAATAACTTATTCACATCTACCATAAATATGTGGAATAAAAAGACGACATTCAAACAATCTTGTCTGAAATTGAAAGGAAATGTATAGCAAAAGTATTACTATGAAAATAAACAAACAAAGTGAAATTTACTGTACAAATGCACATTGAACTCTTTAAAGTCGTCTTCTTATTCCAAAGCTTTATTGGGCCTACTGTATAAACATTACTTACGTTGATAGTTGTAAAGCCCTGCACCCACTAATAACTCTAGTTCACTGAGAATCTAAACTATCATTCTAAATCCAAATATTAAATACTGAAGGTGTGCCCTAAACACAGGGATCACAACCCCATACAGATAGATAGATAGATAGATAGATAGAAATACAAAGAACAATAATTTAATAAAAAGTAGATAATTAACAGATGATAAATAGATGAAAATAAATAAAATAATATAAAATAGATAAATAAATAAAAAATGGATAATAAATATAGGTTGATTTTATAAAAAGTAGATTATTTTAAGTAACTACGTTAAAAAAGACAAATTATTTCCACATTGAAGCTGCAATACATAAACCAAAAAAATGTTATATTTATAAATAAATAGAAGAAAGTACATACAATTTAATATAAGAATATTTATTTGTAAAAGTTGGGCACACATAGATATATAGAATATAGATATTAAATAGATATAGGTTAATATATTATGCTATAGATGATGATGATGTTATGATATGTAGATAGTTAGAAAGATAGATGATAATTAGAGAGATAGATATAAAGATGATAAATAGATATAGAGGGATAGAAAGATAGATAGATAAATAAAATTGCGCCAAAATATGGGATGAAACTAAAAGCCTATTGTTATGTCTGAAAAAAACTTAATGAATAACGACTAAATTATGCATCAATTGGTCCATAGGGGGGGGGGGGGGGGGGGGGGGGGGGGTAGGGCGTAAACAAGGGTCTAGAAATGGCTTCTTTTAGACTCCTAAGGGGACCCCTTACATAATTTGAAATACTCTCTTAATTAAAAACTTGATATATCCATTATTCTTTACCTATTTTAAACCAACACCTACATTAACGCTCTGCAAAATTACTTTAATCGTTAACTCAAGAGTTTTTTGACCTGTAAAATTAAAGTGTCAAAGTTTATAAATAAAAACTTTAAAGAACTAGATTTTAACTTATCAAACATTATTGTTTATTAAGATAGATATTTTGCCTGTTTTGCATTATGTTTTGTTTCCCTTAAGTGCTATTAAAAAGATATTTGCAACATAACATAACAAAAAAAACCGAAGGTATAAGGTGAGTCAATACTTATCTTTTAATACAGGGCGACTCAGGGAGAGTAAACATCCTGAAAAGCTTAAGCATTTTATTCAATTTTGATCACCCTACAACAAGGTGATCAAGTAACTTTATCGAACTGCATTTAAATAATTTGAGTAAAACTGAATAAAACTATTTGTATCATGCGTGCGAAAAAGTTTTTGCTGTGATTTTTAATTTTTCTAGTTTGTTTTCGATCAAAATAAAAATCCCGGCAAAAACATTTTTCGCACTTAAACAATATCCATTACAATAACGAATAGATAAAAATCTTCAGTTTTCCCAAAACTAAAATTTGAAGAAAAAAAAACTCCCCTGCAAGCTTTAGGATAAGTACAAACAGATTCTCACAAACTTGGTCATATCTATATAATAAAACAAGACATTCATATATATGTTGCGTATAGCCGGCCAAAAGGCTGGACCGAATGGGCTGAATTTTTTTGTGGACACTCATGGGTGGCCGGGGGATGCAATTGGCCTTCAGCTAACAAGTTTAGTTTGTCTCCATGTTTTTGCTGTACAAAGGTTCATTTATAGAATGATTAATCTAGTAAAAGTAAGAAAAGAATAAGCTTCTCAAAATACAAAAGAATTAAACAAAAGAATTATTTTACAAGACAGACAGGATAGAAATAAAAATTCCCAAATGATTCATTTCAGAAGGCCGAAATTTTTCTTTAATTTGAAGAAAAAAATCCTTTACACATAATTTTGGTAACAAAATTTTCATCCCTTTTTCCTTCTTTTCTTTCATTTTTTGTTTCCTTCTTTTCATTATCTTTTTTATCAGAAAGTGTGCCCCTCTTTCGAGGGTAAAAGGTGCCCCCCCCCCTTGATACGGGCGCTACGAAATCTGCTCTAGTTCCATTTGATCTATCAAGTCATTTGCTCTATATTCAATCTGCTCTATACCTCATTTGCTCTATGACTAAACACGTCATTTGCTCTATAACCTAAAAATACACTATAAATTAGCGTTTATTGGAATTCCTGAGCGTAACTTGACTATGAAATACGGGAATTTTTTTTTGGAAAATTCGCAAATTGCAGTTTTAATCAGTTCTTCAAAGTTCATCATGACAGAGAGACTACTCAATAATAAGAGGGGTAAAAAAAACCTAATATGTGGTGAAAACTACATTTATTCTACTCTAAACAAACAGGGTGTCTATCCGTACTGGAGATGTCTTGAATATAGAAGGCAGAATTGTTCTGCCGAGGTTAAAACCTTCATAATAATAAAACAAAATCTCCAGGAAGTTGGCGGAAAAAATGAAATTGTAGGAAGAATTGTAAAATGTAATTTTGTAAAAATATGTTTATAGAGCAAATGACGTGCTTACTCATAGAGCAAATGTTGAGTAAAGCAATTAAACCATCACAGTCATAAAAATGTTTATAGAGCAAATGACGTGTTATGTCATAGATCAATTGACGTATAGAGCAGATGACTTATAGAGCAAACGTCGTGATCTATGAGCTATAGAGCAAATGGAACTAGAGCAAATGGCCATAGAGCAAATGGAATTAGAGCAGATGCCGTAGCGCCCTTGATACGGTCCTGCTAACAAGTTCTTGGTTGTGCTAAAATGTACATGTAAAGGGTTACAGAAAAATATAAGTGAGTTAAGGCAGTAAAATCAAAGTCCAAGGTGTTGCGGCCCTGTCTTAAAAATGCATGAGACTTTTTATAAGCAGGTTGAATCTTTGTGAGTATCCACAAAAATATTGTACTTGAGCCATGCATTGCGCAGTCTTCTATTTTCCGTGGGGGGAGGGGGAGGGGGGAGTGAGACACACCCTCCCAAGCACTTTTACAGGCCACAGTTAATATTAAATTTCAATATTGGTTCACATAATAGTGAGCTGACAGTTTGAATTAGATACAAGGAGGGTGACTCACAAAATATGACTGTTGAAAGACGACTTAATCTTTTATCTTCTAAATAATTTGTGGCGGCCATGACACTTTCTCTCGTTATACAAGGCGTGTACAGTAACGTTTATATTTAGAAGCATTAAATTTTCCATAGCCAATTTGGTAATATTTAACTAATATACTCCTAATTCAAGTTTTATAGGATATAACTAATTTCTCATTTAATAATGTAATATTCAGATATTGCGCTTTGAACGTAAACAAACCCCGAGTATTCAGTATTTGCCAAAAGATTAAATTTTCTAATCCATATATCTTTGCAACCCGGTGGTGTTTAATATTTCAAACTTAAACTATTAGATAGAACAGAATTCTTAGCATGAAATATCAAAATTCTATGACTTCGGGTTGCAAAGATTCAGGAATTAGAAATAAGTTCCGTATAATAGCGGAACATAATAAATGGTGGCCCAAAAAAGGGAAAAGCTTTTTTAGCATTAAAAATATTATTTGATGACACAATAAATGCTACATATGGTTTTAAATTTTAAGAGGGGTTGTTTAAATAAGATTTTGTCGTTCAATGCTTCTGTAAAACTATGTTTAATGTCCGAAAACCTCTCTGCTTACTTTGAACAATTGACAATTTTTATTTTTATATTCAAATCTATATTGAAAGAGAGAAAATTTGCTTACAAATTATAATAATTAATACAAAATTAGATTTCTATAATGTTTATATTTTGAGTTATTTCTTGGAGGTCCCAATTTAATGCCCTGCCAAAAAACGCCTATATTTCTAAAATTGAACAATTCTGCTCGAAACCATGATAACTACGTAATCGGTTTTAGTAAGCCAAGAAGAAAAATTTAAGGGGATCAGATATAGGTTAAAAGATTTTTATATGTTTTAGACCAACTGAAACAATCAAAGGACAAAATCTTAATTAAATTTCATGTTCTAACATTACAAACTACACACTACAACACATTTTCAAGTCTTTTTTAAAAAGGCTGAAAAATCCTAATCCCTATTTTAATTTGGGCCACCCTGCATGTATAATCATAATTAACAATTAAATAATTAGGTTGTCAGTTGTTTCTCCAAATTGAGTCTCGATATCTTCAAAACTTCAAAATCTTTAAATTTTGTCTAATCCTAGTATAAACATTATACAAAAAAATATATTTTTGATAAACAAACAATAAAGAAATAATCTTTTATTTCTCGAGGTTGAAGGGTTTACAATATACAATATATGTCATGCACTAGATTTACACACACAAAAAAACACATAAAATATTTTTAAAAAAATGTAAAAAAAAGGAAATTTGGAGCAAATAAACAAAATTTATATTTTCAATGTAAAAAACATGGGACAAAATCTATCCCAGTTCTGAGTCTGACTGAACAACAAACCTTTCAACAAATGAGTACAGAAAATAAAGTCTTAACAAAAGGTAAAAAAATGTGTGAGACCATAAAAAAGATAATTTTCTCGGCAGTAAATAGATTTCTTGTCAAGAGAATATCGTTAGAACAGGATTAAAGGACTAGAAAATAAAGTTGAGATTATTCCAAAATTATGCAATAGAGTATTCTTCAAATGTGCACTAGACTTTAGTAAAGGGACTGCAAACGTAATTTCAAGTGGAAATTACGGACTAATACTTAGTAGACAATGAAAGAAATGTCCAGAATTAACACTTCATAATGCAGAAAAACCTTGTTGTTACCCAAAAACAAAGGTTCGATGGATTGCGAAACGGACCATATTTAAATGGAGGATATCCTGAAACTACGTCTACAGTCTCTTCCAAGCATATATATTGAAATACTTAAAAGGAAGGATTAATCAATTTAAAAAATGGATAAAAAACATTATTTAATTAAACAAATTATTATGTTAATCCAATTTTTCTCATCAGGAAAATTGTGAGTAAAAAAATATAAAATGCTTATTTTAATATCCCATATTCTTCTCATGGAACCCTTTCTCATGGAACCCTTTCAATGACTAAAGATACAATAAAATTAAGTTAAAGCTCTAAATTTGGTTAAACTTTCACATCTTTCAATTTAACGAATCCAACATAAAATGAGTAAATGGCAATTGATGGTTGAAGGATTTTTTTTTGTATTTCCCTTCAGATGGAAATTAGTGACTATGTGATATTAAGTTAAACTTCTTCAGCTACTTTTACAAACATTTTTCTTTTTGAGAATTTGAACATTTGAATTATTCAATTAGTTCGAACACACTGTTTTAATCAGTTCCAACTGTACCAGTTCACATTGAGCCATCAATTTATTAATTTTTAACTTAAAATTTAATTAAAACCAACGAATAACTGTTAAAATCACGAACAGTTTTTTCAACGACGAAATGTTAAAGTGTTAAAATTGTTCTTTAACCATGAACTGTCCCATTAACATATAGTTTAATCGTTACATAAAGGTATATATTTACCAGTGCTTAGGATCCGGATCCGTTAGATCCGCAACATTTTGGCCTCCCGGATCCGGATTTGGCAATATATGCTGAACCACGGATCATAATCAACCAACAATTGGATTAAAAAAACTTTTTGTTCACAAAACAAAAAACTTGACAAAAAGAAAACTTGACTGAAGAAATGTTCAAGCCCTGCTGGATCCGGATCCATCATTTTTAGGGCAGAATCCGGATGTGCATCAAAATAAAATGGTTCCTAAGCACTAATATTTGCAAAAGAAATTTCCCCCCTTTCCCTACAATTAGGTAAAAAGTATCACAAATAATTTGATTTAAGTAAAATCTTTGAATTTCCATTTCCTAGGGGGGGGGGGGGTAATAATTTTAGAAATAAATACCCTTGATGGTACATTGAACATTAAATGCAAATAAGGAATGTCTGTTTTACTCTTTTGAAGTTACACATCTATTAAAAAGGGCTATAAAGAGGGGGGGGGGGGGTCACAAAACATTTTTGTATATTTTGTAACGAGTACAAAATTCAAATGAGAGATTTTTAAACTTTCAGAGATGTTTTTTAGTTGAACATTTTAAACAGAGGTTGTTTTAAACTTTATAATTTTGTGTTGAAGAAGTACAATTGCCCCCTGAAATATGCTTAGTACATAGTTTTATAGTACAATAATGATAGCAAACTTTAATATTTTATGACAACAAATATATCAGAATTTAGAATATACTGTCAATGGGACAGAAAAGAAACTCAAATTTTCTAGTCTTCAGATATTTGTATATTTTACTTTGCATTATTCTGTTTATTTGAATTCCCAATGTTTACGGTACACCCAAATTTTCTTGATGAAAAGTACACAGCTCTGCCTGAAGTGCATTCTCAATTAATGCCCCGCTAGATGCTCAACTTGATGCTGAGTCGTCTTCAAATAAATCAATCAATCCTTTGTCTAGATATCATGAGTTCATGAGTATTAAAATATGTCTTTAAAGAAATAAAACAAAAAGACAACAAGACCCTGTTTAGTGTTTAAAGTACATATGTACTGTTTTATTTTTTTTGTGTAATATCTTTCTTTTTTTCATCTATCCATCCGTCTATCTTTCTATCTGAAGCTTGTGTCCTCCAGGTGTTGAACATATTTACCAGAGATCGGCCGGTTAACCTGACATTAATCAATCAATCAATCAATCAATCCATCATTCATCTAATCAATCCATAAATCTATCATTCATCTAATCAATCCATAAATCATAAAATCAACGGATCAATCATCCACCTAATCAAACCATCAATCATATAATCAATGGATCAATCAGTCATCAATTAATCAATCAATCATCAAATCAACCAGTTAATTAATCAATCAATCAACTAATCAATCAATCAATCAATCAACCAATCATTACAAAATCTTACATTCAACCCTTCAATCCAAAAAATTTATTTTGTCGAATTTTTCTTTAACTATCTCAATCAATACAACTTTAAATCATTTAATAATTCATGTCATACCTGCGATATAACATCTCCGTGACAAGTCCTGACCTATAAAATATAAAATATAAAATATAAAATATAAAATATAAAATTTAAAATATAAAATCATAAAAATATAAAAACTTTCTATTTAAAATACAGGAATTCAAACCAAACAGTGTCAAATTCATCTTCTTACAGAAAAACTGCACCAATTCCAACCATGAAAATCCGCCAATTACATTTTTAATCCAGTTTTATAAACTCAACTCTGAGGAAAATTATATGCAACTTAAATTCGAAAGCTCAAGCCGTAAATAAGGCCCAATGACAGCTTAGACCTGAGCCATATTTTCTTGAATTTTTCAAATCGCCGGCTATGACAAGGGAATGCTTAACCCGGAATACCAACAGTTTCAATTCCCATAGCCACCCCTTAAACGCTCTACCAAGTTGGGAGGAGGGGCAAAAATGTGATTATATACCTGGTATAGATATCTATATTTTCTCTGCTTTCTCTCCTCTTTGGTTTCACTTTGTTCTGCTTTCTGGTATTTTACCTCAAATAAAGGGGAGTAAAACAAAGAAAACTTCTTCATAATAATTTCAAGCTTAGTCCCCTAACTTCATGTTTAATGTGCATCAGAAAGTTATGAAAGATGGGAAAAATGAATTAGTATATATGATGGAAAATTCACCAAACTATGCTATGTGAACCATTTGATCTTTAATGCAGATTTTAACAAGTAATTGCAAAAATCAGCATATTAAAGGCTTTTGACTTTCAAATTTGCAAAAGAGAAAATATCTTTTCAATCTTAAATTCCTTACCCGTCTAGGTTCAGATTGCAATTTACAGTACACAACGTATGTACATATACCACATACAATTTCATTACATTGCATACAATACAATAAACAACGTACAATGTACATTACATACACATTGCGTGTAAAACATGCAATGCTCTTCATGTACCCCATCATACCTGCGGTAAACTTTCTTCGTGATGTCTTCCCTTGCCTGTACATGCACACTGTACAATCAGACCTGACAAAATAATCATGCAACATAGGTAGTAGGTACTGATGATTATCGTTTTGAAGTCCGTTTATAAACATTCAAAGCTTATAGAATTTTAAGAGGCTCCATAAGAATCAACAATCAAAAACATAAAAAATTACTTCTGAAAAGATGATGGCCTTCATCTCCAAATTAAATAAAAATTGATAAAATGTAAAACCAGAAGAATTTATTAAATAATATTATTGAGAAAATAAAAATAATAATCATAATAAAAGTAGTAATAATGATAATAATAATAATAATAATAATAATAATAATAGTAAAAATAATAAAAATAATAATAATATAAAACCGCAAATCTACCTAAAACCAGCAGTACGGGAAGTACAAAGAATACAATCCACGATATCCAGCATTTAGGTAGAGTTTCCTAAAAAAGATACAAGTATATAAAAAATAATTATTTTTGAAAATCATTTTTGCAGATTAGAATAAACTCAAGAATTTGGTTAAGAATATCGCTTCAGGGCGAAAGTTATCAAAATATTCGCCCAACTCTTTTTTCTTAATTAAATTTCAAATCCCTAGATGTTGTAATTAAGTTCTGAAGATAATTGTTATGAAACCTGATGGCGATGAATATATGAATTAAAATACTTACTATTGTGTTTAGTTCCTTATTTATCAATCGATCAACCTTCACCCTGTCCCAGGTCCAAAACAGGATCTCAGAATCCTGTAATCAATCAATCAATCACTCAATCAATCAATCAATCAATCATCCAACCAATCAATAATCTAACCAATCTATAATCGAACCAATCAATAATCCAACCAATCAACAAACCAACCAATCAACAAACCAACCAACCAACCCACCAACCAACCAATTGCCTAACAATTAATATTTTAAGGGACCTCATGTAGTAAATGCCGTACTCTTAAACCTTGTCCAGAACTGTATCAATTAAGGCACAGCTCAATCTAACTTTGATATCAATGTAAACCATACACGATCTCGTCAGCTACCAATTTCAACACGGACACAAGCTTGTAATCTATCAATCCCAAACCAATGGGCACGATCTTGTCAGCTATTAATGTCAACAAGGACACAAGCTTGTAATCTACCAATGCCAAACCTCTGGGCGATCGTATGTTTCAATGAGGACCAAATTACTCTCAACAATGTAATAAAAGCGGAGTCTCTGTATCAACTGACGTATTTACAGAAGATATTTTGCATGTTAAGTTCTTATACATATTTACATTATTGCGCAGATATATATATCATTGTAGTTAAGCTAATCACAATGTGTAGCTGCTACAATTTGTGCGTATTTGAGGATTAGCGCAGTGAGATTTTCAGACAATGTGCAACGCAATTTATCTAGGTATGTTCAAACTGTATTTATTACACTCAAACATTTCTGGCACCACCGTAATATTTATATTTAAAGAAAGTAGAATTTGTTGTGTTCCAAGCATATAACAGGAGCCATGATTGCATCAATATTTTGAGGACCCCTGTAAAAGATGTTGGTACTACTCTACATAAATATTAAATACTGTGGAATAAATTTAGTGGGGTTTGTTGTTGATAAAGCGTTTCGGGGACCACTGCAAGATTAATATTTCGGGGACTACTGGAAAAAAATGATTCGAGGACCACTTTGTAGAATTAATATTTTGGGCCCCTGAAAGATAGATTGAATACCTGTAAAAAGAAATCAACTGACATCATAGTAATAACAGCTCCGTATAGACTTGATCCAAATATTGTTAAACTTTTCTACAAAAATAAAGTTGTGTAAAAGAATTAACATAAAAATATCCTTTCACGTATTTCAAAATATTTTTCTCTATTTTAATTTTCTTGTAAAGTGCAATTTTGCGGACAGATTTAGGTTTTACCCAAGATAAAAGAATTCTTAATTAATAATAATAAATGACCAAAACATTTAGTGCAGAACGTATGATAAAATCAAATCGTGAAAAACAATTTTTAAAGAATGAAAAGATACACTTCAACGAGGGAAGGTAAAATTAAGCATCGTTTTTTATCAAACAACAAGTTTTGCTTTCTGGAGGCTTCATCATAGAAAAATTTCTAGAGTAATTCAAATATTAATTATCCAGTTGTTTTCATGAATTAAAGGGAGTGACCGGCAATGTATAGCGGTTCAACTGAGTATGTGGTATTGTGGACAAATTTTTCAGGATTTATTTGAGCCATATAAAACGTACAATTACTGAGTTTGTGCGCAAAGTCGACTTTCAAAATCGTCCATTTGGGTGGATACATTTTGAGAACTATTTTTTCTTAAACTTATTAAATAACGACGACAAAAGATGAAAAAAAATCTACAATATACTGAGTGCATAAATAGAAACAAGTTGATAAACATAGGAGAAAGACTTCTCAATTTACCCTTATTCTTTAAAAGTTTGTTTTATTTGAATCCTCAATTCAATATCTACATGAATGAAGACAAGACCTAGTGTGAGTTGCGCGAACCGGTTGGCTCTAAATGGCGTTGGCAGTGGTTGTCAGCTGATTAACTTGGTTTTGCGCGGCCCGCCTGCCTTGGGCGCTATCCAAAGGGAGATTTAAAATAAATTAAAAATGCTTATATAACAAGAGTTAATTTCTTTTTCTCAACCTGTTTCTATTTATTCCATCAGTTTATTGTTGATTTTTTTACATTTTTGTCGTCATAATTTGATAATTAAAAAAACAATCCTCAAAATGTTTCCACCCAAATAGACGATTTTGAAAGTCGAATTTGGGCACAAATATACTACATACTCAGTTCAACCACCATACATTGCCGGTCACTCCCTTTAAGAAAAGTGTTCAATCGGACAAAAAAGATGCCTGACCTTACAACGGTACCCTAAAAAGTGTTGTGAATCCATTTAACAACTAAAAATCGGGTAAAAAGAAGCTCATCACTGAAATAATGCGGGGGGGGGGCATTGGCATTGGAAGAAAAAATGAGGTGTGTGTTTAATTTCTAAGAATCTGACCTGAAAATAGAGGTTAAAGAGGGCAACTAATAAACCAGTTCCAAGCAGTACACCTAGGGTGACCCAGGCAGTTGGTGGGATATAGTACAGTTCAACACAGCACAATCCTATCAGGCCGGTCAATAACCCTACAGATATATTAATATAAAAAAAATAAAAAGTAAAAAAAGAAAAAGTTTGTTTGTAACAGTATAGTCAAGATTTTCAAATTAAATCATAAAATTGCTTGGAACCTACCCCGCCCCGAAGGGAGGGTAAAAATATTTTTCGAAAATTTTGGGTAAAATATGAAAAATTGGACTTCCACTTGCAAGATTTAAACCACTTTTGATAGATTTTTTTCCAAATGAAAATATCTATAATTCAGAGAAAAAACCTTTACAATATTTTGAGCTCCGCAAAGCATTCCTAAAAATAGAGAAAAAAATATATTTATATATATTATCTATATATGTATATATATATTATCTATATATATGTATATATTATCTATATATGTATATTATCTATAGTATATATGTATATATTATCTATATATAGAGTTGTAATCTCTGTTTGTTTGTTCGATCATAACTCAGGAACCCCTGGACCGATTTGCCTTAAATTTTGATTGGGGAACTAGAAAGACTTACAAGAAGGTTCTTAGCTCGGTTTTAAGATTCCAAGTTGAGTGGGTCGACTTTAAAATCGAAAATTTAGTTTCCCGGTAAAATCGTCCAAGTGCGGGTAAACGGCGAGAGTAACTTTTAGAAACCTTGGCAGCGCTGGGTTCCAAAGCTAGAATTTTATATAAAGATAAAATAAATATTTGATATATGGGGTGTTATAAAATATCTAACCTGTGTGGAAACCTAGCATGAACAGTCCAACATACTGAACTAAAGAAAATGTAAAAATTATTATAAAATATCTCAAATGATACAAATAAATAACACCAAAATATACAAAACAGTTGAATTCAAATTCATGTTTATAGATTATAAGTTCAACTCTTGACTTTTAAATTTGATTCATCAGAACTAAATTGGATTTGACTTGCACCAAATATAGAAATCTTAAATACAATGACTTTGAATTTTAGAAACTGCAGATTGCTATTTTAAAACTATCGCAGAAAAATATTTTTTGCAAATACAAGATTTTTTTTCAAAATTATTTTTTTCTTTGACTAAAACTTTAAAAAGAACACATTGTGATCAATATTTTTAATATTTACCAAACATTGATATCAATATTTCTGATATTTACTTATCATTGTATCAATATTTCTAAAATTTACCTAACGATGTGATCAATATTTCTAATAATTACCTAACATGGTGATCAATATTTCTTATATTTACCTAACATTGTGATCAATATTTCTGATATTTACTTAACATTGTATCAATATTTCTAAAATTTACCTAAAACTCTTGATCAATATTTCTAATATGTACCTAACATTGTGATCAATATTTCTAATATTTAACTAACATTGTGATCAATGTTTCTAATATTTACCTAACATTGTGATCAATATTTCTAATATTTACCTAACATTGTGATCAATGTTTCTAATATTTACCTAACATTGTGATCAATATTTCTAATATTTACCTAACATTGTGATCAATATTTCTAATATTTACCTAAACATTGTGATCAATATTTCTAATATTTACCTAACATTGTAATTAGTCCAAAGAGTAGTCCAGCAGATAGAGCGATACCAGCATTCGCGTAGTCTAGTAATGTTCGATTCTTTAATCTTGTTGAGATATTTCATTGTTTACGGGAAGTGGCCATGCAAGAAAGATGTTTTCTCATTTTTTATTTTCATTTTTTAAAGTTTTAAAAACCTGGTAGCACAGCCTCTTCCGCACAAATGAGATAGACAATGATTGAACCAAAAATGAACCCGTAGAAAAACATTATCGCCTGATCGCATTGGAAAATTAAACAATTAAGCTAATAAACTTTCAATTAGAATGTGTAAAGGTTGGCCGCAAAAATTTGATTTAGGGGTTTAAAACCATTTGATCTAGGGAGGGGGTGCAAGGACGCCTTGCACATCATCGCTAAATGGTCTCCAAGTCCCTGAATATCCGTTAAATATCACCTGGTGCTACCTCCTAATCTTTAGAATAGATATTATAATGTTAGGTAAATAATATAACATATAAATTTTTTAGGATAAATAATCTAATTTGATATTTTAACAGTTATGCAATATTTTTTGGATATATAAGAACACATTGCATAACTTTTGATAGATTATATATTTTCATTAAAACATGTTATTTATTACTTCTTTAATATCTACTCTAGCGTTAAATGGCAGCGCCATGTCCTTTTAAATACTCATCTGCCAATACGGAGGCTTAGAGATCATTTAGCGGGGCTTATGGCGGCCATGCACCCCCTCCCTATTTGATCCATGTGTTCATTTAATATTTAAATAAGCCCAATAAGAAATACATATAAATGTTTTGTAGTTTATATATCTCTATATTTAATCTATTGTACAGTTATTTGTACGAAAAAAAAAATTATATTCGATATAAACCATAATGAATAGCAATTTAAGATTTAGACTTTTGTAACTGCACAACATCTTGTAATCATTTCCCAAATATGATATAGAGAAATTATATTAGAATGTATTTCTTTTTTTTTATATGAAGAAACCCACAAAGGACACACAACTTTTAAATAACAGAAGTGAGAGAAGAGACCACAAAATTGAATTACCATTACAATAATCTTGAGATTAATAAATGATAGTGTCCAGCCATTTTTAAATTGTCTCATTCTATAAGGGGAAAAGGAAAACTGTTTAAACTGAGATCAGTGAATAAGAAAGAAAAACAAATATTATGACGATTTTTTTCATTCTTCTTCAACAGTCACTTTTTGAGTTTAAATTTCCATCCTGCCTTAAAACATCGATAGCCGAAAAACAGGCAGACAATACCGAAAACAAAGTACAGAGCACAAACTGAAAAATGAAGTACAGTGTTATTAATTAATTAAATGGTATTTAAAATGTATATTTTTAAAATGTTTTTTAATATTACTAGTTAAAGTGCCTGGCGTTGTCCGTGGAATTATAAAATTTGAAAATCTTTGATTTTTTAACAAAAAAGTCGAATTGTTTTTAGTCTATGTTACCGTACCGGCCAGGGGGTTTGACAGAATTATTCAGTCTATTTGGTCCGACAGTTTGGCTATAGGGTGAGAGTATATATATATATATATATATATGCGCAAAGCTCATTTTTATAGTTAAAAGTTTAAAAACAGTGCTTAGGATCGAATTATTTAAATGCGGATCCGCATTGGAAGAAAATGGATTTCTTTAAGATTTACCAAATTTTTTTTAACAATGCAGAATTGTCAAAGTTTTTGTTCTTATTTTCGCTAAATCTTGATAAACCAGCCAGAGATCTGGGAGCAAACAAGTTTTTTTTAAGTTTTTGGTTGATATTTTGCCCCTTGGATCCAGGAAGTCAAAATCTTGCGGATCCGGATCTTAATCGTTGTTTAAAAATACAAAAAATGTATAAAATCTATTATAAAAAGGGTTTAACCTGTTCCATAGTAAGGATCGTATTTTCTTATTATTTTAATGTGATCCTAAATATAAAAAAGGAATTTAGTGTCAAACTCAGACCAAATAAAAATTTCTAACTCTTGAAAACTTTATTATATACTCGTCAAGACTTTTTCAAAACTAGCTTAAAGCAGATAAAATTAATATTGAATAGCAATGACAAACATTCAGTGTTATAACTAGGACTGGTGTTAAAAAATAATAGTGCAACTTTTTTTTATATTACACAGTTTAAAAAATGTTTATAACGCAGAATATTTCTTCTGGAAACTTAGGACTTGGGTCTATCAACATTTATGATCGTTATGAGGAGCTAATCATTACAAATCCAGAATCAGTGAAATTTACGATTTAACGGAAGTTCCGGGATCATTTCTTTGCTTTTTTATTAACAATACAACATTATTGTTTAGATTTTTTTTTTGTGTTTAAATAATTTGGAATTTAAAATAAAGCGTAATTACAAGTGGTCCTCAATGCTAAGATTGAAATGACCGATTTACAAAGGTACCCAGCTTTGTATGATATAGTATGAATTAGATATCAATTTTTTGTTTCATTTAACTTGTTTTTTCATATGGGGTTTCTCTGTGTAAGACGTAATCTTCCACATTTTTGATCATATTAAAGTACGTTTCAAGGGTACCGTTGTAAATCGGGCAAAGCAATCTTTGCATGAAGCGTCATTTGATATTACGCTTACACTCCCTTTGGCTTTGATTATGTTTTTTTTGTACCTGACAATAATCTTGAGTAAAGTTAAGATTTAGATCTTCATCTTCATAATTTAATATATCTCCGTTCCCGCCATTTTCATCCCAGTCACTTATATTTCCACTCCTACCATTCCAGTCACTTTCATTTCCACTTCTACCAATCCAGTCACTTATATTTTCACTCATATTCATCATTCTAAAATATATAAGTTTTTACATATCTTGGTTTCTTGGTCGCGTCTCTAACGCTAAATAACGGCTTAGCTTAAAAAAGGGAGTGGGTGCTGGGACGCCACGAGCCCGGCGAAATGGTTTCCAAAAGCCTTTGGATTCACAGATGAGTATTTAAAATTTTTAAAATATTTTTAATTTTAAAAAATATTTTAACAGATTTTTGGCTATGTGAGGAAAATATTTATTTTTCAAATTATATATTTTTTACTGCTGTACTATATATTCTAACATTTAGGGGTAGCGCCAGGTAATTTTAAATACTCATTTCCGAATACGAAAGTTTGCAGACCATTTTGCGGAGCTCATGGCGGCCCTACATCCACTCCCTCGGCTTAAACGAAACAAAAATTCGATGAAAAGGAGATAACTCAAAAAATAATGTTACCTTTAAAATTAATCTAGTTAGATGTTGTCACAAATCTATTTCTCTTCATCTCAATTATTTTGCCTGAAAGTGTATAATTATAAATAAAAATATTTTGTAAGTGCAGTCGTAGAAGATATCAGATATATATTTCAAGCTCGAAGACGTATCTATTATATTATCAAGCTTTCTCTGTTTGTGATTATATTTCATTAACCCCTTGACTGATTTGCCTTAAATTTTGATTGGGTCTGTCCTAGAGAACGATTTTTGGACCCCTCCTATCAATTTTGTACATTACCACTTTTTTATTATTATTTCTGGGAAGCGCTGCGGCTAGGACAGGCTAAGGGACCGAGCGCTGCGGCTAGGACAGGCTAGGGGGCCGAGTGCCGTAGCCATGCTACGCTAGGGGGCCACATGACCAATTATATCCATGTGTTACATAGATCCATGTTCAAAATTGATAGGGGGGGGGGGGGGGGGGGGATTGAAAAATCGTTTTCTAGGAAAATACCTATACAGATAGGTTCCAACGCTAGTAAATTATATCTTTTAATTGATTTCGGCACTTATGCATATTCATAAATTAAACCTTGTCTTTCTGTGTATAATTTTGAATTATCAAAAAAACGTAAAATTCGCAGATTTGATCTCGTTTCATTTAGCGGTTTTTTTTATAATTAAAAAACAACAATTTTCTTAAAATTTTCTTAAAGGTCATGCGTGATTTTTCACAAAAAAATACACATACACAAACAATTGCCAAATTTAAACATAAACAGAACATCAGGGGCTCAGCCTGAAAACTCCCTGAAATCAATAGATTTTACTGGTCCAGGGAGGGGGCTTAACCCCCATAGCCCCCCCTCAGGTCCGTAACCAGGGGGGGTGCAAGGGTGCAGGTGCACCCCCCTTTCTTCTGAAGGGGGGTGCAATGACGAATTTGCACCCCCCCCCTCCCGTCCCATATAAAAGAAATTGTTTCTCATAATTTTCTAAAATCTAGTTACCAATAATATAGCTCAAGCAAGAATTTGGGTGTTACTCATTAAAAGTGGGTGTGTGTATCAAACTTGACATCTCTGAAATCAAGAACTTATACAAAGTAAAACATCCTTTAAAGTTTGAACAGTTGGTTAAAAGGAAAAAATTCATCCATTTATTTTGGAATATAATAGCCATTTTTGGGAATTTCAAAAACTATTTTAAGCGAGAATATTTGTCATTTTTAGTCAAATCAGAAGGGTTTTTTGAGTACTCAAAAATTCACTAAGAATGTCTCAATGTCTCAATGTCAATAAATAAACTCTTTTAAACAAAATATTAGAAATTTTATTTTTTATTCATCTTCATAATATCATGATGAGGTCGGGGGACAAGAGCCTTGATTTTAAATAATGAATTTTTTCCTTAAGCTAAAGAACCATTAATTTATTTTTTATGTATATTGTATATGTAAACTGAAAAGTTTCAGACACTAAAATTTAACCCTTAAAAGCTTATATACACTTCATAAAAAGGTTAGTCTTTATAGCGTACAATTGACAATGTAATAAAGAAAACCATATACCACCGTAAAAACAAACCAAACATTGCTTTTAAAAAAAAACTAAAAAAATTTTCGCCGCCAGCGCGCTTCTTTGCACCCCCCCTGGAAAAATCCTGGTTACGGGCCTGGCCCCCCTGATTACGCCTCTGCGTAATTTGATGAATTAGGGAGATTTGCACTGTATATTGTTTGCAAAAACTCCACAAACACAGTCTGAAATCATGGCTTTCCTTGTAATTTGGGAGAGACCCATCAATCTAATGTTGTTGTGTCCCGTAGGGGTAGTTTTAACAAATATTATTTCAAAAAAAGTTTCAACATTTTGAAATACATTTTAATATTTCTAACAGACGACTTAACGGTAAAACATGTGAAAAAGTTTTAGCCCTGTGTTTTGCTTTAAATTAAAACAGCTGATCGATAGGCAGCGGCCACTTTGTGCTACTCGCGAATGCCGCAATAAATGATAAGACAGAGAGAAGACAGTTCTATCCGCGGCGCTCGGCCCCCTAGCCTGTCCAAGCCGCAGCGAGCGGCAAAGCAAGTGTCTAAACCTAACCTAACCAACCCTAAAATATATACTAATCTCGCTTATATTATAATTTATTGCGGCAATTGTGAGTTGTAGAGTTTGGCAGCCACCTGATCGATAAATAATCCATTAAAAGACGACATCTGAACGATGATAAATCTATTTTCAAAAAATCCGACCTACAAAATTATTGCAATCCGACCTATAGGCCCTATAGAGAGCGCACAAAAGGAGTGCATCCGACCTTTAAACTGTGCAACACTTAAGAGCAGTCGTAAAGGTCGGATATTGCAGTCATAATCAGAAAGTAATTGTTGTTCTGAAGAATTCGGTTGGATTTTGCGTATAGACGCGTTTCGGTATATGGGTCTGTCCTTGTGTTGAAAGTTGAAAGTAAACACGAAGGTTTAAAATACAATTGTTCTCTATGTGAGTTTGCTGCAACTTCAGTAAAAAGTCTAAAGATTCCATACTTAAAGTAAACATGTGGGAGTAAGATATCCTTGTCCAAGCTGTGAATATGTTGCAACTGCAGTGGGTGTCTTGAACAGGCACGTTATGAGTAAGCACGAGGGGGTGAGATATCCTTGTCCTCACTGTGAATACGCTGCAACTAGAGCTAGTGTCCTGAAGATTCACATTGAAAATAAGCACGAGGGGGTACGTTCTTGTCCTCACTGTGAATATACTGCTACTAGAGCAAGTGTCCTAAAGATTCACGTTGAAAATAAACATGAAGGAGTGAGATATCCTTGCACTGATTGTGAGTATGCTGCGAAAACCGTGGGTTCACTGAAGATTCACGTTGAAAATAAACACGAAGGACGGAGATATTTTTGTTCTCAATGTGAGTTTGTTACCACTACAGTAGGTAATTTAAAGATACATTTTGTAAATAAACACGAAGGAGTTAAATATGCATGTCTTAAATGTGAGTATACTGCAACTACATCCAGAAATCTAAAGATTCATGTGGAAAGTAAACACGAAGGAGTAAGATATCCCTGTACTCTATGTGAGTATGTTGCAACTACAGTGAGCAATCTAAAGATTCATACTGAAAGTAAACATGAAGGGGTAAGATATCCTTGTTCTCTATGTGAGTATGCTGGAACTACAGTGAGAAGTCTAAAGATTCATGTGGAAAGTAAACACGAAGGAGTTAGATATCCTTGTTCTCTATGTGAGTATGTTGCAACTAAAGTGGGAAATCTAAAGATTCATACTGAAAGCAAACATGAAGGAGTTAGATATCCTTGTTCTCTATGTGAGTATGTTGCAACTGAAGTGGGAAATCTAAAGATTCATACTGAAAGCAAACATGAAGGAGTTAGATATCCTTGTTCTCTATGTGAGTATGTTGCAACTACAGTGAGAAATCTAAAGATTCATACTGAAAGTCAACACGAAGGGGTAAGATATCCTTGCCCTGAATGCGAATATGCTGCAATTGACAAAAGAAAATTGAAAAGACATACATAATAAACATAAATGAGTAAGGAATCTTTGTTCTTTATGTGAACAAGCTGCATCTAGGGATCTGAAGAAATACTTCTATACCATTACATTTATACGTTTTTTGATAATTTAAAAATTTGAAACTACTTTTGTTGACAATATCATTCAAAAAAAAAACTTTTTTTGCTTATGATTTTATTTTTGAACTCCAAAATTAAATTCTAATTGAATGTGACATTTTTTTCTCGCTTACATTTTGTTCAGCATTAAAAAATAGCAAAATTATGAATGCATTTGATGATTTTGAAAAAATGTCTCAATAAAAAAAAATATATTGGAAAACTGTATGATTTGTGCAAGATGGATTTACCATATATATCAAAAAAGTTTCACTAAATTTCACCCTTTGAGTGTTTTTCCATAGTTTATGAATATTTCTCTTCAGACATTTAATATCGATATTTTTATTATGAAATAGAAATATTAGAAGCATTTATTTTCCAGTTAGAATGGCCGGGACTTTTAAAGATGAGTTGAGAATTGAAGAGTTTGAGATAAAAGAAGAAACAATTTCCACTGCAAGAGAGAAATACTTCTGTCCTCTTCTATAGAAAATATATAAAGATGGAAAATACAGAAATTCAAGGCATACTAAACAATTTTACATAAGCATAACAAAAAAACATTATAAAATGTTTCAAACAGACCGAATTTTCATTTCTTAGTTTTGTGTTGCTGAATCTAGACTGAATTTGATAAACGGGAGAAATTTTATTAAATAAAGGGTAGCGCTCAAACTCTGTTACTTGCGAATGCTGTAATAAATCATAAGAACAGAGAGATTAGTATATATTTTAGGGTTAGATTAGGTTTAGACAATTTCTTGAAAGCGCGCTGCGGCTAGGACAGGCTAGGGGGCCGAGCGCCAAGGCTAGAACTGGCTCTCTCTCTGTCTAATAGTTCATTGCGGCATTTGCGAGTAACACAGATTGGCCGCTGCCTAAATAAAAGGGAAACTTTTTAAAAAGACTTTATCGAGAAGCCACTGCTGTAAACAAGGAAAACAAAAATATCTCCTTCTTCTGTGATCTGACTAGGGTTTAAAGAGTTCCGTTGTTTATCGGAATAACAGGAAAAAAATTACACTAAAACTTAAGTCGTTGATAGCAACTAAAGATTTGTGTTTTACCGTCTTTTTGTTTGTTAAATTTAAATTTCAGTTTAATTTTTGATTGAAATTACTGAAAATACAGCTAATGAAAACATTGAAATTTAGACCTTTCTTTGAAAATAGGCGTTAAATTTGCCTTTTTCCAATCACTAGGAACTTCACATTCAGCCATGTATTCCTCTAAAATAATTGCTTTGGGTACACAAATTGTGTCTGCCACTTGAATCAAAAGTCTTGAACTAACTTGTGCTGAAAAAGGTTTAAGTTTTTTCAGTTTGGCTGAACTTTTAAATTTTCTAACTGCATATTTTCCAAGTTTAAAATGTCACCTTTTATCGGAGATAAATATGGTATATTCAGTAAATCTTCCGCTGTAAAAACACAACTAAAAAATCATTCAAATTTTTTGAAATATCTTGGTCTTCATCTAGGAAGACATCATTCACTTTCAGTGGAACTTTTATTGCTCTTTTTTCTGTTAATATACTTATGGAAAGTTCTAGGATTTTTTTTGGAATCTTTGGCTAGTTTTTTTCCGAATTGCTTTTTGGCATTTTTTACAACTTTTTTACATTACTTTCAACAATTTTGTATGCTTGCAAGTGCTTATAATCTTTAGTTTTTGTATAAACTTTCCACAGCCTTCTTTTACGAACTAATCTCATCACATTTTTTTGCATCCATAATGGTTTGGAATCTTTTTTTACATTTCTAAATGGAACATTTTTTGCAATTATTTCATCTAACTTACTTTTAAAAGTATCCCAACAGTTTTGGGTATCAAGGTTTACAAAAAGTTCATTCCAGTTTAAATTAGCAATTTCATCATTTATACTTTGAATATCAGCTTTTTTGGTGTGGTAACAGTTCGCCCAATTACGTTTCACCAAAAACGTTTCACCCAATTTAAGGTGAACTAACGTTTCACCCAATAACGTTTCACCCAAACTATGTTTCACCAGAATTACGATTCACCCAACAAATGTTTCGCCCAAATTACACATACTTTTCTGTTTTTACACTTTTTTATTTAATCTTGGAAAACACGTCAACTAATGTGAGAAAATTTCTTTCATTGTTATATTTGACACTAGTGACGTTGTGTATAATTCTCTGTTGCCACCTAATTGTACTTGATAATCTATTTGCATTTTACTAACTAACAATCATATGCAATGGAAAATAAATTTCTTCCAAGAACCGTGTTAAGGTCATTTTTACTTAAATTACTGTCTTTAATGTGAGAGACCGGATATGTAAAATATTTGAGTTGAAAGTGCAGTATTGGAGAGAAAACTTTAGGGTTCATTTAATACCAATGAGACATTTTTTCAGTGTACAATTTTTAAATACTAGGCTTTTAGGGCGCTTCGCCCATCTTCTACTTCAACTTTAAATTGTGGCGTTATCTGTGAGCACTGAGCATCTTCTTTTCGTACAGAAACAAAAATAATAAAAAAGTTTGCGAATTTCATAATATTTTTTCGCACATTTTCAAAATTTAACAAAAAATAAAAACTTTTAAACACAAATTTTTCAAATTTTAATCATTCATAAACCTTCCCTGGGGTCACGTGAGGTCCTACACAAAATTTGGGCCCGATCGGTTCAGCCGTTTTGACGTTTATTGGATACAAACAAACAAAAAATGACAGACAGACAAGCTAAATTTATATATAAAAGAGTGTAAAGTGTAATATTTTACTAGTGGGTTTGATTGTTGAAAAGCTTTTTTCGAATTATAAATTTACAATCAATCAAAGAGAAGCTTTTTTAATTGACATACATTAAATACATTTATTTGATCTGTGGGGGAAAAAACTGGATTCATTTTAATCTGTTATAATATATTGGCCTTGAGACTGATATTTTCGCAAAATTGTCTTGATGTCATGTCCCTTTTTATCTATAAATGTCTGATTAAACTATATCTATAACGTATATGCACTATATGTCAGCTGATCAGAAACAGGTTTGTGTACGATTGAACGTTAGTGCAAATGAACACAAATCGAGCTTTATCGTGTTTAATCGGACTAACATTTATTTTTCCTCTATGGAACATTTTATTTTCCCGCCAGGAATATTTTATACAAATGATCTTTAGCTTGCAATTGAACTGGAATACTTGCAATAAACAAACTATTTTTTTTTCTCTGTATTTATTAGTGGAATGAACGTCAGTGCAAATACACAGTTTCAACAAAAAATTTGTTCAAATGGACTAATCTTTTTTCCATAAATGTTAGTGCAAATGAACATTGCCAGCAAAATTTTTTTTCAATTGGACTTATGATTTTTTTCATCGCAATAAGTGCCATTTAAGATAGTGCAAATGAACATTTCTCGTAAAAAAATTAGTTCAAACGGCCATAATGTTTTTTTTCTGTAAATATAAGATGCAATTAAACATTTTTGAAAATGAACATTTCCAACAATGTTCAATTACGGAGGAATGTTTTTTTCTGCAAATATTAGTGCAATTAAAGATTTATGCTAATGAGCATTTCCAACATAAAATTTGTTTTAACGGACTATAATGTTTTTGTTCAGCTTTAATATATTTATAATTTACGCTGTATAGCATAGTGTAAATTTTAGTTCCGATTGAATTTTTTTTGTTCATTTGTTTTAAAATAAGTTAAATTGATTTAATCAAAATCACATCCTAGTAGGTCGGATGTGTATAGTAAAGCGGATTTAGCGTAGGTCAGAAGTGGAGTATAGCGGATTTGCGTAGGTCGAAAAATACACCGGTGGTGTATTTTTCGACCTACACATACCGCTATACTCCACTTCTGACCTACGCCAAATCAGCTATACAACACATCCGACCTACTAGCACGTGGTTTTACAGCTGCGATATGGACATGTGCCCGCAGCGCCCGGTGTGATGCCTGGAGAGAACTCGTACCTGCAGCGAACTCTGGTTATGCTACGCGGCAAAGCGCAAGATTCTTTAAACATAAACAAACACTTGAATTTATGGAACGGATTTGTTTCAGTAAACGATGAATCAATTACAGAAAATTAGCCGTAAACTCAAACAAATTAAATTATTCTTGTTTGTTTACATTTCAAGAAACTTGCGCCTTGCCGCGTGCATAACCAGAGTTCGCTGCAGGTACGAGTTCTCTGCAGGCATGACACCGGCCCCCTAGCCGCGGCGCTCGGCCCAGAAATTGTCTTAACCTATCCGAACCCTCAAATAATACAAAAATAAACAGCTGACGTAGGTCCGATATTGCAGTAGGTCGGAAGTTCAGTAGGGGGGATATTGCGTATAGACGATGTAACATTACCTTTCACCCCTTTTTCAAATAAGAGAAAGAAGACGATTTAGATCCAGCGCACCCTACCCATTTTGCCGCAACAGATTTACAACTCATATATTTTCCAACAGCCAAACCAAAGCAAACTACCGGAAAATCTTTACTGATCGGAAGTTAGAACTTTGTGTTGTGAATTTAAGTTAATTATTGATATCCATCTTTGTTAGACCTACGCATTCTACAGTCTTATATATCATGAGGGATAATTTTTATTGAGGGATTCATAAATGTAAAGGTCAACATTAGATACCGAGAGGTAATTCCATAGAGAACGATTTTTAGACACCCCCCCCCCTTCGCCTTCTATCAATTTTGCACATTTTGTAAAATTGGCTTCAGCGCCCGGCCCCCTAGCCGCAGCACTCGGCACAGAAATTGTCTTAACCTAACCCAACCCTAAAATTATTAAAATCAAATGTACCAAATTGGGTAATTTTCCAGATAACGATTTTCGGACCCCCCTCCTTTCAATTTTGTACATTTTGTAAAATTGATAATGTGGCCGCTGCGGCGCCCCCTTCGCCTCTCTTAGCTGTGGCACTCAGCCCCCTAGCCTGTCCTAGCCGCAGCGCTCCGCCCCCTAGTCCATCCAAGCCACAGCGCTCGTCCCAGAAATTGTCTTAACCTGATCTAACCCTAAAATAATAAAAAAATGTGTACAACATCTATAGGAGAGGGCGGAGCCCGAAATTTAAAAGAGTATCGTTGAACGAAACTCCCGAGTTTCCTTTTTGGGGTCTTGGCAATTGTGTAGATTTTGATTTAAGAAATTTTTGTTATTTAGGGTTAGGTTAGGTTAATGAAAGGCCGAGCGCTGCGGCCACACTTTCTGGGCCGAGCGCTGCGGCTAGGATGGGCTAGGGGGCCGAGCGCTGCGGCCACACTTTCTGGGCCGAGCGCTGCGGCTAGGATGGGCTAGGGGGCCGAGCGCTGCGGCCACGGGTTAGGTTAAGTTAAGACACTTCCTGTCAGACCCATGTACAAAATTGATAGGGGGGGGGGGGTCCAAAAATCGTATACTAGGAAATTACCAAAATGTGAATTGAACTTTTCTCATCTTTTATAATCTTTGATTTAAGCCATACCTTTTTTTGTAGTTCAAATTAAATCGAGAAAATTTGTGTAATTTATTTAAATCTTAACATTTTTCAAAATTGGTAAAATCCAAGATTACAACAAAACAAACTAAATTTTTCCAGATCTATTTCTATAATCGTTCTCTGGGACGCACCCAAAAATCGTATGCCATTACGTCAAAAAAACTGCTAAAATTTTTCATTTAACAGGAAAGCCAAGATGTAAAAAAAGCTGTGCTGTATGGTGGAGGCTCGTTCAATGCATAGCGGAGTCACGGTCTGCTATAGCTGAGGCTTTGTCTGCATAGTGGAGACTCGGTCTGCCTAGCAAAACTGGGAGACTCGTGCCTGCATAGCAGAGGCTCATGGCGTCCGTGGGTTTCCTCCCTCGAGCAAGCATTTAAGATTACTTCGGGGTTTCCTTTTCTAAATATGTATGTATGTATATATATACTTTGCTTGTCTGTTTTTCTATTTGGTTGTATCCAATAAACGTCATAACCACTGAACCGATCGGGCCAACATTTCGGGTGGGACTTTTAGTTTTTGTTTGTTTTAGTTTTGCAATGATTAAAAACAGAAAATGTTACAATTGAAATCGCTCTGAAAGCCTAGTATTTCATATTTCATATTCCAAAACTTTTTACCGATATGTTAATAACTTAATTGCATAGAATTGAAGTGAAAATAAGATTTAAAATATTTACCATGCGCTTCAAATGATCTAATGTGGTTAAAATATATTTCAGAAAAATGTTAGCAGAAGCAAATTAAATTTCAGATTTACTTAAACAGAGGTGAATCTCTTACATTAAAATTTACAGGATGGTGTTTTAGCATTAATTTGCCAAAGTAACGATTACTAAAATTTGTTATATATAAATTAATTTTGGAGCGTTTTCTGATATTAAAGGGACCGTTAGCGTGTTTAAGTGATCCCCTATCTAATAGTTTACAATGTAGCGGTTCGCTTGTAAATCTCATCAATTTAAAGAGAAAGAATTTTGGTGTATGTTAGAGCGTAAAACTGTATTCAGTTAGTACTTGTCTTTTTCTCTGTTATATACAATGGTCGGCTTTTTTTTCAATACAATGAAGATTACTTTTCTTTTCACGGGTTCGTTTTTATGAATACGACGACCAGCGTAGAAAAAACAGTCGATTTTCCAGGGATTGTATATTTTTAGATAATGCATATATTAGAGTTTATTTGCTTCATTAAAAACTTTTGGGCTAAAACGTTTTGGAAATAAAGTATCAAAAAAAAAACTTTTCTTTTATGTCGAAGAAGCTGTTGTTAGTCCAGTATGTATTCTTTTATTGGTGGTCACTTGAATTGCACCAGCAGTCCCTTTAATGGGAAAATAAAGACATTCTTACATTTTATATTTATATTGTATTTACGTGATAACTTTTCTTACCAATGTTATCAGTGTTACAAATTTTATCTATATTACAGTATAGTTTATAAATTGCAGTATACACTCGATTCACTCACAATAAAAAAAATATAAAACCCAAATCTGAAGTTCTGAAAAAAGTGAGATTATAAAAATTTCTTCATTTCTGAATAGTTCATCAAGTTTAAGGAAAAAAATAAGCGAAAAAATTAAACAAAAATTAGAAAATTATATTTTATTTAAGAAAATCAGTAAATCATAAAGAAATGACTTTTTTCCATTGCGGACCCAGGATCCGGATCCGCATTAAATTTAAATGGATCCTAAGCACTGATTTTGACCTTGCCTTGCAATTTCAGCATTTTTTTTATGATTTCAGTTGATATATTTTATTATTTTATTTAAAAGTGATTGTTTCAATCGAGAATTGATAACTGACCTGTTCATGAAATTCGTTCTGAAAAGTAGACATTTTCTATTGCTATCAACGCTCGTTGAAAAACGGCATTTAAGTAAAGATGACTGCAATAATCTCTAACCAGAGCTGGGAACTTTTGTGTTAGATACTCATAATCTCGCTCGCTTGATCTCAATATCTCCTGTGAGCATTTTTGATTTAAGGATCTATACCTTTCAAATTTTTTTCCCGTCACTTGATCAAGGGTTTCTTCCACCAATGAATGGCTACCATTGCCGTGCAGGATATCAAATAAATATTAAATTAATCTGCAGATGAACAAAATATTTAGATCAAGTGTTGATCTCGATATCTATAATACAATAGTTCCTGCCTCAGGCTCCTCAATTGATTTAATTTTGAAAAAAAAATGTTGTTTTACAAAAATAAATTAGGACCTCATCTTGTAATAATCATTTTAATGCATAAGTTAACATGAAATCAAGTTGAATTTATAATTCAGAAGCAGTTTTTTTTTTCTTAACAAGTTACTCTGAATTTCATATGAATCTGTACAAAATAACGTAGATTGTTAATATTTAAGTTATGTTGTAAGATTTTAATTATATTTTATAATGTTTTGTAAGCGTTGGTTTAATTTGGTAGAAATAAAACTTAAAATGCGTTTAAATTATTTACCCCAATTTTCAGGTCATTTTAGCAGCAGCTGCAGTTATGTCGGTCAGATTTAAATTTAAAAATGATCTGGACTTTCATTCGGTTCCTTGCGACGGTCTTAACATCTCCGTCAAGGATTTAAAGCGCTCGATCGTTCGACAGAACAAGCTCGGGAAAGAAACTGATTTCGACCTCCTGATCTCGAACTTTACAACGGGGCAGGTGTACAACAATGAGGCCGAGCTCATCCCTAAGAACACAACCGTGACCGTCCAGCGCTCACCGCTTACCGACGGCAAGAAGAAGGTTTGGGAGGAAGATGTGTTCAGCTCGGCGCTGAAACAGCAGTCGGGGATGCAGGCCAAGGTCGTTATGCAGTCCAGTGCGTTGAATATCCCTGCCATGTTGAGATTGGGGGAAGGTGGAGAAGGAGGGGGTGGGGGAGGGGGAACCGAAGAGGATAAAATCGACAGTATGATCAGTAATTCGACTGAGATGTACAAAGGAAAGAAGTTGTCCTCAAGTATTAGAAAATTGGATTTCTTAAAAAGTTTATTTATTGGTTAACTCCCAGAGAACAAATTTAGTATAGTAAATGATGGAACTGCTTGTGAAAATTCTTAAAAATGTCTTCAATAGTAAAATATTGTTCAAATATTTTAATAAGACTTCTCATTTTTTAAGAAATTAACCATGACAATTGTTATTACATTTTTAAGAATTTATCTTTTGTCCAGAGCGTGCCTTATCATATTGGATTATCTCCAAGATTAAGCCAAAATACGCACAAAATCTAACTGTATATATTTCATACAAATTTTATTTAAGCCATGATCCATGCATCCCGTAAGGGGGAACTGGGTTGCTGGGAGGGGTGCTTACCTGGAAACATAGATAGATAGATATCCTTATACATTTTCAATTTAATTAAATTTTATTAAATTTTCTGTTCCTAATCCTAAAATACCGATCTAGATTTTTGACATTTTTGATAATTTGACTTAGACTTAGACGAGGGGGGGGGGGGTATTTTAGAACATTCATAAATTCTTCACCTTTTTGTGATTAAATATATCGAATTGTTGATGGATCAATTAATATTATGGTTTTAAAAAATCTGAACAGATATTGGGATTGGACAAGAGTGAAACTTATCTATTAATTCCTGCTATTTTGTGATTTAATTTAGTCCAAATCCGCTAAAATATTGATTTAATTTCGTGAAAATTATTTAACATCAAAGTTTTTATTTAATTAAAGACGACTAAGAATTAGTACAGAAATATTACAAGTCAACCATCGCTTGATATACTTTGTTATATATTTTACTGAGGTATTTTTACCCGGATTTGTTATGAAAATAAATTTTACATCTAAACAATAAAATTTATTTTCCACATTGAACTTTATATGTTCAGGGTTACATAGTAAACATACATTTTGTGTTTAGGAAAAAGTTTTTTTCTTTGTGAAATGTCTTGATTTATATAATGTATGTCGGTACGGTTTATGAATCTATGAGATGTACAATGTACATCTTTGAAATGTCCTATCAAAGATTTTTATGAAATGAAAATTAAATCTGTAAATCTTGGAAGCGAAATAATAATTTTTCTTAACCTTTAAACGAAATCGCCCAAATTTTAACATTTTATAAGTGAGTGACAAAAATCTGCAGAAATCAACTGGACCAAGTACAAAGGACAGAAATCTCTGCCCGAGGGTGCAAAGCCTCCTGCGCACTGGAAATGCCCGAAATGCGCACAAAATCACTGGGTTTCTGATTGCCCATTCGGGAACACGGACCTGAAACGGAGCACAGGAACGCAATTAATACCCAGCCAGTTGTTTTTCGAATTGTCTAATTTTTGTTTTTAAATTGGAATTTAGACGCAATTTCAAGTGACCCTCCTTTGAACGAATTCCCATGTCTGATCAACGACGAAGTAGATATCTATAGTTTTCTAGTTGAAAATTGAATGCCAGGAAACTGTTTTGTACAATTTTCATCTCAGGGGTGTGAATGACGTCACACTGTTCCCGACACAAAGGTCACTTTAAATTACATCTAAAGTCTTTTTAAGTAAAATTCTTCAATGCAATTAAGACAGCTGTAACGCTAGGAATTTTTTCTCCCAATAATAAATTTTATTTTTGTTTTCTTAAAAAAATCGCTCAAAATACCTCTTTTTGTTTGAAAATAATAAATTAAGAAATCGGTATATCATTTTAGCAGTTGAAAATAAAAAGCCATAAAATTTATAAAAAAAAATCTGCCGATAATAACATACATTATTGTTGCAACAAAAATTAATGACTATCGTTTTGAATTCTACGTATTCTCTTTTATGGTTAGATGATAGAAATTAAAATTTCTTCGAGATTCTTAGTTGCAACCACTCAAAAATTAATTTTTACAAAAATTCTTGACTTGCGGTTTTTATATGTCATTTGAATGAAAATCCACAAAACTCAAAATTTATCTTGTTTTTATCAATATATATTTAAAAGGCGTCTAAAGATTCTGTTAAAAAATATTTTTTTTATAAGATAAAGAAATAATAACTTCAAATGTTTATGCTAACAAAATTGTTGTCATTTGAATTAAAATCCAAAATACTGTATTTTACAAATGTAAAGTGACATTTCATTAGCAAAAATTTATAGAAATACAATTAAAATAAGAAATTAGAACTAAACCGAATTAAAGGGACAGTAAAGGAAAAAGGAAAGGGGGTATAGGCTGAAAGCTAATCACTTTAGCTCTTGATCGCGACCCATGAAAGTTATATCTGATGTTCCTGTCTGGAGAAAGTGATATAAAACTGTTTTAAAATTATACGAAAATTCATATATGTAAAATTTTGAAAATCTGAAACTTTAATCATGTGACCAGAACTATCGCCAATGGCAGAGCAGTATACTGGTCACGTGTCTCCGCCTGTATCACGTGACCACTTTACTGCACTGCCATTGGTGGAATTTCTGGTCAAGTAAAACGGACGTTAAAATAATATTATGAATGAAATCTGTTGAAAATAGAAACAACAAATATAAAAGTAAACCTAAATTACAATTAGCTTTCTCTGGTATATCATCGTTTTCAGATTGGTTGCTTATTTGCTGAATATGATCTGTTTAAACCTACTACTTTTATACAAAATTGTATATATATTAATTTTCGTATATATTTGACACAGTTTTATATCAATTTCTCGAGACATGAACATCAGATATGACTTTCATGGGTCGAGATCGAGAGCTAAAGTGATTAGCTTTCAGTCTATACCCACTTTCATTTTTCCTTTACAGTCCCTTTAATATTAAAAATTATCGCATGACTTGCATTTATTTGTCAATTGCATGAAAATGCACAAAAATTTATTTTGCGCCATGTGACCAGGAATCCCGAGGAGCTTTCTTCACTTTTCAGAGGACAAGGACGCACAGGGGGCTAAAATTAATCCACAAGGTATCGAGAAAACTGACATTCTTTTATTTATGAATTTTAAAATGGGAGAGTGGAGAGTTTAAATTCTTGTCCGATTCACTACGATGCCTTTTTAATGTTTATTTGATCAAAGATGAATGAATTATCCTTATTAATCTCTTGGAAAATTGAGCATTTCTAATTGCTATATCTCTTTAAAAGTTACTTGCGGATTTTTGCTGCAGAGTTATGAAGAAAATTCTGCAAAGTTTGCAATTTTAAGAGAGACAAATAACTATTTTTTTGCTAATTTTAAACTAAAACTGATGTTCACACTTTAGGGTGTGAAATTTTTTTGAAAAATTTTACAGAGCAAAAAATTATTCTACTAGGAATATTAAGACATGTTTATAAATTATACTTTTCACAAAAATCAAAAATGTGCCCCTCAAATGGGGGTTAATATTTTAAAAGTCACAAGTATAAGCGAAAATTTTTAAATACTTATTGAATTTGACTTTATTGGAATCGAATTGAATTTCGGAATTCAAATCAATTTACAGAAAAAATATTGAAATTTGACTGATGAAGACATTTTTAGTATACTAAAATGAAATTAATGCCAAGAAAAACTCTTTTTTTTACCATATCTTGCCCAATTTTCAATATTTTTCAATTCTGTAAATTGTTCTGAACTCCGGTTATCAAGCTGGTTCAGTAAATACCCATATTATTAAGATTGTCAAATTTTTCATCATTAAACCCCAGTTGAGGGGCACATTTTGTAATTTTGTGAAAAATGTATTTTATAAACATGTCTTAGAAATCTAAGTGGAATACTATTTTGCTTCTGTAAAATGATTTTAGAAAAGTTTCACTAAATTTCACACCCCTCACTCAGCCTTACACACAGTGTTTTATGGTGAATTATATATGCCACTCTTTAAAAGAGGCACTTATGTCTTTATTGGAAAAGAAAAACTGGAGACGGGAAAGCAATAGCTCCTGATTTTCAGGAATGATCGTAGTGACAGAGATGGAGCAACAGGCCTACAGCGAGAAGAAGGTGGAGAAGAGCCCCTGGGTGGCAGACGATAGACCCAGTGCTCCTAAGGTTAATAATTTCTCATGCTAGGAACCAATATTTGCTTCTAAAGTATGAGGATCAGGATCTCCGAGAGGCAAAATATAAACTATAACAGTTTCTACTAAAGGGTGAAACAAGGGGCACTTTTTTTGAGAAAAGGCTAAAATCGATCTTGCAATAATTCTAAAGCTTTGTTCAGTACAATTATTAACAAAAAAAATAAAAAAATTTCTGAATTTAGCTTTTTTTATGTAGACAAAATTACTTATATAAGCGAGAAAAAATTGTAAAAATCAATTAAGATGAATATTTCAACATATCCGGTTTGAAACACTTATTTCAGAAACGTTAAAATCATTAGAATCACTCTAAAATTATTAATTAACGTTAGACTAGTTTTTTAGTCATAAAATAAACAATGATAAAAGATATCCAAAAAACTAGCAAAGCTAACGGGTTTTATAAGCGGTGCCAGACGCATCTTTTAATATTCTTATCAACATGTCTTGAAAAAATTTCTGTGCTAAAGGATTTGACGTTCTCACCCATTATTTTACTATTTATTCTTATCTCAAATAACTTTACTTGTAAAATAATATTTTTTTCTCCCCCCCCCCCCCCCCCCCAGAAGTTATATAGGTTTTTATTCGCTGAATTGTGGAATATAAATCATAACAGATTTTTTTTAGTTGGGGGAAATTCTGAATAATATTAACCCCTGTTACATTTTGGATGGGATTTTAAGTATTTTAGCTATTTTTTTTATTATTATTATAGACGTGACCTGGCAATGCTAAATACTATTTTTCATGTGTAAAAATACATAAAAAGCTTTTTTAGATAAAAATCCCGGATGAGTTAATCTGTCCAATCTGCAATGATATTCTAAACGACGCTGTGATGATGGCTTGTTGTGCAGGTAAACATTTTAAATTAAGAAGGGAGGGAGGGGGGGGGGGGAGATTTTATTCAATTTAAAAAATGATGCGTTCTTACTGACATTTTATTATATTAAAGACTATTCCTATCTTATCTGAGCTGACAACTTTAGAATTTGGGATATCGAGGTCACTGCTTGATCTACTCTTTTTATTTTTACCTTTAGTTTGTATCCCGGAAATAAAATTCAACCAAGCAGAGTTGTGTATGCATAAGTTGTAAAAATTTTAAATTTTGCGCGCCCTATTATGAGAGAACTCTCATTGGTCGGAATCCGGTATATAGTGATATTCAAAAGAGGGAAAAAAGAGCGATTAAGCATCTAAATAAAATTGTTTACAGTTGATATGCAGATAAAGCAATCGACATTAAAGGTATCAAATTCTAAAGTTTTCAGTTCTGGTTACTACCGTAAACTTTATTCAGACTGAATATTTGCCGAATAGGGGAATATGGATTATTCTACAGGAAAATAAATAAATTTTTGGGTAAAAAATATTGATGAAAAAAATGATGAAAAGTGCTTTCCTAAATTAATGTAAATTTTTTATCTTATGTTTTAATTGATAAAAATATATAGCCCTGTATAATAAAGGTGGTGCCTGTGATGAGTGTGCCAGGGATAGAATAATAAACTCAGAAGGATCCATCTGTCCCCTCTGCAAGGAATATTTTAAATTCGATAGTATTCAAGTTTTATCATAACTAGCTAATGTGCCCGGCGTTGCCCATGGAATTTTCGAAAAATTGGGGAAAAATTGAGTTTTGAAAAAAAAAAGAAAATAAATTCAAAAGAAAATTTAAAAAAAAATTTTCACCCTATGATACCCAAAGTTTCCTTCGAAAAGTTCAGCCAATATTATTTTTATATATAATATTATTATTATTATATAGAGAGAGGTCACAACTTTTTTATTTTTTTTTATGAATAACACGCTTACTCTGGTTGATTTAAGTCTCCAGGGACGGGTAAAACATTCAATCTCCCTAACTTAAACTTAAGTCAAGTGTGAGTCAAGTCAAGTCGGGTTGTCAAAGCGGGATCCAACCAAAAGTTTCTGCTCCAGTTCGCATCAAATATCCAATACTTTAAGCAGTGTTTCGGATCCGGATCCGGTCGGATCCGTATCATTTGGTCGGATCCGGATCCGAATCAAAATGATATGGATCCGAAACACTGACTTTAAGCATGTTGATATCATTTTTATTTCTCTTCAGAATTTTGAGGATTTTTTCCGAAATTTTAAAAAAGAAATTGTTTCGAATGAATTATAAATTAGGAAGTTGCCAACCCTGAGGAGATGATACCGTATAGACTATACAGAAACAAGGTATCTGTTTTCTTTAAAAAAAAATAAACTGAAATGGACTGAAAACGTACTTTCCAGTGACTCTTTATTGATTGAGTTTTGTGTCTGATTCACAACGGTATCCCTAAAAGCTTTGTCTGACGATGTATGAATTACATGTTTCTTCAAATAGTCAACAGCAATAAGTTAATCAATTAATGGCTTTTAGGTTGATAGATTCCAGAACCAGACTGGGTATACTAAACAGACTAAACCCCCTCCATCTAATCCAATCTTGGATCCAACTAAATACCTAGGTAACAATTTAATCAAGGGTCTTAAAAAAATATATTTTATGTAAATTTCTAAGCCTCGGCTTCTCAGTTTTAAATGTGATATATTTATTTTGTCTTATGATCTTATGAAAGTGAGAGAAGTCTCAGTCTCAATATAAACAATAAACACATTTTACACTTAGGATCCGGATCCGGATTTGTTGAATCCGTAACATTTTGGCTTCCTGGATCTCGATCCTTAAAAATATGCGGATCCACGAATCCGGATCCATGACAAATAAATTTTTCACAAAGCAAAAAATTAATAAAATTTCATTATCTCTAAAATGGCTCATTTCAGCATAAAAATCGCCAAAAAAAATTATGTGAAAATTCATCTTTTGTTAAAAAATCAGTAAATCTTGAAGATCCATTTTTTCACGAGTCTTGACGGATCCGCATCAAAGGAAATGTATCCTAGGTACTGTTTCTAATCCTTGTTGTTCTAGGTATAAAACCCTCTCTGCCTGATATTATTCTACCAGATCCTAATGATGTTAAGTTTGACAGCCTCATCAGACGAAAGGAATATAAAACATCTCGTGTTAGAATTTTGCTTGAAATATCCTGTTTATGTTTCGTGTGATGAAGGGGGGGGGGGGCTACGTTAATTTTCTGCACAGGGCTGGATTTTCCATGCCAAAGTTTGCTTAGAGCAAATTTGTGCAAAATTAAAAGATTGTGAACCTCCTTAGAAAAAAATTCAATTTTTAGTTTTTACGTTTGTTAATCGTGGCTAACCTAGCTATATGAGTTGGGAGTTCCACATTGGGTTCCCTTACAGATTTACATTGATTTGATACGTGAGGATTTAAATTTTAAGTTTTAAATTTCAAATTTCAAATTTCAAATTTTAAATTGAGGGGGGGAGATGTTCATTAGAAATTCTTCTTAACCGGGTGTGTATTTTCCTGAAAAATCTCCCCCCCCCCTCTCTTATGAAAAGATTTTTTTTTCCCCAGAAATTTTATTCTCTACATTGGTGAAAATAAATGATTTTTAGGGGGGGGGGGATTAATTTTTGCGTCAGCGTATGAAAAAGGATGAAAAAACTTGCCGTTTTATTTCCAATTTTACATTTTTTAATAATAATTTTTTAAAAGTACTCCCCTGACTATTAATTGTTTTCCAACGAATTTGATTTTAACTGATGTTTTAAATCTGTGTGTCAGGGAGCTGAAGCTGTGTCGGCGCCTAATCTAAACTTTACACTCGTAACACAGGTAGCTGTCTCTCTCCAGTTTGGATAAGTCGGTTTCTGCTTGTTTTGCTATTGTCCTGTCTGGTGTTGTCTGGCCTTGTCTGGTCTGATCTTGTCAAATCTTGCTTAGTTCAATCTTTTCAGGTTCAATATTGTCTGATCCTTTCTTGTTTTGTCTGGCCCAAACTTTTCTGGTCTGGTCCAATCTGGTCCTGTCTTGTCCGGTCCATCTTTTGTATCTAATTTTGTCTTGTCCTATTTTTTTTTCTTGTCTTATGCTAAATATTGAAGATTTTTATTGGTTGCTTTTTTGTGAAAATAATTATTGTTGTTGTTTATTTTGCATGTCTGTCTTGCCTCTGCTGGTTCAAAACATTGTAATTTTTAAAATTATATTCCTCTTCCCAGGATGCTTCAAAATCGAGAATTATCTTACCTGAACTTTTCTCTCAGAAGGATTTATTTTCTCCTAGACAGGAAACCTCTCACCCCTCTCCCCTTACTCATCCTTCCCCCCTTACCCAATTCTCCCCTCTCTCCCATCCCTCACCCGCTTCCCAGACTTCTCCTCGTCTTGATCAGTCACAGGAGAGTGAAAAGGTACAATATTTTTCTTCTTAATACAGGGTGTATATTTTCTTCTCAATAAATAAAGCAATTGGAAACATTGGATACATTGGACACATTGGATACAGGAATTGATGGAGTTGATGGATTTGATGGAGTTGATGGAGTGGATGGAGTTGATGAAGTTGATATATTGATGGAGTTGATGGAGTTGATGGAGTTGATGGAATTGATGGAATTGATGGAATTGATGGAATTGGTGGAATTGATGGCATTGATGGAATTGTTGGGATTGATGGAATTAATTGAATCGAACGGATTGGATGAATTGATGGTTTGATTTGGTTGATTTGATCCATTTGATTGATTTGATTGATTGGATTGATTGGTATTATTGATATGATTGATATGATTGATATGATTGATATGATTGATATGATTGATATGATTGGGATGATTGGGATGATTGGGATGATTGGGATGATTGGGATGATTAGAATGATTAGATTGATTAGATTGATTAGATTGATTAGATTGATTAGATTGTTTGAATTGAGTGGATTAGGTTGATTGAGTGGATTGAGTGGATTGGAATTATTGGCATCATTGATTGTATTGATTGGATTGATTTGGATTGGTTGGTTGGTTGGTTGGTTGGTTGGTTGGTTTATTGATTGATTGATTGATTGATTGATTTACTGGTTTAGGTTGTTGAAGATACTCGGTCTGTTGTCTCCTATTCTCCAGGTGGATCCTCCCACCCTGGTTCTCCAGCTAGACAGTCCCCAACTAGAGGAATGGGCGTGTCCCCTGGTCCCCACCCATCCTCCCCCAGGAGGGGTAGAGAAAACAGACGAGACTCCTTCAGGTTGTTGTTTAACAGTTCATTCAATAACAAATTTTGATATTTATTTTAACACAGATACAAACATAAATTCATACATTAATTGATAATTGTGTAGTTAAAGTTTTTTAAAGAAAATTTCTTGAAGATGCTGATGGTTGAATTTGATATTGTATTTTTTTTTGTACTCGAGACTTTTTCACAATAATTTTTCTCTGAATTTCGTAGATTTTGTATTTTTTTATCAGGGAGGACGGATCTTCTGAAAGGAAAAAGTTGACACCAGGACGGGATGCCAGGTAATCTAATCACGTACGCGAGCCCAAGGTATTATTTAGGTGTACCTCGTCTTAATAATTTCTCATTTTTCATATTTTAATCAAGGGTAATAATTTATTTAAAGATAGGATTTTTTTAAAACTGTTTTTCCATCCTTTTTGATACTGGGCTACTCTAAATTGTAATTCCCCCACCCCACCCCAACCCCAATCACAACTCTGCGGGGGGGGGGGAAGTTTACAAGGGGTAGGGAATGATTTTGATGAAATGTACATTTAACGTTTATAGATACGATCATGAGCAGAGGAACGCTTCGCCACCCGAGCACCGGCGAGAGAAATCTGTATCTCCGGCTCGTCGCCGCAGCAGATCTCATTCCCCTCGACGGGCCCCAGCAGGTAGAGAAAAATTGACCAATAATATTTAAGTATTGTAATCAAATTCGTGTGAGAAAAGGGTTGAAAAGTTAGAAAGTTGTTTTTTATTCATTAAAAAATGCCAAATTTTATTTTTCAGAATACCGCCGTGAAAGTCCAGCTGGTGTCGGAGCCCCGCCGAGACCTCATCCATCTGAGATAAATTTGGCGGTTCCCCCGCCACTTTTCATGCCTGGACAACTTCCTCCTGGCCATTTACCCCACGGTGTTCATCTGCAGCCTGGAGTTCAGATACATCCTGGAGTCCATCATGCACCCTACCCCTCCTCCTATACTAATCCAGGTAGAGAGCTGAAATGGTCTGCAAAGGCTTGAGTGGCTAAAAACTAATTATTTATTACAGTTGTTCTTAATTCTTCACATTTACAGAAAACCGAGTATCTTGCAAAATTTACAACGCTACCCAATGATCGAAAATATTCGTTTCAAAATGTTAAAAGTGAGCTTTGAATAAAAGGTCACCTAAATTTTCGTTACCAGTCCCATTAAATTTATGTTTCTAGCTCCAGTTTTGACGTACGATCCTGTTGCGATATTTAACGCTGCTATGGTCCAGATGGATCGAAGGAGAGGAAGATCACCTCCACGAAGGTTGTCTCCACCTAAGGCATACAGGTAATCAGGGTTTGAGAATTTCATAAGAGGGGGGAGGGTGTGCAACCGCAACAATTATAAGAGGAGGGAGGGAGTGCAACCACAACAGTTATTAGAGGAGGGGAGTGCAACCACAACAGTTACGAGAGGAGGGAGGGAGTACAACCACAACAGTTATAAGAGGAGGGATGGAGTGCAACCACAACAGTTTTAAGAGAAGGGAGGGAGTGCAAACACATCAGTTATTAGAGGAGGGAGGGAGTGCAACCACAACAATTATAAGAGGGAGGCTGTGCAACCACAACAATTATAAGTGGAGGGAGGGTGTACAACCGCAATAATTGTGAGAGGAGGGAGGAAGTGCAACCACAACAGTTATGAAAGGAGGGAGAGATTGCAACCACAACAATTATAAGAGAAGGGAGGAAGTGCAACCACACAACCACAACAATTACAAATGGAGGGAGGGTGTGCAACCACATCAATTGCAGGGTGGCCAAAATGTACGGATTGTACGGATTGTACGGATTGATTTTTTTTTTACCCTAAAATTGTACGGATTGTACGGATTGCACGGATTGTACGGATTTGTTTTCAAATTGTACGGATTGTACGGATTTTATCCTGGAAAATACACCGTTTTTTTTAAATTTTCACTCATTTCAGCAAATTTTTCATGAAAATAAAAAAAAATTCTCGTCAAAATGAAGTTAGTTTAACTTATTTTCTGCATTCTAAATAATATTAGATTGATTAATGTTTCAATTGACAATCAAAATTCATTCATAATTTTCGAGATATGTCCAAGAAGTGTTTATTTGAGAATATGTTCCATAAGTACTTATTTGATTGCTTATTCAAGAAGATGTTCCAGTATCCT